CAGGGGCGTAGCGAGGGGGGTGCGGACCGCACCCGGTGACACCATTTAGGGGGGGTGACACCAAGGCAAAAAAATAGCAAAATATATAGAGAAAAATTATAATTCCACTTAATTAAGTGATTAATTCGAGTGTTAAATAGTCTTTTAAGAGGTACAAATCTAAAGGTTTGAGGGAGGGGGGTGCAAATCGAAAGTTTGAGAGGGGAGGGGGATGCAAATCGAAAATTGAAAGTTTGTCCCCGGGAAGGGTCGTAACGCCTCTGGGGGCGGGGGGTGACACCATTAAGTGCTGCACCGGGTAACACCCGACCTCGCTACGCGACTGGGTTTAGGCCAGGGGTGGACTGGCTGTGTCCAAGAGGACAGGGAATCTATGAATGGGCCTTCAACCACTGATTGAAATTTTTATTGTGCATTCCCCCTCCCCATCATAGCCTGATTAAACTCCTTGGCATGAAAGAATGGTAAAATACCAACAATTTTATTTTTAAATCAACTCCAATAGTACTATATGGGGGCCCATCGGGATTTTTTACTGGGGGCCCACCTCGATTTTTCCAGGCAGACCTGGTTTAGAGCTTGTGTGAAGTACCATCGAATGGTTGGGGCACTGGTGCAAAGTTGTTTTGACAAGTTGTTTTTACAAATACGCCAAATGTTTTGACAAGTACACCAGTTGTTTTGACAAGTTGTTTTTACAAATACGCCAAATGTTTTGACAAGTACACCAGTTGTTTTGACAAGTTGTTTTTACAAATACGCCAAATGTTTTGACAAGTACACCAGTTGTTTTGACAAGTTGTTTTTACAAATACGCCAAATGTTTTGACAAGTACACCAGTTGTTTTGACAAGTTGTTTTTACAAATACGCCAAATGTTTTGACGAGTACACCAGTTGTTTTTGACAAGTTGTTTTTACAAATACGCCAAATGTTTTGACAAGTACACCAGTTGTTTTGACAAGTTGTTTTTACAAATACGCCAAATGTTTTGACAAGTACACCAGTTGTTTTGACAAGTTGTTTTTACAAATACGCCAAATGTTTTGACAAGTACACCAGTTGTTTTGACAAGTTGTTTTTACAAATACGCCAAACGTTTTGACAAGTACACCAGTTGTTTTGACAAGTTGTTTTTACAAATACGCCAAATGTTTTGACAAGTACACCAGTTGTTTTGACAAGTTGTTTTTACAAATACGCCAAAATGTTTTGACAAGTACACCAGTTGTTTTGACAAGTTGTTTTTACAAATACGCCAAATGTTTTGACAAGTACACCAGTTGTTTTGACAAGTTGTTTTTTACAAATACGCCAAATGTTTTGACAAGTACACCAGTTGTTTTGACAAGTTGTTTTTACAAATACGCCAAATGTTTTGACAAGTACACCAGTTGTTTTGACAAGTTGTTTTTACAAATACGCCAAATGTTTTGACAAGTACACCAGTTGTTTTGACAAGTTGTTTTTACAAATACGCCAAATGTTTTGACAAGTACACCAGATGTTTTGACAAGTTGTTTTTACAAATACGCCAAATGTTTTGACAAGTACACCAGTTGTTTTGACAAGTTGTTTTTACAAATACGCCAAATGTTTTGACAAGTACACCAGTTGTTTTGACAAGTTGTTTTTACAAATACGCCAAATGTTTTGACAAGTACACCAGTTGTTTTGACAAGTTGTTTTTACAAATACGCCAAATGTTTTGACAAGTACACCAGTTGTTTTGACAAGTTGTTTTTACAAATACGCCAAATGTTTTGACAAGTACACCAGTTGTTTTGACAAGTTGTTTTTACAAATACGCCAAATGTTTTGACAAGTACACCAGTTGTTTTGACAAGTTGTTTTTACAAATACGCCAAATGTTTTGACAAGTACACCAGTTGTTTTGACAAGTTGTTTTTACAAATACGCCAAATGTTTTGACAAGTACACCAGTTGTTTTGACAAGTTGTTTTTACAAATACGCCAAATGTTTTGACAAGTACACCAGTTGTTTTGACAAGTTGTTTTTACAAATACGCCAAATGTTTTGACAAGTACACCAGTTGTTTTGACAAGTTGTTTTTACAAATACGCCAAATGTTTTGACAAGTACACCAGTTGTTTTGACAAGTTGTTTTTACAAATACGCCAAATGTTTTGACAAGTACACCAGATGTTTTGACAAGTTGTTTTTACAAATACGCCAAATGTTTTGACAAGTACACCAGTTGTTTTGACAAGTTGTTTTTACAAATACGCCAAATGTTTTGACAAGTACACCAGTTGTTTTGACAAGTTGTTTTTTACAAATACGCCAAATGTTTTGACAAGTACTCCAATTGTTGTTTTTTTACAAGTACACCAGTTATTGTGGTTGTTAAAAGGTAACCATTCTACTTCATTTACCCCATTATCGTCGGGTTAGAAAGGGTTAATTTATGCGGATTCAAGCTTGCCATCTTTCTCTGTCTTGTACCGTTATTTATAATTTGATTTGTTTTGTTGAGTTTTTCTTGTCATCTCTTTTACTCCGTATTTTTATTTTGCTTTTTTTTAGATATAAATAATCGATATATTTTAGCAAACTGGGATTTAAATAGCTTTTGTTTCGACATAGTGTCACAACATCTTGACGCCGCATCAAAGCCGGTTGGTGTTCGAAGACTCTTCCCAAACCAGCTGCTACACCTACACCCCAGCGGAGCAGTTTAAAACCTTTCGCTATGGCCTACCTCAACGCCGTGAACCTGCACGCGCTTCCGGTGAACAACCAATCGCGATCGCCCGAGCCGGCGTCCGTCGTTTTCTGCCACGGCCCGGAGTGGACGTGGCGCTACCAGAGAAACCAGAAGCAGGACCGTCTGGACAACCGCTTCATGTACCAGGACCAGGGGCCCCCCATGTACCGCCTGCTGGGCCCCCCACTTCACGGTGCATTCTTTGCCCCCCGAAGACGGACTTCCACACGCAGACGCAATCGTTCCATTTCGAGCCGTCTGCTGATGTTTACCCCAGTTACAAGTAAGTACCTACTTTAGTAATGTCACTACCTACTTAAGTAATGTAACTACCTACTTTACTAATGTGAGAACCTACTTTAGTATTGTAACTACCTCTTTCAGTAATCTAAATACCTACTTTAGTAACGAAACTATCTACTATAGTAATGTATTGCCCTACTTTAGTAATGTAAGGCCTTACTTTAGTAATCTAACCATCTACTTTATTAATATAAATACCTACGTTAGTAATGTAAAGCCCTACTTTAGTACCGTAACTACCTACTTAAGTAATGTAAGGCCCTACTTTAGTAATGTAACAACCAACTTCAGTAATGTAACTACTTTAGTAATGTAACTACCTACTTAAGTAATGTAACAACCAACTTCAGTAATGTAACTACTTTAGTAATGTAACTACCTACTTTACTAATGTGAGAACTTACTTTAGTAATATAAGTACCTTCTTTAATAATGTAAATACCTACTTTAGTAAAATACGTGCCGTTTAATTCGTCGAATGGGAGGTGGAAATGTCCATTGTGATCGAAGCAGTTAAATGTGCCACCCTTTGCCAGCTTGGAATAGTTCATCAGGTCTAACAGTGTTTCTTTCAGCATCAACGTCTACCATTATCCGCCCGCACCCCCGAAAATGTCAAGTGCATCCCTAGGAATTTTCAAATGCCCCCCTTCACCCCCCTCCCCGAAGAAATGTCTGAAAGAAACTCTGATGTCTATGGGCTACTATGTATAGAACTGACCTCACGATCCCCTTCATATGCCGAGGTCTAATAAACTGGTGAACTCTACTTCAACTGCCCTATTGATCCCCAAGAGTACCTTTACTTTTGCTATCATGTCTATGCATATCCAGCCAATCCTGAATGTCGTCTAGATAAAGTAGTAGTACTTTAGGGATGAAGGGACGGAGTGGTCTACTTTAGGGATGAAGCCAACGACTTTTTTGTCGGGAAAACATCGAAGACTTGTATGTCTTTAATATTACAATAAAAACGATGTTTTATTAATGACAAAGAGAGAACTGAGATTTTTTTCTTGTTTCCAGAAACGGGAACGCGATCTTCCCACCCGGCGCCCCACCCGCCCAGACGGCTATGTTTGACGGTCTCAGATCTAGCCCTGGGCGAGACATTGTAAGAATTTGTTTTGTTTTCTTCTTCTCCACCAAAGTAAAAAAATAATATGTAATCTCATGTCACCATTACAGCTGTCATAGGGCTGGTAAGTAGGTCACCAACCAGTTCTACGGCTCAATAAAACCTGCATGAGCCATAGAACTGGTTGGTTACCTACTTACCAGCCCTATTATCACGACCTGACTGTAGCGTTATGAAGGGATATAGAGAACACACTTTCATTTGTTAACACGGAATCTTGTGATTTATGCTCACAACAGTCATAACTGTAGCTTTAATACGATGACGTAGTATTTTTGGAAAAACTACTTATATTAAACTTAATGCCACTTTTCGTTATGTACCCTTTTGTAAAATGTCATTATGTAATGTCATCATGTATTGTGTCATGTCAACTGTTGACTTGTCATGACAGCGGACGGCCACGACTGACATGGCCAATCAGAGAGGTGACAGTTACCTGGCCTGGGACAAGTACCGTTACCTACCTGGTCCGCCATCTGAGACACAGATCTACAGGCAGCTGTAGTTTACCTGGGGTGTACAGGTGAGGGGTGTGTGAAGGTGTGGGGTGTGTGAGGGTTGTGTGAAGGTGGGGGTTGTGTGAAGGTGTGGGGTTGTGTGAAGCTAGAGGTTGTGAGGTCGGGGAGTGTGAGGGTGAGGAGTGTGTGAAGGTGTGGGGTGTGTGAGGGTGGGGTGTGTGAAGGTGGGGGGGGTGTGTGAAGGTGGGCATTGTGTAAAAGTGGGGGTTGTGTGAAGGTGGGGGTTGTGTGAAGGTGTGGGTTGTGTGTAAAGGTTAGGGTTGTGTGAAGGTGGGAGGTGTGTAAAGGTGGGGGTTGTGTGAAGGTGGGGTTGTGTGAAGATGGGGTTGTGTGAAGGTGGGGGTTGTGTGTGAAGGTGGGGTTGTGTGCAGGTGGGAGGTGTGTAAAGGTGGGGGTTGTGTGAAGGTGGGGTTGTGTGAAGGTGGGGGTTGTGTGTGAAGGTGGGGGTTGTGTGAAGGTGTGGGTTGTGTGAAGGTGTGGGTTGTGTGTGAAGGTGGGGTTGTGTGCAGGTGTGGGTTGTGTGTGAAGGTGGGGTTGTGTGAAGGTGGGGGTTGTGTGTGAAGGTGGGGGTTGTGTGAAGGTGGGGGTTGTGTGAAGGTGTGGGTTGTGTGTGAAGGTGGGGGTTGTGTGAAGGTGGGGGATGTGTGAAGGTGGGGGTTGTGTGAAGGTGGGGGATGTGTGAAGGTGGGGTTGTGTGAAGGTGGGGGTTGTGTGAAGGTGGGGTTGTGTGAAGGTGGGGGTTGTGTGAAGGTGGGGGTTGAGCCTTAAGGTGGGGTTGTGTGAAGGTGGGGGTTGAGCCTTAAGGTGGGGTTGTGTGAAGGTGGGGGTTGAGCCTTAAGGTGGGGTTGTGTGAAGGTGGGGGTTGTGTAAAGGTGGGGGTTGTGTGAAGGTGGGGTTGTGTGAAGGTGGGGTTGTGTGAAGGTGGGGGTTGTGTGAAGGTGGGGGTTGAGCCTAAAGGTGGGGGTTGTGTGAGGGTTGTTGAAGGTTGTGTAAAGGTGGGGGTTGTGTGAAGGTGGGTTTGTGTGAAGGTGGGGGTTGAGCCTAAAGGTGGGGGTTGTGTGAGGGTTGTTGAAGGTTGTGTAAAGGGTAGGGATCGATACTAAATTAACACAGTAAAAAAAATTAACTATCTTTTAGGACAAATAGATAGTCTAAGTCAAGAGTTCAAATATTTAAATATGCTTTAGAACATATATATATATATATATATATATATATATATATATATATATATATATATATATAACTTGTATAAATATAACTTTGTCTTATTTTTTAGCATCAGCTTTTGAATCATCCAGTTCTACAAACAACATACTGAACCAAACCATACGACTGAAGATCATTCAGCGCTGTAAAAACGTTGACAACATTCACCGACTGAACGATACTTTGATGTTTTGTTATCACGACAGCTTATTCATTGTATTGTATAACAGATGTTAATAAAATGCTACTAAACAAAGTATCAGTGTCTAGCCTTTATTTGTTATACCTTATACACATTGCATTACTTGTGTCGTTTGTATTGATGGAGCTGTTTGATACCTTTATAATACTTCTGTGGTATTACAAGAACTAGTCCATTGAAACCATACAACTAACACTAAATATTAAATACTTAAAACACCATACTAATGGAAATAGTTTAAATTTTTTAAATGGCTAACATACAAATAGTAAAGCACGATATAGGGAATATATATATATATATATATATATATATATATATATATATATATATATATATATATATATATATATATATATATATATGACTCACACTTTTTATTTTGCACTTGTCAAGAAAATACAACTCTCCTTAAAACTAAAATGTTTGTAGTGGTGATGGCCCCTCCCCTATTTCCCTGCAAGCTGCGCCCAGTGTGCATTTCAGGGGAGATTTTCGAAGGGGGCGGACACTTGGTTAAAGTATGTATTTCTTATTTAAATTATGTTTTCCATTTCGTCCTTGATGATTGGAGGGGGGGGGGCGGTGGACGTGCTTCGAGGGATGAGGGGGTGGGCAGTCCCCCCCCCCCCCCCCCTTCCTCGAAAAGATACCTGATAGAAACTCTGGGTAAGCCTAAGTTGTAATATTTCATGAAGGATATGTGCATGTTTTAAATTCCACTAATTATATACGCCATGAATGAACACACCGACAATATATTTATGCATACATAAAAAAACTTGATGAATGCTATCTGTATTGCCATGGGCAATCACACATTAATAAAATCATTCTATACGGTTCAGTTAATGGTAACTAGCAATAAAATGTTTTACTTGTAAATCTTCCGACCGGCAATAGGTTACATGCCGATGGATTTTGAACTCTGACCATGTCTGTGGGAGGGAAGGGGAGGCAGCTTAGCACTGAAAGGTTCATGACATCAACATGGGACGGCAATGAGGTGCGGCTAAGCTTTGTACTAACGACACACGTCATTACACACAGCTAACTTAAAACCATTCATAGGGTTTGGCTAACTACCACGGTTCATTAACTGATATGCACACAATCACAAGAAAATATTCCCTGTGTCTTTTAACTTTACAATCGAAATAATTTAATGGTATGACTCAATGATTAGAAATTATGGTGACAAGTATATGAGGGATTAAAACTGTGGCTACCCATGCTAAGACATGCTGGGAAGAAAATTAATCTACTGGTATCCCCATTAATTAAGTTATAAGTAGTCTATATTACTCTATTATTCTGATGAGAAAATGGATATGTCCAGTGGCGTAGCGAGGTCGGGTGTCACCCGGTGCGGCACTTAATGGTGTCACCCCCAGAGGCGTAGCGACCCTTCCCGGGGACAAACTTTCAAATTATCGATTTGCACCCCCCCCCTCAAACTTTCGATTTGCACCCCCTCAAACTTTCGATTTGCACCCCCCCCCCCCTCAAGTTTTTCTCTATATATTTTGCTATTTTTTGCCTTGGTGTAACCCCCCCCCTAAATGGTGTCATCCGGTGCGGTCCGCACCCCCCGCCCCACCCCCCCCCCCTCGCTACGCCCCTGGATATGTCAATAGAGATTTTATCATCCGAAAATCAGATGATGATTGGTGTGTGTTTTGTTGATTTTGAATGTTGACGTGTTCGTTGATGTTGCTGAAATGGGTTTTGAACTTGCGTCAAGGCAACCTTAACTAGTTTTATTGCTTATATTGGTAGTATGGTAGTACATCTAGTTACTATATATATATATATATATATATATATATATATATATATATATATATATATATGTGTATATATATATATATATATATATATATATATATATATATATATATATATATATATATATATATATGTATATATATATATATATATATATATATATATGTATATATATATATATATATATATATATATATATATATTTATAGCATATATATATAGCATATATATATAGTTACATGTTACACTTTCTTGCAATGAAAGCAGATTTCAAATGTGCTTTCATTATTATTTGATGAAAGCTCTTTCTTTTTTATTTCTTGTTTTATCGTTATTCTTCAACCACTAAAAAACATTATCTAATTTTGACGTGTATGTCAGTGCGACAATAACACTATATTTTGATACAAGAAATACATTGCTTTAAATCTAGAGACCCTATTCTGTGATGTGTTGGCTTATGTAGGTTTACCTTACTATAAAAAATTAAACATACAAGTTTTTTATTTGTCTTTTGTTACATGAGAGGCATCCAACATTAAACGAATAAATGTTCAATTTTGTAATCTAAAAATGATTTGGAATATTGACTAGGTATAACATTTTTTTTTATTATCGATCTTATACAAATTTGGTCTCACGATTTCCGTTTTTCTGAAGGGCTTTAATTACCAATCAGGTTCGATAACTCTGGGTCAGAACAACCAGTTAAAAAAAAAAAAAAAAAAAAAGATTTTACGAACCATTGCACATCAATCTCAAATTGTTAGCACGAATTGAAAATAAACGGAAGTCCAAAAATTCAAGGGATGCAACTCTTATGTATAACGATAATATAAACAAAAGTGTATGCCATAAAAAAATCAATTGTTGGGGAATTTGTTAGATCGGCTATCAATACATTTATTAACATCTATTTGTAAGGGTCACTAGCCCGTACACTAAAACTAATAACTTTAAATGACACTTATTTGTTGAATGTTTTAGTGGGGAAACGTGTGCTCGTTGGTTTAAGAATTAAAGTTAGAATCTGTTATTGACTAAGTGATTAGCAGAGTTTCTTCCAGGCATCTCATCGAACGAAATGAAATGTATAGAGAAAACATTCTTTTACCAGTGTCCGCCCCCCCTTGTCCGGAAAATGTTGACCTCCACCGCCCCCCCCCCCCCCGAAAATATCAACTGCCCTCTTTCCCCCCCCCCCCCCCCCCCCCCGCCCCCGCAGAAAAAAGTCTGGAAGAAACACTGATGATTAGTCTAAGACCTAAGTGAAGTCTGAGTGTTATGATTCATAAAGAAGTAGGAGTAAGCTAAGATAGATCTCTCTATACTCTATAGGCCAGCTTATAAGATTCTAATGATAGGCTTCTACTATACTATGACATCTAAACTACGAATAAAACTACTAATTAGTAACGAATGTTTGTGTACTTTTACTATGGTTTGTGTTGGACAGGTTCAGGACTGTAGTCAGGATTAATATAAGAATCGGGACAAGGGTTAGGGTCGGGGTAGCGATGGCAGTGAAAGTTCGATTCGATACGTCACAATGTGTTTCTTTCTGACAAGACCTGATTGTGTTAAGGAAATCCCCTCTAATGCTAAATATATTAAATCTTTACAATGAAGAACGAAGAAGAAGTAGAAGATTAGCAACCCATATTGTTTTACTTAAATCCTGACTAGTAACGCTAGACATCCTTAACCAGTAAAATGATAGCAATGTGTAAAAACGTCAGTACATTCCAAATTTTTTTTTTACCAAGTAGATCTTTGTGTTGCCCAATAGATTTGTGATCGTTTCTAAGATCAATCTTGTTTGCTTATTGACCATTCCCACCCCCCACCCCCTTCCCGCCTACTTTCCTAATTGTTCTGGATAATAAGTGTAACTTAAGTCTCACATTATTTAACAGTGAAACATTTTGTTCCGTTGTATAGCTACTTATTAATATAAACACTCCATATTTTTTATCTTCTTTGTAAACATTCGTTTTGACAAAGCTTTAGATTAATTTATTTTTGTTTCGATAATCTAACTTTATTAACAGAAATCTTTTTTTTTAAATAACTATAATTTATATAGGTCGTTATTTTGGTTAACTTTAGAACTAAATTGTATGTTTTATTTCTAACATTGACGATTAACGAAGTAGGAAAACGTTACTGTAATTGTGTCATCTTGTTGAATCTTCACATTTCTATATCACTGTCTTACCGCAAACTTTCCCCATGACCGACATATTTACAACTTTTTAATTCCCCCACCCAAAGCGGCGAAATAAAAATGTTTATTTACTGATTACTCGTGATATTTTCCAAAGAATATAAAAGTATAACGGATATCGATAATTAAAAAGAACCGAAACAAACAATTTTTAAAAAACAAACTTAGCGATGGAGAGAGTTGAAGCGTCGACATGCGAGAATCCAAAATTCCCAAACTGGATGTGGCGATACAACCGCAACAAACGTCTGGCGAGATTCGAACCTTGGTTCACCAGGTCAGTCCTTGTTTCTTCTATCTCTGTGTGGTTTCGTGAACACGTGTGCTAAGTTAAGTTGTGTGTGTGCTATTAAAAGTTGGTGTGTAAAAGTTTGTCATCAATGTACACATGTACATAAGTAAGCGGCATATGTGCTGTTGAAAGGTGGTGTTTGAAAGTTGTTATTAATGTAGACATGTGCTAAATTAAGTTTTACATATGCTGTGTGTTGTGTTTTTAGTGTGTGTATAAACAATGCAAAGTTTAACATGTTCCTAAAAAAGTTGGTGTGATGTTGCCTGTAAGAAAGAATGATGTGAGAGTTTGTGGCATTTAATGTCCCGCAGTAGCGGTGGGTTATACGAAGGTGATGGATACCAATGGTATCAATACTTTCTAGAGAACGGTGTGGTTGGACGAGAGAGCGCTTGATTGCTAACTCGGAAGTCCCGAGTTTGGACCCCCGGGCAGAGGAGGCTCGTTAGCAGGGGACAGCAACCAATGTAGGAGAGAAAACTCTAAAATTCAGAAAGAAAAACAGACTGAAATTGGGATCAACGGGCCATTTGGCACATGATAAATTGTGTTGGAAGAAATCTTCTATAGTATACAATTAAGAAGAAGAAGAAAATTACCTATTACTGGTAATATCATACAATTAAGAACGAAGAAGAAGAAGAAAATTACCTACAATTGCTGGTGATAGCATACAATTAAGAACGAAGAAGAAAATCACCTACAATTGCTTATATTATAGAGTTGAGGATTATCCATGATATTCGTCAAACTACCCTTCTCCCACTGTACCTCCCCCCCCCCCCCCCTCCCCCCAACCGCCACTGCTTGTAAGCGTAGCTTGAGCAAAGTCCGTTCATTCGTAGCGTGTGTATGATGTAGACTATTTGTATTGATGTATCTAGATGCCTAATCACTTTACTATACTACCTGTGAGTTTGTTTGTTTTTTATAATACTTTTTCCCTTTCCCAACAGATCCGAAAGATGGCCGCCACAGTACCGCAACATGGGTCTGCACGACGACTTCCGGTTCCACCCCGTGGGGCCAAACGAAGAGTCGAGACCTTTCGTTTATTTGGCTGCGAACTACGCTCACGACTTGGTCAACGAGCGTGAAACCGGATACGGGAACGGCGCGCTGGGTTTCACCCCCGGCCCGGCACCGCCCAGGTAAATACGACTTCTACATGCGTGTGCGTGAGGCGTGTTGATTGAAGTTTTATGACAGATTTTAAAATGCCTTGACCTCATACTAGCGGTAGAGCGCTAGACTGCTAACCCGAGAGTCTCGAGTTCGAATTCAGGTTCACGTCAGTACAACGTCCCTGAGTCCATCCAGTTTTGATGGGTACCTAGCTCATGTTAGGGTATGTAAAAGCGGCTAGGCATAGCGCTGAGCACACTATCCCTTCAAATGCGGAGGTTACAGAAACAGGTGAACTCTACTTTACTTGCCCCAATGACCGTTCTACCGAACCTCATACCATAGTAATTAATTAAAGTTCAAATAAACGTGAGGAAAATAAATACAGATTTATTTCCGACTGAGGCTTTCGATTTGTAAATAAATCTACATCCAATCACATAGTAAACATTATAACTTTTCACCCAGTAAACTTTAACTGACTCCTTCACCCTACCCTACAGGTTAGTCCTGTACGATGTCCAGAACCCCTACCCCCGGGATGAGCTGTACAAGGTCAACGAGATCCACGACATCTCCCCCGGGATGTCTCTGCTGGACAACACCAACCTGCCCAAACCTGAGTCCGACCACACCACCACGCCACTCAACCCCAGGTCAGTATGGCTTGTTATTTGTTGTTGTTTTTGTTACTGTTGTTGTTGTTGCTGCTGTTGTTGGTGTTGTTGTTGTTGTTGTTGTTGTTGCTGCTGTTGTTGTTGTTGTTGTTGCTGTTGTTGTTGTTGCTGCTGCTGTTGTTGTTGTTGTTGCTGCTGTTGTTGTTGTTGCTGCTTCTGTTGTTGTTGTTGTTGTTGTTGTTGTTGTTGTTGAAGCTGCTGTTGTTGTTGTTGCTGTTGCTGTTTTTGTTTTTGTTGCTGTTGTTGCTGCTGCTGCTGCTGTTGTTGTTGTTGTTGCTGTTGTTGTTGTTGTTGTTGCTGTTGTTGTTGTTGTCTTCAGATTTTAAAATATTTTTTATGTTGTTTTGTCGATTTAGTTGCCCCTTTTTTTAGGGACATTTTCTTCCTTAATAAAAAGCCGATTCCATTTATCAGGTGGCTATTTCATCCGAATTCAGCTTTAGTGTATTTGATAAACCACAGTTGTCAGTTTTTCCTTTTGAGAAAAATGAGATTTTGTGTTTGAAATCCCTTGCTGTTCCGTTATGGGATGATTTTAAAATCTTAAATATTGAGGCGATCGCGGTGGTTTTACGCTTTTATATTGTTATACATGATATACACAAATACTACATGAATATGGCACTAACTCAAAACATTCGAAAAGTGGACATTTGTGGTTTTCATTTTTATAGTAAGCTTCAATGTGTTATATTGTTACACCACAAATTAGTTATCATTAATACTTTGTATAATGATAAAATGAGCGCTAAAGTGTAACATTGTTACACTTCAAAATAAGCTCAATGGGTGTCATTGTTACACTATATAAAGAGCTCTATATGTGTTAGATTGTTACACTATAATATGAACTGTTACATTTTTACATTATAAAATGTGCTCTAACGCCGTACATTGTTATACAATAAAAATAGCTCTATGTGTGTTACAGTGTTACACTATAAAGTGAGCTAATAAAAATGATATAACATGTTACATTGTTACACTATAAAAGTGCTCTAAGTGCCTTACATTGTCACCCCCCACCAGACAATACCTTGAGAGGACCCTGGGACAGTCCATGGAGTACCCGGGCACGTTCCCCCACTTCAACGCCCCCTCTATGGCCATGTCGGGCCGCATGTGCAACACGAAGAAGTGCGGCTACCTCGACCCCCTGGAGCACTGGACGGCTGGGTACAAGAAGAGGGAAATTGCCATCGCCATCCAAAACGCTATAGAAACCAAAACGTGAGTTGGGTCTTCTGAAAGTACCGGCAGGCAGTATCGAGTCTTGTACAGATAAGCCCCGCTACTAATGCAGAAAGTACACGCGCGAAAAGTTAAGCCCCGTTGCGTTTTTTGACAGCTCCAATTTAAAGCACGCACGCACCTTGGGGGTTGGGGTTAGGGTTGTAGTTAAAGGTACCAAAAAAACAGACCTTTTCATGCTAATTAATAATAAAATTTCCCAATTTCACCCTCTTCAATAAAATCTAAAAGCACAAGTTTCGTATCTTTATTTATACCCTTTTTTTTTTTGGTGGCGGGGGTTTTCGTTTTTGTTTATAATTTTCAACGGAAATAATGTTACTTAGGTTTCTATTAGGATTAAAGCAATTTCGATATCAGTTGTATGGTTACTTTCAGGATTTGCATGAAGATACCAGGTTATCTATCCTAGTAGGATTTGAATTAGGCAATGATCTCATTAGCGGTTAGGATTAGGCTTAGGTTAGAGATACGGGACGTGAAAAAATATTACAGTGCTGGTTATGATTTGTATTAGGATGCAGGCTATATCCAGAGTTTCTTCTAGGCATCTCTTCGGGGGGGGGGGGGGGGGGGGGGAAACAAAGCCCCCCCCCCCCGAAATTTTTTTACCGCCCCCCCCCCCCCCCCCGAACGAAATGAATTTTATATAATTTATATAGAAAATATATACTTTTAACAGTGTCCGCCCCCCCCCCCCCCGAAGAAAGTTTACCGCCCCCCCCCCCCGAAGATTTCAAGTGCCCCCCCCCCCCGGAGAAAAAAGTCTGGAAGAAACACTGGCTATTTTCATTATTAGCTCAATGTTTAACGGTTAGGGTCAGGCTTAGGGTAGAGATACATATTCCATACACTAAGGTGAAATATGCACTTCCCTATTATACCAAGCTCTTGGTTATGTGTCATTTGTCCGCGTCTATTGAATGGCGTCTCTAGCAGTCATAAACTCAGCCAACACCATGTTTTATTTAGAACACTTCGCTTTAAGTTTGTTGTTTTTTTGGGTTTTTTTAATCAAATTTCTTGATTTAAAATGATTTTTTCCCGATCTTATCGCAGTCGCCTGCCGCCGATTGTACTGAATGCTTGTGAGTTCGAAAACAACCCAGCACCTGCGTGTGAAAGCATGAAGCCAACCTACAACATCACGGGCGCACGGCAATGCGTCATGGCTGCCAGGAAAATTTACTAAACTGTAGGTGAACTTTAGGAAACAGCTTGTACTGCCAAAACGGCAATGTTGGACGTTTAAAAATAGCCTGCACTGAAAAAATAATTTGTCTTCGAAAATTTGTCTTCAATTTTTTTTAAATTTAATTTAATTACATTTTTAATTTATTGAATTTAGATTGCTAATAAATGTCAAAACATGTTAAACATTTTTAAAAATGAGCCTCGTAAGTTGACGTTAATTCATCCAAATTAAAACCATTTTGATACATCTTTTTATATCTTAAGTATACAACACGGTAAAAACCTCTAGAAAACTTCTTTTAAAATTATAAGATGAACTATGTATTTCGCACAGAAAACCATTTTTAATATCTTAATATAGGTTTCTTAAATGGAGTAGAACGTTTTGTTTTTAATTAATTGTTACATTTGTGGTATATATATATATATATATATATATATATATATATATATATATATATATATATATATATATATATATATATATACCAATATCATATAGTATATGTGTTTTATATAAATGTTTTGTTTACAAATTATGAGAAATATTAAACATCTTTAACATCTTTTTGTGGTTATAGTTATTTATTCCATTGTAAGTTATTTTCATTTTGTGTAAATATACAAGTTAACTGTTGTTATAATTGTATGTATTAGATGTAAACAACTACAAACAAAATAAATACTAAAACTTACCTAAGCTTATCTGGCGAATATCTAAGGTTGTTACATTTTTTGTTGTTGTTTTTTTAATTGCTACTTAATTAGCTAGTAAGTATGTTGTTATGACCAGTGTTGCTAATTCGTATGTTACTAAAATAAAGCATATGGGTTAATTATTTAATTAGTTAATTCTATGCTGATCATCCCCTGACCTTAATTATTTGGTTTTATGTTTTAGAAACTATCAACTGGTAATTTATAAGGCGTCTGTTTTCTTTCATTGATATTCATGATCGGAATACTGTTATTTAGTGTGTTTATTTTCTAAATCTTTAATTTAAACCTTACTTTTCATGTTTTTCAAACTCAAACCTCTCTTTTCATTTTTAAAATGTATACTTCCTTTAATTTTATTAAATACACACGCAGACAAAATGATTTAATTTTTAATTACACTCTTTTTTTTTTTTTTTGCTTTACATTGCATACTTAAAAATATTAAACCCAGAAAACGGTTTGACAACTTCAATCCTACATGAATGTCTTGCTTAACACTGCATATTTAAAAACGCATTCTGCTCTATGCCCCAGAGAGTATTGTTTTGAAAACAATCCCTACACTAGTTAATGATGGGCTATAACATTTTTAAAAGCTAAATACAATAAGCTATTTTAAATACAAACCTCGTTTTTATATTATTACAAATATGTTTTTTTTTTAAATTGTATATTAGTTACATTATAAACAACTTTACAACAAAATGGTGAAATATAACACTTTTGGCGAAATGACTTTTATTTATGAGACTTTTTATCAACAGCATGATATGAGTAATTAATGAATGAAATATGAAGTAAAATTAATGATAATAACAAAAGATTAGATAAAAGTTTTGAAAGAGGAATGTGAAAACTGAATGAACTCTTCTGATAGGAACTTAATGAAACGTATTTCAAACAAATCAATAATATGTGTACTGCAGAATTGGTATAAAATGCTTAAAATCACCCAAACACTGTATGATTAATTTTTACCTTTCTAAAAGTTAAAAAAAAAACGTATAATATCAACTTATTTTTTTCATAATGATGAAATTAATACGATCATTCAACAAAATTGAAAAAGGTGAGTGTGAATGGCAAACAATAAATAACATTTAGAATAATACTTCACTAAACACTAAATGAGAGTGTCAGAAATAGTGATAAGAAAATAAGCGAAAAAATCTTAGACAAAGTCAAATGTAGAATTAGCAATACCGTGTAAGCGACCAAATACAATTTTTGAAAGGTTTATTTCAAAATAATTTTGCACCACTTTTGGATTTTTATATATAGATCTAGAAATCTACATTTAGTAAATATCAAAAAAATAAATATTAGGCCCACTTCCCAACGGTATTGTTTGATTACGTCTGCTGCTGATTTTTAAAATATGTTTACAAAATGTGTAAACGAAACAATAAAGAATTTAATTATAGAATGAAAGTGACAAATTTAAAAATAAACAAAATAGCGTACATCATTTTGGTCTAGTCTTGATTTTAGAAACAAAAAAAAATAATTTCACATGTCGATGAAATGGTTTTCTTTATTCATTTATATTTTTTATTACCTTCATTTTACGACTAACTGGTTGAATGACATCACATTGAGCCTTTTGTTGGTTTCATAAAAGTTAGTTCGGTCTTGTGCTAAATCTTGATCGACATGGTAACAATGTAGATAGACCTCTATAGTAGATTTTGAACGCCTACTAAGCATAAAACTTTTTCTACTACCTCAGCTCTCTATAAATTAAGTGTGACTATTTTCGTATATAAACATTATATCATTGTCTCTATCTCCTCTTAAAATTCTCCATTTAGATTCTATAACCATTATGACTTATGAGAGTTTTCAAAAATTAATTTCGTAGCGCCAATGGGATTGCTACAAAACGTGAGACCTGATTATTTAAAAACATGGAGCATATACTTATATTTTACTTCACTTCCTGTTGACATTACTGGACTGTTGTTGTTTTATCTCCATGGGGACGGGAAGAAACTGTGGGTTGATGAAGTCCAAGTGGCAAGGATCACACCGTGGATTGGACTGTACGAGCGGATTACAAGGCGCGCAGTTCTGTTTGGTCTGGCGCAGCTGGGGGTTGGGTTCCGTCTCGGGGTCCTTGGACTGGGGGCACGTGCAAGACACGTACCGGTTGTAAACATAGGGCACGGACCTAGCCGGCACGGACAGCCGGCATTTTTCTTTACCGTCTACTCCGGCGATGACGGAAACGCACCTCGGAACCGGTCGGTTAAGCTCGAGTCCAGTGGGCGAATACAAAGGCCAGGTGTGACCTGGTTTCCTCTCCCCTGCGACGCCGCTCAGGTAGGGCTGGCTTCGTTTGAAGCTGTAAACGGTTTTGCAAAGGTTTTTGTTGTCGTGCGGGAAGTACAACGCTCCGATGGTACCGCGGGAGTAGCAGCCTTTCTTGGTGATCAGTTCGCGCGGGTCGACAGCGAAGACGTGGTCCGGTATCCGGGGGTGATCGGAAATGTTGGAGGGGCGGAATTTCACCAGCACTTGCATCGGCATGGGTGGGATTTTTTCACTGAGCGGGTAGGTGGCGGGGTATTTGGGTCTGAGGTCAATGTACTGACCATACGCCTCGTTGGATGTCTCCAAGGTAGAAGGGTTATAATGACCAGGCATGGCTTTGATTGAATTCGGCACGATTCTTCTTTTAGCCTTTTCCATTTCAATTTCTTCTTTCTCGCGCATTTGTCTCGATACCCATTGGTTGTAGCCTTCGTCGTTTTCCGCTGTGAAATACTCGGCAGGTTCCGTTTGCAGCATATTCAGCTCTTTGCATTTCTCCGCTTTTTCTTTAATTATTTTATGTAAACACGTACGTTTTAACTCTAGGTCCCCGGCTACCTGGGTGTAGCACCAGTCAACTGATCGGTTGAATGGAATCTCGAAGTACTTAACATTGGAGTTGGGGTAGGGGATGGGGTTGTTGACTCCGATCAGGGTGCCGGAGCTGTTGAGTCCCTGTGTGTAGGTGTTGGGCTGAAGCTGGACGTGTAGGGAGTGGGGGGATCGGATGTCGGCGTACCCTGGTGAAGGGTTGTGGTTCGTTTTAGTGTCCAGTGTGCAAAGGCTGATGCCCTGTGTGGAGATCATGGGTAAACTGGTAGAATTTGGCTGCAGTGATGCCTTCGCCATGGTCTGTTCAAAAGTTGCGCTGTTGGTGAATTGATTGATATGTTTTATTTAATTAAAGCTGTTTAGCCGTTATTCACTTTTAAATAATTGCTCTGAATTGTATTTATCATGAAGTCTGCTGTAAAATGCACACCATTGGCGTTTTTACACTGCGACTTTTTTTCTTCTATACTCCACTTAAACTTAGTCTAGATTATCAGCATAGAAGCAAAACCACATATTATGTTTCTATACAAAAAAGCGAAGATTTAAGTGCATGAGCTATGCTATTATGGATTTTCTTTGTCTAAACAAAACTCAATGCATTCGAAAACTGTTTTCTTTTGGACATGAAAATTGTAATGTTGTTCTTTTTTTGTTAAGTAAGTCAACAGTCAGCCATGTTGTGACGTCGTCATAATAAACACTGTGACGACACCACTTTGTGAGCTTATTAGGTTTTAAAATATACTGCTCGAAATAGATGCTGAAACAAAAATGAAAACAATTGTATCTTATGTCAAATTCACTGATTGATTCCTTAATTAAGGCGTTGATAAAATAAAAAAAATTAAACTGTGGATTTTTAAATTGGTTTTAATTCAAATTAGTATTTTTAAAATTAATTTTGTTAACGAAAATTGGAAAGCAAAACTTTACTACCTAATTTAATAGACTATTATTATTAAACCATTAGTTTGTTTGTACACTATATATTTACCGCCTAAAATCACATAGCAATAGCTTTTGTTTAACCAATACCTACCCCGTGATCTTCACACGAGTTCCCGAACCTGTCAACAGTCGCAAACTTCAGCATCAGTTGCCTCCCATCATACGCTGAAAATGTCCTATAGCCTATATTCTACTTTACATTATTTACACATACATACATCGATATAGACTTCTTATATGTGCTGAAGTCGCTATTCTTACTCGTATCCTAACCCATCGACTAATTATATTTGTTACTAACCATAATCACAATACTTACCCTACCCAGCAGTGTTTCTTTCAGACATTTTTCTCCGGGGGGGGGGGAGCACTTGAAAATTTCGGGGGTGGGGGGTGTACTTAAATTTATGGGGAAGAGGGTGACCTTTCATAAAATTAATTAATTAATTAATTTCTTCTATTTTTTCGGGAGGGGGGTGGACTTGCCCCACACCCTCCCCCGAAGATTGGCCTGATAGAAACTCTGCTACAAGAAGATAGAAACTGTTAGGATCGTTCTACTTTAAACGTACTAATCATCATATTTCATGTATGCTGAACAGCACGTAGACTAAGTTAGACTATAGACCTACATGAGCCTTGTATCATAATCATTGTTTACTGATATTTTTACTTTTTTTTCTTGTTTTCCTTGTGTTTAGTGGTGTTTTGATTAATTTTGTTTTTGCTCTCTTTATATTTAGTGACTTTTTTTATAATCATTTTTATTTTTATCTCTGTAATTAGTGATGCTTTTATTAATTGGTTTATTGTTGTCTTTACATAATTTAGTCATGAGATTATCATTCATTTTATTGTTCTCTTTATATTTAGGGATTTTTAATTTAAAAATGTAGACCTCTTTATATTTAATTATGTTTTTATTCATTTTTCCCCATTTTTCTCTTTTCCTAACACAGCAACAACGTTCAGCAAGACGAGCCTCAGAGATCGACCCTCCCATCACTGTATAGACCCAATGGCCAAACCAGCTACACCAGTAATGCTTTCAAACAGAGTTCTTTGGTAAGATTATTAAAAACATGGATTTCTTTGCATTTCTTAGTTTTCTGATGAGATTATCAAAAACGGACTTGTTTTCTTTTACATTTCTATGCGTTTTCTAATGAGATTTTAAAAAACACGGATTTTTTTTTTAAATTCAGATTTCCAAGAGTTTTCTGTTGAGATTACTAAAAACGCCGATTTTTTTAAACAAGATCTATTCGGCACTTTCTTCTTTCAACAACTTTATCCAGACTTGAGATAAATAATTAAAGCTTTAAAAATTTTACAAAAACTACCTTAAAAGTCAATAGAACTAAATATTTTGTTTTAAAACTAACTTTACTAGAATCTATGTATTTATGAGTCTGTGTTTATTTTACACACTAGGGGTTTTATTTACTTGATGAAACCCTAAGCATGCCAAAAGTATTAAGTCAGGATTTTCTTACCATTTATTGCAATGCGCTTTTATAATGAGCGTTAGTGTAGGTAAAACATGATTTCATAACGCGTAAATATCAACCTGGAACAAAAAGCTAGGTTAGCAAAGAACAATAAGACAATTAGATCTATACGCTACACCTTACTGACAGGATGAGAGATGTGTAGGCCTACATCAGAGTAAGCTTATCTCTCAAACATCTCCTTGGGGGGGGGGGGGGCACGTACACCTCTGGAGTATTCTCATCACCTCTCCAAAGTTTCATATATATATATATATATATATATATATATATATATATATATATATATATATATATATATATATATATATCAGTACCAAGTATGATTTTCCGATATTTAGAGGGTTTACTAAAATACAACTAAGAAGAAGGCCTATATAGTTGGTACAACTAAAAATTCTTTAAGTGATCGCTGATTAAAAACTTGGTTTATTTTATGTGTAGCAGGTCCCCGAGAGGGAGGAGCCCATCGAGAGAGACGATTACAACCTCCGGTTCAAGAGGTCATACACGGACCTGGCTCAGAAAATCTCCAGCCGGTACCCTTCGTCTCCCAGGTAAGATTTGTAAAACTGTACTGGTCTTAGTGTAACTATATGCAGTGTTTCTTTCAGACATTTTTCTTGGGGGGGAGTGGCACTTGAAACTTTTGAGGGGGGGGGGGAGGGGTCGGATTTAAATTTTCTGGGGGAAAATCTCCAGCCTGTACCCTTCGACTCCCAGGTGAGATTTGTAAAACTGTACTGGTCTTGGTGTAACTATATGTAGTGTTTCTTTCAGACATTTTTCGCGGGGGGGGGGCACTTGAAACTTTTGAGGGGGAGGGATGGTTGGATATAAATTTTCTGGGGGACATTGAAATTTTTCGGAGGATGGGGAGGGGGGCGGACTTAAATTTTCTGGGGATGAGATGTGTACATTGAATGAAGTATATATTTTGTGAATAAACTTTTGTTCGGGGAGGGGGTGGTAAACGAAGATGTGCTTGATAGAAACTATGCCTTTATATTAGTGTATCATAAGATTTGTATTTGTCTTGTATATCCTAAAGTCAGTGTAAAACAAAATTGTTGCTTACGTTTACTCCTGCAAATTGTTTTAATGGAAAAAATATTGGTCCAAGACTTTGACAAATAAAAAATATTAGAAACATACCCCGAAGGTAAATCTAAAAATTTTTTATAACTATATATATATATATATATATATATATATATCTAATATATAAAGCTCAGTTCTGTATGTAATGCGTTTGTATGTCGTTGGAATTGTACGAATTTAAGTGTTAGAAAATTATCGTGCGCATTTGTCTAAATTTATGAGCTAAAAAATTACTATTGAAAGTGTTGGGAAATAATTTTCATTTTTTCAAATTATAGTAATAATTGTCGGCATGTTCATTAAACACAAGTTTTAAACAAAATATCATCTTTTACAAAAATTCTAATTATGTCTTTATTTAGTCCTATAGCACTTACTTCCCTTTGATAAATTAGGAAAAACACAATTACTTCCCTTTATAAAACCATTGCATTCCGTGAAAATAATTTACTTTTTAATTACTTTGTTTTGGTGTTGGGAAAAAAAATAATTACATAATTAGCGGGGATTGATCAAGTGCAAATGTTGTAGGTATTTTACGGATAAGCTTGGAGTATTAAAATTGTTTATTAAATTGAAACAGGCGCGTTCGTTTAAGTGAGTGCAAAAGACTGTGAATAAGTTGGGGTACTATAGTCGTTCATTAAGCTAAAACAGGTGATTCCGCCCCGGGCGTTTATGTTCGCGTTAGTGTTTTCTTTGTGTTTAGGTGGGTTTGCGTTAGTGGTTGCGTTTTGATTTGGTTCGTTTTTGTTCTTTCTTTTTTCGTTTTTGTTTGTGTTTTTTTGTTTGGGTTTGTATTTATGTTTTTGGTTGGTTTTGCGTTTGGATTTGGTTTGTTTTCGTTTGCTTTTTCGTTGTTTTTTTTTTTGTGTTGGTATTGGTGTTTGTGGTTGGGTTTGTTGTTAGGTTTTTGTTTTCGTTTGCTTTTTTGTTTGTTTTTTCTTTGTGTTTGTATTGGTGTTTGTGGTTGTGGTTGTTTTGTTGTTAGGTTTTTGTTTTCGTTTGTATTTGTAATTGTGTTAGCGTTATGTTTGCGTTTTGTTGTTTTGGTTGGTTGTGGTTTGGGTGGGCAATGCCGGGTTTATGATGATTACTAAACACAAAGGTAATGGTCTTTAACAGAAAGGTTTTTCACAGAAGCCAGAGCAGGGCCTGGCCGGGACGGCTAGTATATATATATATATATATATATATATATATATATATATATGTGTGTGTGTGTGTGTGTGTGTGTGTGTTTGTGTGTGTGTGTTTGTGTGTGTGTACGTGTACATGTATATATAAATATATATATATATATATATATATATATATATATATATATATATATATATATATATATATATATATATATATATATATATATATATATATGATTCCCATACCTTCAGACGAAGAGAAGGTGCCATCGGCGGAACATGGAGACATGTGCGTGAAGTTTTAGGACATGGTGGGAGTATGCTGTGTTACATTGATGGTAAGAATAGTCGGAGGGGGGTGTATCTCAAGTCATTAAGCTTAAAAAAATTAATACTTTCTACATTGTTGGTGAGAATAATATTAATATGAGAGATTTCATTGCTTCTCATATCAAGTCAATATACTGAAAATGACATCACGCGTTTAAAAAAAAAACTACCTTTCTCCATCGACAAAAAATGCCATTCAAACCACCCCCCCCCCCCCCCCATAATGACGTCATACCTGAGTCTACCAGCCCCATCCTTAAAATTGCAATTTTTGTTTCTTTAAATGGCGATTTAATTCTAAAAAATTTTACTGAGTGCAGTTAACATTTAATATATCAATAATTTCAATAACAATTCACAACTTTCTTGAAAACAAGTAATAATGTGGAAAAATTAGGTTTCTAAAATTACTTATTAAACTGAAATTGAAATAAGTGCGTCGTCACACTTTCTTAAACTCCCCCCCCCCCCCACCCCCGTTTTCCTAAGTCACACATCGCCACAAAATCCGACTCCCTCCCCTAGCAAAGTGAAGCCGTTTGTGGACGACCCTGCACTACATTTTTACTACAACCATGTGACGCAAGACTTGGTTTATTGTACTATTGCAGGAATGGTCAGCATCCATGATAACGAGGCACTGCAGGCTTCTCTCACCAAGAGACCACTCCACCCGCCCTACGCCCCTCTCCGGGAGGACTTTGAAAACAGAACTCAAGATTGTATTTGTAAGTTACCCAATATATTATTTATTATTTATATATGCATTATTTAAACCAATAGTGATTTTTTTAAATTTCACTAACTTAAAGAGTTTGTCCTTAAAGCCATTAGTGGAATAAGCTTTTTTTTTTTTAAAAGCGCCCCTGTATACAAAAAAAAATATGTTTATATATATATATATATATATATATATATATATATATATATATATATATATATATATATATATATATATATATATATATATATATATATATATATATATAGTAGCATTTTTTTTCTTTCAGTTCCCAGAGTTGACAGTGATCTAGAGAGGAAATTAAAACTGGCTTCAATGCCCAAGAGAAAGGGACACTATCGTTTCTAAGAGCCAACTCTTTCTACCACACATTTCAGTATTATTTTGTTTTGTTTGTTTTTTTCATTTTGTGGTGCTTACAAACGCAATGGAGGGATGCTATTTTTATCATCAAACAGATATAAAAGAAATTTAAAATAAAGGGGCATAATAAGTGTCAAATAAGATTGTATCAGAATAAAACTTTGTGTATAAAATAAATAAAAATTGCCTCAATTGTTGAGCTATATAGAAAAAACATTCGCTACAAAACACCAAATGGAATTTGCCATCAATGTAAATTGTACTTGCTATCTCTATTGGATAATGTTTGTGCTGTTACAATGGAGATTTTAATCTGCTTGATTTTAAACTAACTAATTAAACTGGTTTGAGAGGTCAAGAAACATATGAACTCTATTTCAATTTCATCTGCCCAATGGAATGGATAGATAGGTCTAAAAATTTGTTTGACTTGTCAAGCAGTTTAAGTTTAATTGTATTTTGCTTAAAATTATAATTACATGAAATAGGTAAAAAAACACTACCTTGTCCCTGAAGTTTGGTATATAGCACAAATGTGTGCTAAGCTATCAGTTATAAAAAGACCTATTTTTTAATGTTTTTTATACAAACACACAATGTTATTTTAAGCAAAGTTAGGTTCCTCGCTATAAAACACATTTTCCAGACTGCTATTAGGAGTTTACCACTTGTGAGGAGATTGCTAATTGGATGCTGACTTATCATTTTTTTAACTTGCTAATACGAACTCAAATTTTGTACTTTTCGAAGCTATTTATTTATTATTATTATATTATAATAATGGCGTGAGTTGATATTAACAAGTTAATTACACATTTGATTAAGCCACTTCATAACACTGGGAGATGGGGAAGGGGGGGGGGGGGGTTGTATTTTCTACTTTCCTACCCAGTCAAAACAAACTATATGACAGATGTAATTTAATTACTAATGCCATGTGCAAATGTTGTGGCCAGCCAAATAAATCAAAATCCTAGTGTTAAATGTCACTGTCAAGATTATTAATTATAAAGAAATAAAAGTTTTTAGTTTAATTCTGAGACATTTTACATTTACTGTTTGTCTCTGTATTTTAAATTATGACCAAAACATTTTATAACGACAGTATTCACATCTGTATTTTAAATTAGTATTAACACACTTGTAATTTGATGTTTTTACCTTAGACTTACACAGTATTAATTAATTATTGTATTAATTTGAATTCTTCTGTCATTCTATACAAAATAAAGAGCACTTTCAATGGACATTGACTTTATTTTTAGTAAACCATTTACATACTGGTGTTATGCTATTGTATGAGTTGCCGTTAATGTTCCTTGTCACAAGTGATCTAAAGATCGTTATAATATAGTAGGGTAGTAGTTTGCTTGAGTAGTTCTTTTCTACTTTTTGTATGTGTTACAAGTAGTGTTCATTGTCACAAGAGATCTAAAGATGGTTATTGTATGCTAGAGTTGTGCTCAAATATTAATTGATTGTGTTGCAAGTACTGCCCATTGTCACGACTCACAAGAGATGTAAAGATTGAGCATCATTTTATACAGCGTACAATCAGGAGTGTATGGTAATCTACCCAATCAATATAACATTGTCTTAACATTACCAGTTAGCAAGTTACAAAATTTAAACTACTGCCAGACTGTTTAATCTTATAATATAAGTAAAAATGGTGTAACTTTTCAAATATTTATCAATGATATTTTAATCATCAATATCTTTTTAGTATCATATTGGCTATCTATAAATAGAGTGTGATCCACCGCCTAAGTGTCAATGTCCAAGAGAACAATCATGATATTTATAGAACAACTTTAAAACAAGTTTAACAAATATTTCATTACTTGAAGTGAGGAAAACATGAGTTTTTATTGATAAATGAAATCCAACCACTTTAACTTCAACCCTCCCAATACACTAACATGCATGTATAATTATAATACATAACATACTGATCTGAAAGAGTAGACAGAAAGAAATGTTTCAAACACATAAAAAAAAGGCTATTTATGCACATCACATTAGTCTAAAATTGCTAAGAAGTAAAATATTTGAGGTGGCCAAAATTTTGAACCCCCACAACAAAAGCTACACATACATCAGATGTCAGTTATAGCAACAGTGATATTCACAATAAATCTAACATATGCAAATCCTAAGCATCAGATTAAATAAAATTTAATGGACAGTATGTGTTTCTAAAAGAAATTTAAAATTTTGTTTTTACCTGTATTTAAGCAATTGTAGCATAAGCAAATATTTAACTTAATTCAAAGAATGGATAAAACATACACAGTAGGAAAAATAATAAAAGATGAGAGAAGAGTAGAAACAAAATTTAGAAGCATTGTACTAAATATACAGATATCTAAAGAAAATAATTAAAATGAGATAGACAACAATAAAAGCATTTCATTTCAAATGTGAAATTTTATCATAGCTTATACCAATATATGCAACAACCTTATAAACAAACACAATTTTGGGTCATTTATAATCAGAATTATTTAACTTCCAGTATATCTCCCCAATAAACAGAGGAAGAAAGTGAATAATTTTTTTAAAAATATCTTAGTTTTCCAAAAATATAACAGCAACTAGTATTAAAATGTTAGTGGTAATATAATCAAAAAGAGAAAATACATCCCTTCAAAGTCTTATTCAACTGGGATATAAAATAGTTCTAGGTTGGTAATGTGGTGTAATAAAAATACACATTTTAAGTTTATTCACTTAATTATTAAAAAGTTGAACTGAATCAATAGTAATGAGCGGACAAATTCAAAAATAAATAATATTTACAGCTTATACCTAATATTTATTTAATATTTAAATTTCTTGACCTAAATGTGACAACTGTTTCAAAAACTGAGAAGCATTGACCAAATCACTGCACCCATAAATTATTTTCTTTGGCATTGATGGTGTTGATTTAGACTTAACGTAATCCATTAGGTTTTGAAATTCAATATAATTACCACCACCTACGATGAAAACATAAGCCTCCTGAAAGGGGGTTTTGTTCCTTGGCACGGATGAAGAATCCGCTCTTAAAAGTTTGGGGTCAAAGTAGCGAAAATCTTCACTGTCCGGAAGTGATTTCAGTTCCATCAAAGCATCAACAATGCGAGTTGTAGGAAGATTGTGACTCTTTACGACTAGGTTCTTTACACCTTCCATCACAAACTGAGAGCCTTTAGAGAGGAGGCCCGAAAACATGCTTGTAGAGCTTATGCCTCCACCAACATACTGGTTAGGAGATGCTTGAAGTTTAGTGTATGATTTCCAACGACGAACATACTGAACAGCTGAAATATCACAATTTGCCGCCTGTAAAGCCACACAGTATTGATCAATCTCTGCCTCAGACATGGGGGGGCCGCAAATTAAAGCAATGACAAAAAGACGAACCTTGTCTTCAGGCTTCCCAGCTTCGGGATCAGAAATCATGTCCATCAAAGATTTGTTCAGTGTTGACCTACTCATCATTCTTTCTTCAGTCTCAAAGTAGGTATCAAGTTTTCTTGATTTTATTTGTTCCAGAAGAGCAGTGGCGATGTTCATGTGCATGTCGATCAATCTTTTCTTTTCTAACAGCTCTGGGAGAGAGGTAACAGCTGATGTAAGACGGGCTGTATTGTCAGACAGCATACTGATTGCGGTATCATCTTCACCTTCTAGGCCCAGAGCAGCTTTAAGCTTTTTAACTTCTCCTTCTTCTTGTCTGTATCCATTCAATGCTTCTTGTACAGCTTCGGCAACTTCTGGAAATGGGTGTCCTTTTTCTGACATCCAAAGTTTATCTTTTGATGATAAATCATAAACTTTCTTCCTTGATTTAGGTTTTCTAGCAGGGGAGCTTGCATGCATTCCATCATCAACTATCTCTTCAATTTCAACTCTGTTAAGCTTCAACTCTAGAACATCATGTGCTAAGGCTTGATATGTCCATGTATGGTGAAGCATTGTTGCTAAATCAAGATTACGATCTAAAATCACAAGAAGTGGTCTTTGAAAACTAAATTGTCCTGGCACACCTTCAGCAGTAAACAAGCTGTTCCTGGCATCTCTTAAGTTCTCTCTTAGTTTTTTGTCTAGTTTTTCAGCAACCATTTCTGCAGCATTGCCCCTTGGGCAACGTAATATAGGAACGACACCCATAGTCACAAATACAGAAAATAAACTATCCACAATATTATCCATTATCAATTCCATTTCAGTATCTTTCACATCACCTTTGTTTATAGCATAATATGAGATGGAGTCTCTGTCTTGATGTCGGAGTGTAAATAATTCATTTTCTAATGAAATAAAGTTCAAATACTGGTCAAAAACTTTACAAACTTGTTGCACAGCATTTGATTGCAAAGCTGCTTGTGCTATATCTTCCAGTTTTTGCCTAGAGATGGCAGAAATAAAATTAAGATAGTAGGACTCGTATAGCTGGTTCTGAAAATCTCTGCAAAGACGTTGAATGTTGTCTTCCGTAGGCATAACAAAATAAATAGCTGGAACATCAGGAATGGGATCTCGATCAGAATGCAGGCTAAGATGAAGTGTAACACCAATATCTCTAAGCTCTTTTATTGTTAATAATGGTGAAATAATATCTTGACCAAATCTGTCATAAATCAAAACTTTCCACTGCGGTTCGGCATTTGAAGTTTTCGTGATTGGCTGGTTAAAATTTAGCATTCGTTTCAAAGCAGATATTTGTTTTTCTTGCAAAGAGGTCGCCATTTTGATTGTTTGATGACAGCGACACACGTGGCACTTCCGCTTCTAGATCTATTTCAAGGGAGAATAGCCCAAGTGTCAGCACACATAAAAAATACCCAACACTAAATCTAGATTAATTTTCGCAAAACCTAAATAGACTATCACTGACTATCAGAGTTGTTTCCTCTTCCAGGCATCTCTTCGGGGGTGGGGGGGGGGGGGGGGGGGGCGTAGAAAGTCTACCTTAATGGAATTTATATAGGAAACATATACTTTTACCAGAGTCCGCCCCCGACAATATCAAGTGCGCCACCCCCCCCCCCCCAGTGTTTCTTCCAGACTTTTTTCTCCGGGGGTACACTTGAAATCTTCGGGGGGGGGGGGCGGTAAACTTTCTTCGGGGGGGGGGGGCGGAAACTGTTAAAAGTATATATTTTCTATATAAATTATATAAATTTCATATCGTTCGGGGGGGGGGGCGGTAAAAAATTTCGGGGGGCGGGGGCTATGCCCCCCGAAGAGATGCCTGGAAGAAACTCTGCACCCCCCCCCCAATAGGAGAAAAAAGTCTGAAAGAAACACTGTAGACTATAGATCTAGATCGAAACATTCTTATAATAGTAAATTTAAACACTTGGTAATTTGTTTACCGTCAGTCTAGTTGTTTGATTGTTGAATCACCAAGATCCTCTTTCTGCTACGATTGTTTTGCTAATAATACTTTATTAATATTATTCATAAGCCCAATCATATGCGGATCTCTACGGGCGTGTGTAGCCTCCCGAAAAATGTGAGGGGAGAATGGATTAGAATAAAATGTAGGATTTTAGGTCAATCAAAAGTTAGTATGATAGTTAGTAGAGCTATATAATATTCTTCTGTTCCTAATGTTTCTTAAGTTACATTTTGGGTGTCTATAAATAATGCGCTTTTTTATATGACATCAAACATTAGCCTACCTTCCACCCCCCCCCCCCCCCCCCCCCCCAAATTTTTTAGAATTCAGATTTTCATACAATTTCCAAAAAAAGTCAAAAAAGTCTTTCTAAATGCCAAAATAATTGCTAAAATTTAGTTTTTCAATAAAAAATATTACTTTTTGAAGTGTACAAGTGTGTCGTCATATCCTAAACACAAACACCTTCCATTTGACACAAGTCTGATCCACCCCTTCCCTATGTTTGTGGTCGTGTAGGATGACCCCTTGAGGCAGATCCTTGTAGCCAAAATTAGGCTTCAGATACCTACTTAATAAACCTCTAACGCTTACTGAATAAGAGCATATTTTGAGCATGAATTGAACAAGAGTTTGGGGTCAATTATAAATGTCCCAAAAAGTCTTCTACCCCTAAGAATACATAACTCTTAGACTTTAATCCATCCTCCCCTACCCCAATAAAATGTTTCCTTCCAATTCTGAAAAGTATATATTATAACCCCCAATTTACTGTTTGAAAGTGTATTTTTTTGTAGAATCCACTGCAAATTACAACTAAATATTCAGCATACTGGGCAATTTAGCAAATACAGACCAATGTCATGCTAAGTGATTACTTTTAATCATAGTTTATAGGGCTTTAAAATTAGAGAAAAAAAACTATTAGTTTAAATCAAGTTTGAATATCTACGTGGGCACCTGAAATGTAAAGTTAACAATACAGTTGTACTTTTAATTAACTCACATGTTTCATTGTTAAAAAAAACAGTAATGTATCAGTACTTTCAATGTTTTTATTATTCATACAGAGAATATAATATATGTATTATATGAAAATATTTTTCATAAGTCACAACTCTAAATAATAAATAGATTTAAAAGGCAAAAATAAATTCACAATGTTTTAAGTTTATGTGCATTTTTACAAAACATTTTAACCGAAATAGTAGTTATAAATGATCAATATAGTACAGAAAGATTGTGTAAAAAAATTAAGAGTGACAACTATAGTTTCACAAGGCTGTATCAACTATCTATACTGATTTCATGAGACAGTATAAAGAGAGATTCTGAACAAACAAAACAGTATTAATTTGAATGTCATAGTTTTTAGGGAGATGGGCTAAATACCCCAGTTGCAATAGAATTGACCAATAATCTATACAAACATTTATAGTATATATATTTTTTTTTTAATTTTTTATACTTAAAACAACTTAGAAAACAACATTGTAACATTTTATCCCAAATTCTTTTTTTTTAATCATAAAAACAGAAAAGGGGGAAAATTACGCAGAGAAGTTACACAAACTCTGTTGTTACATAAAAGGAAAGGATTATCAAATTTACAGGAAATGTAATTTTAAAATAACAAACAACAAATCATGTTTTTTAATGATTCAGTTAACTGATCATATTGCAATGGGGACAGGTGTAATATACATTTGTTCTTAATTTTAAAAGAAAATTATGAATTGTTGCATATTTGTAATTTAACACGTCTAATCAGATATCTGTACTCCTGGTACAAGAAAGGTGGTGGAGTAATTAATTGCAAAAAAGCCACCAATACAAAAATAAACTATCAACCTAATTTAAAAAGGCAATGTAGTTCAATAAAATACATAAAAACTGTCTTTTTATATATATTAACAAAAAAATGGCCTTGCAGTGATAAGAGTAAATTGCATAAAACAACATTAAATCTCAATAGTCACAGGTGTATGTTTTTAAAAAGTACAAGTTAAAACTTATGGCAAAATAAAAGAGGCACTTGAACCTATTGAACTACACCTAGTAGTGAAAATTTAACAGCAATAAACAATGTCACAACCTGGTACATATTGTAGTTGAATAGTAGCCAGTGATTTTTATTTTATTTTCATTGAAAAATGTGAACTTGGAAATGTTTTGAAACCTATTTAATTTACTGGACGGCTATTTTTTTAAAAATAAGACACAAGATGCTGCATTACACAAGACACTGAATTGATGTTTAGCTACCCAAAATTATACTCAAAATGCACAACTTCAAAACTACAACTCAGCACCTAAAAGAAAAACAACATGTTTAGAAAATTTTTCTCACAGATGAAATTCAATTGTTTTTTTTTGTATGTGCTATATAAAAAAATTATGTATATATTTTACAAATTTGTATAATTTTAATGTTCACCTGCTCATACACAAAATATATTATCATGTTTTTGTTGTAAGTCTGAATTAATTGAACATTAATACTCCTTAGCCATACTACAGAAACAGACTCTATACTAACCAGGTACAATATTTGTTTAAGGAGAAAATGTCACTTTAACGTGGACTACAAGAGACATATTTTAAATACACTATGTAGATCCATAAAGGTTGTTAATACTTAATTCTAATTAAAAGTACAATTAATGTTCACAAGTTTTAAATACATGTACTATAATATGTCACACTATTTATATATCTCACAAAATTTCTAGTGGTTTGAATTACAGAAAATAACATGAGTATTCTCAACTATGAATTTCTAAAATATAAAAAATATAAAAATAATCCTAAAAAAACTAACCATATTTCACAGTATTCTGGTCAAAATATTTTGCCAGACTCAAAATATTACAAGTTTTTAACCGTTTAAATTTTATCCAATAAAAAATAAGATGAACCATGTTTAAACTAATAAGCTGATTAATTAAGCAACGGTTTCACCTGTTGGTCCAATCTGGCTGAGCGCAAGCACAAGAATATCTCTCTTTTCCTTGAAAAACCGCAACTCCCTACCAGCCAATCTGGCGTTCTCAAGGTCTTGCTCAGCTACTTCAAGCTCTGAAGAAATAATGTCAGGAGACTCCTGCTCCCTGGCGATCCAGTCAAGCGCCATTTGTGATCGCATGTCATCGTCTAGAGCACGATGAGAGTAGTGGGCTAATACTTCCTGACGTGAACAATTCCTCTCCCTCATGGCCTTCAGACTCCCATTCCAGTGCAAAAGCTGAAACACAGTCATGAGTTCCTGAAACTCTAGCATGGATCGTCCTTTATTGGCTTCCAACATGAACTTGAAGGCTCCAATGCCAGTATTTGGTTTGTCTGCATCTGATGGAGATCCCTGTTTATATAGAGAATTTTTAAAAATTGACTACATAAAAAAAAAGTGGTTAAAAAATGTTAATACTTAAATATGAACATGTTTAAAAAAAAAGTCTTTTAGTTGAGCTAAGATTTTAAAATTAAATATGTATTATAATCGAGGTATTTAAAGTTCTTCTTTTAGTAATAAAATGACATTAAAACTCTTTCACTAAAGTAATAAACCAATCTTAAATTTTAAAACAATTTTTACTTTATTGTATGTTAGTTAATATACATAGTTTCATTGTATTTTAGTCATATTACATTTTTTTAAAACTCTGCCTACCTGGAAAGAGGTGATAGCATCAGTAATGGCTTTTTCAATAAACTCATCTGTTATTTTTCTAGATGGGTGCTCATTAAATACAGAATTCATCAAAGCAATTTTGGCAGCACTCCTCCTTGCCTCAGCTTTAGTGTTGCATACCTAAATACAATTTTTTTTTGTTTTTTATATAGGACATAAATATTAGAACATATACATTGTTTAACCAAAATGGTGTATGAATATTTGTCATAGAACTACATGTTCAAAATCTCTGATAAAGACTGAGAAATGAATTCAAATTCAAGAGGTGGGGAGGGGGGAGGAGATATCTCTAGCCTGCTAATAAATGCACAACAACTTTTAAAATCAGATTTAAAGTTAATAATTTATTATTTAAAGTCCTAACACTGAATTTTATAAAAGGTTAATGACTTTACAAAGAAGCAATGACTTAAAATTTGATAAAGTGAAGTTTCACCAGTCATAAAAAAAGAAAACTGTTTACTTGAAAACTCCCAAAGCAGCTTCCACCAGGTAGACTAACATAGCATACATAAGGAGGCGCAGTAGCTGGTTGTGATTCATACACAACCAAAGCTCCATTAGTTAAATCTGCACCCCTTTCTAGTTTCATTTGCCAAAATTCCTGCAAGGCTTCAACCACATTCACTGTATGAAAAAAAAAAATTAGATCTAGATAAAAAAACATTAAATAAGTTACACAAATATTCCATATATTTTTTAAAATAAAATCTCATTGATAAATCATACAAAAGACACTTGAATTTTAATCTTTAAAATTAAATCAGAAAATACTGATTATTTGTTTAACTACTCAAATCTATCTCAATGTATACAATAGCAATTGTAAAAATATTGCAATGACAAATTTACTTTAAAAATTATTAGGAAGTTAATAGTTTCAAATTTTATGTAACATTTTTTAAGAACTATATTTTACATAATGAATTATTATTTATAAAACAATGCCACAAAACAGAAAAATGTCACCTCTTCCATATCCATGTGTATGTTTTGCAAAGCTGTTTACAACAGCATCAACAGCTTCCTTCAAAACTGTTTTAGCCTTTGCATCATTCATTAGACCAGTGTGTGCACTTGCATGCACAGTGGCGGCAGCATCTGCAGCAACTGACGCCATGTTATGTGGTGTGTAATGCATCTGTGTGGTTTGTTGTTGATTTTTATGGACCCTTGGTGAAGCCGCAGATCTTCCCGATCCAACTTTTATCTCTATTTCTTCCATGTCTGAAGAGCTTTTTTTACATTATCAGCATGCCTAAAAATGAAACAAGTGCAATTAGATTGACAGATGCCATCTATCTTTAACCGAATCCCTGACAGCAACTTGTAAGAAATTTATCTGGCAGCCACATATATTTTAATTTTAAACATTATATTAACTATTATTAACAGAATCCCTAACAAAATACAATCTCGAGCTGCCTAAATAAAATTCATTATCGACTATAGTAGGCCTATAGACTTATCCATAGGTTACTTTATGGTTTGTCTGTATCTTATATAATATATAACTTTACCTGGGGAACAATGTTTTCCTGTTCAGTCACTGTTGAGAGCTAGCTGGCTCTCTCTCTCTCTCACAAACACACACTAACAGTAACACTACTCACTGACTACAAGTCAGTAGTACTGTATTCCGTATTGCTGCACAGAGTACAATAATTATAATTAAATAAATAATAAATACACTCAGTTGTCTCCACTTCCCGGTGCTGATGAGGGGTGTGGGGAAATTGCGAGACGCGAAAAGCGAAATGGCGAGGCGGGAAAATGCGAGAAGGGCGCGAAAACGGTCGGTCACGTGACTTTTTTGTCTCGCATTTTACCACAACCCGATACTTACGCTGGGTGGTGTTGAAATGCGAAGATTTCTGCGAAAAATTTACCGCACCCGACTTTCAGTGGTATTTGGTCCAGACTTCAAAGATGTTTCGTTTACATTGTTAAAACTTCCGATTTTTCCGTCGCTAGACATACTGATGATTTTTCAACTCCCCCCATCTTTTGTGTCGACTTAGAATACCACCTTGTTCGAAACCGACGGAAATACCGCCGACGATAGATCAACTTAAGTCTTTTGTGTGGAACGCCGAGGCCGCCTGAATTACCTTCTTTGAAGATCGCCGTGCCCGGATCCGCTGCCGCCGCGAACATATTTTCTATTGTTGCATAGAAATTTTGTATTATAGCCGCCGCCTACGATTTTTTTCTAGCTTTTTTTACCATATAAATCTAAGCACAAAGAAATGCCTACATCATTTGGATACAACTATTCTGGATGTAAGAACTACTTACTGTGTGTTTTCTCTTCCAATGTTCCTTTACACTAATTTATATTAGACTTTATATCACGGTTGTGACTTTTCCGAATTTTCCCATAAATGTTATATTATTATTTATTAATTAATTGTATATATATATATATATATATATATATATAAATTATATGTATATATATATATATATATATATATATATATATATATATATATATAATATATATATAATATATATATATAATTTATTATTTCCATAAATAAGTCAGAAAAAATAACATCAACTTAAGTATGCGATTACTGCCCTGTGTGAAGGTGAGGACTAGATTAACCCTCCCTTATGTGTTGCTTATTCCTAAGCTTTTATGAACTCTCAATGCCCCCAGTTTTTTTCCTCTTACTTACTGTTTGGGGAAAAAATAAAGTGACGTCACCGATATTATCAGTTGCTCGTGCTGTATCGTAAGCTATGGGCCTACTTCAAATATTTTTAAAACCAAGTTGAACTTATCTGAATTTTTTGGTTTTGGTGGTGGTGTTATTTGGGTTCTTCCATAAATGACGTCACACTCGTAGGGGGGGGTCTGTAATTTTATGACGAGCTAGATTTTTAAATTAATGCCGACTGAGACGGGATTTTCTTCTCGCTAACAAGAGCGGGCGATGACAGTAGCACAGCAACGATGTTAGGATTTTTAAATAGATAGATCTAGATATAGATCTATCTATCTTCTTAGTATCTAGATTAAAAAATAACAACATACAACACTCGTGTTAAAGGGTATGGCTAAATGCTTGTTTATTTTAAAACAAAAAAAAATAATTTCAATAAATAAAGATGGAAAAAAAAAGAAAAAAACTTTTTTTCGCAAAAAGTGTCTCGCTATTTACCCTTAATTCCGCAGGTATGTCTCGCATTACCTTCTCGCATTTTCCCGCCTCGCCATTTCGCTTTTCGCGTCTCGCAATTTCCCCACACCCGCTGATGAGGACTCTGGCCCGGGCTGAACTGTTTAACTGCTAACAACAATTAGATTTTGTACTCGACTATCACAAAGTACTAATTACTAAGCTAAGCTAGATCTAGAGTCTAGTCTAGAGTGTCACCTCAAGTCACCTGACATCGCTCCCTCTGCCTTGAAGTTGGTGAACTAGAATTTCTAGATCTGATTCAAGATCTGTTTGTCTTATAGTTTTATTAAATAGTTAAATTATTGTTGTATCCTTTTTTTCTTATGAATTAATTTAGTAGTTCTAACACTAACAGCTTGTCTAAAATATTATAAATTAAACTTAAATAAATTGTATAGATCTAGTCAGAAAATACTATTCTTAAGTTTACTAAACAAATCAGCATAAAAAACCTTAACCAGCAGTACTAGATCTATTTCCGGATGATTTGTCTAAACACCAATTTCTCGCGAAACTTTACAAAAACAAATGCGGTGACAAGTAGCGCTGATATATTTTCAAACATTGAACAGTTTGACTATGAGTGATCGAAATCTAGATTTAGCTGCCATTTGACAATATTTATAACAATTTTCTTTTTAAAACCCAACCGTCTGGATAGGACTGCCTTACCCTTGCCTTAAGGACTAGGTTGATATGCTTGCCTATAAAATATAGTTCTTAAGAATAACAATTAGATCCAAAAAAATGTTATTGTTTTTTTAATCAATTTGGAATAACGTGCATAATAAATTAAATATAATGCTCATGAAATGTATAGGGACTTTTGAATAACTTCTTACCCACCCTATGGCATACTCAAATTAACTGTAAGCCTAGTACTAGAAGGTATACTTCTACGACAGTGGTCCCCTTTGATAATTTAATTCTAAATAGATGGATTTTTGCACTCATTTAATATGAGTTTCATCTATAATATAATTATAATCATCAAATATATTAACGCCTTATGTAGCTATAAAAAGTCAGTAGAAAATAATATAATATATATATAAGCTATTTTTGTAATAGATTGATTACAGTACAGCTGTTGTGTTATTGTTTCTTTTAACAATAGTCCACATATTTGACATATATACCGCAGGTTGATAAAAGTTAATTATCATTTAGATCTAGCTTAATTAAATGTCAGTGATTATTAAATAAATATTTTCTTAACAATTTTAATGATTTAAGTTAATGTTTCTCAAATAAACGAATTTTTTAAATTTTTAATTGGGAATGATTTTAATGTAACTTTTTTCAAGTTAACAAATTGATTTTTAGATTATACAAAATATACACATTGCCCAAAGTTTGTTAAAATGAATGTCGTTTGATTAATTTTAATATATTAATAAGGTTTATGTTATATATTTTCGTTGAAAGATTTTTAAAAATCTGGACGTTTGATCACCCATTGTTTACATCAGAGACCAGTAGTATCATCCGAGTTCACAATACTGTCTAACGAACCAAATCTGCGTTTACTTTTTATTTACATAGCCATTTTGATAAGAAATAATGGAGAGTGAATTTCTGTATCGTAAAAGATGCACACTATTAAATAAAAGTTAGCCTTAATAACCAACAATTCTCTGAAGATGGTATGTGAAATCAAAGTTAACATTTAATAAAGTAGAATCTAAATTCTAGTAAAATTTTAAACTAAAAGATTCTGTCCTAAAAGTCTAGAATTATTAAAATAGATTTTAAGTCAAATCTGAAGTCTGCTAGAACAAATCTTCCACTCGAGTTCTTATAGAGAATAGAGATCTAGATCTAGGTCTTAGAGTCTTAGAGTGTCTTAGACTCTTTACTTGCTTGTTACTTTAGTTAACTTCAGTACTATTAGGATTTACTATTAATATTAAATGGTAAATTTATAAATAATAAAAATTATTACAAAGTAAAGCATCAATTCTAGAATCATCACTACAACTTAAAAAAAAAAGACTAAAACATGTTTCTACATGCCTAATAATATTTTTATATTTTAATTATTAGGCTATACTAGAATCTATATGAATATGTTAATATAATATAATAATGTTGCATATTCATTGTGATTTGTCGGTGTTGTCACTTCTCTTCCCCCCCCCCTCCTAATACAAGCAAATTGAAAAGGAGATCTGGTCATATAGGTTAATGCCTTTACAAGCTTAGATCTACAACCACACATTTTACATATCGGTAAAAACATTTAACTAAAAAACAGTTTGATCTAGCTAGATCTAGGACTATCATCTGACCTACTTAGGCTACTAGATAATAGATATAGATCTAGATTCTATTCTATTCTTTTGACCTGCACCGATCTAGAGAAAAGATTTAGCGGATCGCAGAGCGATCCACGCAAATGTGAGCCTAAAATTATAATGGATCAAGTTCAAAATTCAAATTATAGGCATACTATTGGTTGTATTTATGATTTAATTAATTTTAATTATATATATATATATGTATATATATATATATATATATGTATATATATATATGTATATATATATATATATATGTATATATATATATATATATATGTATATATATATATATATATATATATATATATATATATATATATATATATATATATATATATATATATATATATATATATATATATATATATATATATATATACCTATAATTATTAATTAGGCCTAACATAAATTATTCCAACTTTTATTTTAAAGTATGCCTGCTGCATCAACCTTTGTAATCCTTGCCACCCACCCCTTCATCACATGTCTAAAAATGACCTGACAAATTTCTTCCCCCCCACCCCTCCCCATAAAATACTTGTTTTAAAATATTGACATCAGCTACATTACACTCTCCAGTCAAACCGCCCTCTTACCTAACTGTCTAACATGTAGGTTACTTAATATAAGAACTCACAAAAAATTTCTATTCACTGCAATACTTAATATACAATTCAATTTAGAACCGCAAATCAGTGGATAGTGATGATTCAAGTTCTGATTGGGATACCACAGTAGCTGAATCTCCAACCCACAAAGAACCACCACCTCCAGTTGTCTTAAAAAATCAAGTTTCAGAGAAAATTAATGAAGGAGATTATGCTACTGTTACCCCAAAACCTCGAACTAGTATCAAAGGTGTGCATAACATGTTTTCTTTTGTGCTTTTCAGCTTTATTATAAACAACATTAAATTGTTAAAAATTGTTGTTTTTTTTTAATTTACATATTTTCATGAAATTGTAATTAAGTTATAAACAATCTAATCTTTCTTCTATAACAAGATGAGGGAGTGTCAAAATCTCCCGCTTTAAAGTCTACACAACCAGACATTAAAAAAAAGTAAGAACGTTTTCAAATCATTATGGGTATACATTTTAAATACTTTTTAAATGCATTACTTTGTTTACAAAGATCTTTTTTTTTAAAGAAAATTTTTTTAAAAATCCTATTCTATTCAACTACAATAATAACTTTTTAATTGTACATGCTTAATAAACTATATCATAAGCATTTTAGAGTATGTAAGAGTGGGATAGGGGAGAGAACTAAGTTCTTGCATTGCCGAGAAGTTAACTGTAAATCTATGTTTGGCAAAACAAGATATCCTCTCCCAAAGTTAATTTGTAATCTTTTCAAATTTTAATTTCTTTATATGTATACAAACACTAATTTAAGCTACTAATATCAGTTGTTCACACAAACTGTGCTTAATTTGATCATTATCACATACTTTTTTTGTCACTTAATTAAGGTCACTTGCAGTGTTGATGAACACAATACATTGCATTACTGTAAAACTTTCTGTCTTAAAATTTTATTAATTTGTTTTTTAAAGGTGCAATTTCAGTTACAGATTTTTAGTTTCTTTCATTCAAACAGGACTTCTTAATTATATTAGAATTATATTTTTGTGTATTGAAATAATTAAGGTGTATTCATTATTAAGCAATTACTTATTGAAAAAAATTACAGTGTATACTTCACTATGAAGAGCGCTCAATTCTTTTCTAACCAATTTGTTAACCCTTTTACACAACATAAGCCATTATTATATATTGTATGTCTCTAAAAACCTTTTTTTTTTTAAATCAAGTAATTAAGTGTTAACAAACTCATTAGTTGTGTTAACATTTTAAACTAACTACACAGTTGTAAAGGACTTGGTTAGAGTACACAACATTTTGTCTGCTCAATCTGCTTTTGATATGGATGACAAGTATTATGATTATTAATTTATTATCTTTAATATGTTACATACTTTTTATTTATTCCATAAATATAATATTATAACATTTTTTCCTCTACTTTTAGAGACAAACCAGCTGGGCCCAACAACAGCGGAATTGTTTCTCCACCTCCTCATCTGACTACATTTCAAAATGCTCTTTCAGGTATCACTAATGAGTTTTATTTTGTAGTTTTCAGGTTTGATATCCAGTTAATTAGTTAATGGAGTTATAAATAAGTTTTGTTCTTTTTGTCTGCGAGCCATATATTAACAATAAAGGAGAAGCAACGCCTTGGCGCTTGACCATCCTTTTCAAATGTATTTTTGTTCCTTTTTTCCATTCCCTTGTGGTGTCCACTCCTATGGTTTGTATAGTGATGTGATTGTGCTTGTCACCATTACTTCTCAATTTCATGGTTATGTTTCAGCTAAGATAATATCTTCAAAAAATTGGTAATGTCTTTTACTTTACAATTTACAAACTGAATAAACTAGGCAAATATTTCACATTTTTAGTTGTGCAAATTCATTCAAATAAATGAAAATTATCTGTGTAACCTGTAACAACACCTCAGCAAAAAACTGCAACTTTAGTGCACTACCATTGCAGAAGCAAAAGAGTTAGTAAAATGCTCTAAGCTATATTAAAATGAGTTTTTAGGTGATACTTACAATAAGCAAAGAATAGCTTCTAATATGTGGATCAATCTATAGCCCCAGTAGACAGTTTTATTAGGTTTAGTTATCAAGGGCATTAATTAATACAACTGCATTTATTTAAAGTTTCATGATAAATATATCATTTCATAACAAAGTAAACTATATAACATGTTATATTTATCTAAACAAAATTATATATTAATTGTTTTGCAGACTACTCAACTGTTTATGAAGCTGTCCCAGATATTCCTCCCAGAGGCTATGAAGGAAAAGGAAAACTTTACACAGTGCCTGAGACTGAACCTTACTCATCTCCTAAACATGATGGAAGTAAGTTAAGGAAATCATAATCATTTGAATTTAAATGAGTTTATTTATAGTCTTCATTGAAAATTAAGGTATCATTTGTAAAGTAAATTTATGAGATGTATGTGAATAAAACTTTAGCACTGTCAATGTTTTGAACACTTAGTTAACTGGGATGACAGTGATGAGGAAGAGAGAGTTCTTAAGGAGTTGCGACGTGAACGTGAGAAACAGAAGAAACAGCAACCGATTTCATGGGACAGAAAGCCCCAGACAATCAGTGATAAAACTTTAGGTAAAACTAAACGTGACTTGACTTCATGTATTGATAATATTTTTGTCAAAAGTAAGGTCTTCATTTGACATTAAGTCCACTCTGGTAGCTTATAAACATCAAATTTAAAAGCATAATCTACAATTTTTCACTTGTTTTTAATGTTTTTGAATGTTAATATCAATTAAAGTATTTTAAACTTTATTCAAGTTCACCTATTAAAATTCTAATTTTTGTAAAATTATTTTTACCTCATTTTATGTAATTATATTTCATTTCATAAATGTAATTTTTTAACAATGAAATAAAATTAAATGCATCCACAAACAGCCGCAGCTGATAACCATGGGTATGTTCCCAGTCCCAAAATAACAAGATCAAGTGAGTCAAATATAGATCGTTGGGCGAAAATCAGTGAACCTCATCAGATGAAATCTCCATCATTAAAGGTAGTGGTCAGAACAATATTAAGTTTCTTCTTTTAAATAAGAATGGTTTTAGTATGTTATGGGGATGGCATGGTTGAATGGTAGAGCAATGGGCTGCTAGCCCAAAGATCTTGAGTTAGATCTGAGTTTGGACTTGTGACTGTAGGACGTCCCTTAGCCTGATAGATGCTAGACTTTCATTAGGGATAGTAATGGTGGCTGGGCATTTGAACTCTACTTCATCTGCCTGATGGATCACTAGGTCTAAAGAAGAGTCTGTATATTTACTTGGTATATTATAGATTTTCAAAGTTAGAGTAGTGATTTATATGTTCACATTTTAACAATGTATGATTCTTTTTATTTAGCCAACTCTTTACAAAATTACTCCTTGTAAATTCAATAGCACCTTCTTTTGTGGCCATTAAACAATTATTAATTATGTTGTTTTGTTTTTTCTTAAAATAATGGTAAAATTTATATGATATACCATTTCATCCTTTAAAAATGGAAACTAATTAATATTATCTTTTGTGATAGTTATTTTATGACAAACAATATTTTCTATAATGAAGCCATATGTTTCATAATATGTGATTATTTGCTTTAATTTTATAAATCATATCTATTATAAATATATCAACTTTTATGTAGTTAAAATATACTTTTGTTTTTATTTACACTTACTGTCGCTTTGAATAAAGTTAAGCATAGTTTTTTAAAATGGTTCTACTATCAAGTGCAATTAAAGTAAAAAAATTTACATTTGTTAAAAATAAATTTCTTTTTTTTTAATTTAAGATCTTCTGTTAAATTTAAATCATTAATGACTTCTATTTTTTTAGATCAATGAAATCAGCTCTGATCCAGTTAAAAAAACATTACATTTAGAAAACAGTGATAGTAAACCACCATTTCATCAGGCAAACAGAGGAAAGATTTTAACTTCTCCAGTGATCATCAAAGATGCTACTGGGAAAAGGTGATTACTAACAACCCATGAGTTTGAAATTATAATTTATCCTATTTCTTTCACGTACAAAATGTGCCTATGCTCTTGACATAGTAGTTTTCAATTTTCTTCTTTCAAGCTGTATCTTTTACTTTGAAGAGGGCAACCCACATTTTTTGGAAGTGTCAGAAGATGAAGTTGATGCTTATTTGCCAGAGAAAGTTGATGAGTATGTGAATATTTTTGCAGTTTTTACTGAGTAATATTTTTAGCTGTTTATCAAATGGAGAACTTTGTCAAACTAATTCTTATTTATAACATCCTAATGCATGTTTTTGACTATTTCAGATGGGAAAAGTTATTCAGACGTGTTTGGAGAGAAATCTTTGCAGCACTTCGAATAGTCACATCAATATTTATATTATTTGTGGCAGAGCTTATACTTTTTCTGGTTCATCATATTTTGCGTCCACTAATCCTTGACTCAACACGAGCTATTGGGGACTTTTTGCTGAAACCCTTTTTAACCCTTATTTTCAATGTCATTCTGCAACCCTTTTTTGCCCTGATGTGGAACACACTGAATGCTCTTGCTCAAGCATTTGAACCCATAATTAGACTCTTGGGAGCTTTATTAACTCAGGTAAAATAAATGTAACAACCGTGATGGCTGGTTTCATATATATTGATGTGTGTGTGTGTATATATATATATATATATATATATATAGATATATATATATATATATATATATATAGATATATAGATATATAGATATATATATAGATATATATAGATATATAAATATATATATATAGATAAATATATATATAGATAGGTAGATAGATAGGTAGATAGATAGATAGATTAGATTAGATTAGATAGATAGATAGATAGATAGATAGATAGATAGATAGATAGATAGATAGAAATATATATATATATATATATATATATATATATATATATTAGAGTGTAATTTAATGAGTTTGCTTTCTTTTTAGGTGGCAATAGTTGTGAGAGCTTTTAGACTTTTTGTGATTCATTGGAACTCAGCACCACCATCAAGCTACCGTCATGAAATGGAGATGGTCTGATTTTAACCTTGAATATTCAAGATGAATTTAAAAAGCCTGGATATTCATAAAGAAGAATGTTGTTGTTGTTAAAATTGTACAATTTTAAAAATATGTATTTCCATTGTTATTGCTTTTTTATTAATATTTTTAAAAAGTATCTTTAATCATTATTACGACTTTAAAAAGTGACTAAAACATGTTCATACATGCATAACATTACCTAACAATGCTGCATATTCATTGTAATTTTTTCAGTTTCTAGATCTAGTACATTTTTAACAGAATAATTAATGGATCTATCATAAATAGATCAAGTTCAAAATTTATGATTTAATTAATTTAATGATTACAATATTAATTATATCTATATATAATTAGGCCTAACATAAATTATTCTTTTTTTAAAAAGTAGGACTGCTGCATCAACCTTTTGTAATCCTTGCCACCCACCCCTTCATCATAATACCTATCAAAAATATCAAATTTTTCTTGTTAAAATGTGCACTGGACTCTTGATAACTGGATATTTTCTTAACACTAGTACCAAAATTTTTGAGTTCCAGTGATTTTTCACTCTGTATCTAAAATTGTACATTCTGACCCTAATTAACTGTCATTATAAACTCCTGAAACCAAAATATCTTTTATTTGTTATAAAAATTTCTTTTATTAGGTTTAGTGCTATATTCTTTCAGTGAATAACAAAATTTTGTTGGCTAGCTAGCTGTTTTGTGTATGACTACCTGTTAACTAAAATTTTATAAGCCATGTTATTTTAAAAAAAATTAATTCAACATATTTTTTTTGTAAATAATTAATTTTTATTTAATTGAATAAGTTATTTGATATACAAACTTTAAAATCACAAGTTGACATCTTCCTTATGCTTAAATGTAAATTAATTTATGTCCTTGGTTTCAAATAGGAATTATCCTCCTAAATAAAGCACTACTTCTTCCATTTTTAATTTGAAGTTTTAACTATTTACTTTTTCCCATATAATGCCAAGAGGTAATTACAATTTCCAAGTCTTCCTTTTCAGGTAGGAAGATTATGTTATTTAAATTTAACCATTATATTTTAAGTGTCCAATTTTTAAATCAAAACAGTGCAAGTATACTTAATTATTTACTTTTCATGAATTTGTGATCTGAGCGTAATATCAAAATAGGTAATTCATTTAGCTAAGTTGTGTCAGTTATTCTTTTTTGAATCATAAAATATTCATATTAATGATGCAACACTCTTTGTTTTAAATAAATCTACTATTGTTTTGTCATTTCACTAATTTAATTTGTATCTCTCTAAAATAGGAGTGCTGATAATAAAGCTTATAGAGTTCACACAGATGTAGTAGTTACCCTTTTAAGTCTGACTGTCCACTGGGCAGATTAAGTTCACTTCTTTCTCAACATACAGAGATTGTGTGGTAAATAGAACTTATCAAGATATCTTGTGCTCTACATCCATAATCAAAATTATTTTTCTTCGCTATTGTTTGCTGTGTTTTGGATTATTTAATGTATCAAGTTTGTCTTGAAAAAAATTGAGATTTTACTTTTAAGTAGTGCTGTAGTGGTTAACCAGGAGTCAGAATTTGTTTTGCTTGAGGATCTGAGAAAACAAGGATTTTGTAAATCTTATGTTACAGTACAGCTAAATTTTATAGTGTAATTTTAATTTTTGACTAAATACTATTTTGAGGTTGTGTTACATGTATATTGTGTTAACCGGTTCTTATTTAAAATCATTTTTCTTCAGCCACTGATAACTATAATGTAGTAATTATATGCTGTATAACTTTACTCAAATTGTTCTTACAATTATAAAATGGCACTATTAAATAGCATCACATGTCTAGCCTATAATGCAAATAAAACAAAACTATTTCAAATATATTTAGAGATCCTTACACAGTACATTTTTCTTATGTGCATCATAAAGTGAAAATGTCGTTAAGTTTTCATTTATTTATTTATGTCGTCCTAAGTTTGGTTCAATAAAATATAATCTGTTTCTCTCTATTTGTTTTTACAAGTACATTAATCTGTAATAGAAATTTGTATCTACATTTGTAGTAAATGCAGTGAAAAAACATGAAAAAAAAACCCAATATTACATTAGTAAATTATTTTGATTACTCTGACTATTTAATAAAAAATACAATGATACCAGACTTTGCCTCAAGGTAACACATTCTTACTCTACAGCAAACAAATGGAAACAAAAATTTTCAATTATATTTACAAGCTAAATTTTAATAGGAGCAAATCTTGAAAGTTATAAATAGAATCTTGATACTTAATTAACATTATTCACTGGTGGCATCTTTATATATACACATTATTAATAGAACAATTTAATTTATTGGATATCCTGCTATTTCTAACGAATTTGAACCTGGAAATAGATTTTTTCCAGAACCCACTTTTTTCTTCAAGTTTACAGTTTTCGATTTTTTGTTTTTCTTCTTTTTTTTCTTTTTAGAAACTTTTTCATTGCTTACACTTTCACAAACTTCAGCTTCCTTTACTTCCTCTTTTGTCGTTTCCTTTTCTAGATTGATGTCTTCAGTCTGTTCTTGAGTCACATCAATTTTCTTACTTTTCTTTCCACTACAGGCACTTGCAAGTTCACTTGTTTCCAGTGGATTATCATCTGAACTTACATTTTTTGACTTCTTTGATCTTTTAGAAACCTTGACCTTATCTGTATCCATTATTTCTTCATGTTTTTCCAATATAGTTTCCACTATACTATCATCAGAACATACATTTTTTCCCTTCTTTGATTTTTTAGAAACTTTAACCGTATCTGTATCTATTATTTCTTTTTCTTTAGTTTGTTTTTCCAATACAGTTTCCACTATACTATCATCAGAACATACATTTTTTCCCTTCTTTGATTTTTTAGAAACTTTAACCTTATCTGTATCTATTGTTTCTTTTTCTTTAGTTTGTTTTTCCAATACAGTTTCCACTATACTATCATCAGAACATATATTTTTTAACTTCTTTGATTTCTTAGAAACTTTAACCATATCTGTATCCATTTCTTCTTTAGTTTGTTTTTCCAATATAGTTTCCACTGATTTATCATCAGAACCTTTTTTTGACTTCTTTGATTTTTTAGAAACTTTAACCGTGTCTGAATCAATATTTTTCTCATCTGTAGTTGGTTTTTCTACTGTGTTAACTTCTGAAGTTACATTTTTTAACTTCCTTGATTTTTTAGATACTCTATCAATATTAGTATCACTATTTTCCTCTTCTTTATTTTCCTCCCCATTTTCCATGCTAACATCTAGCACATATTTATCTTTCTTGGACTTTTTAACTTTGCTTCCTTCACAATTTTCACTTTTTCTAGACTTCTTCGCTGAATTTGTATTCTCTTCACCTACAATAGCAACATCCTCATCTTCTCGCTTCCTCTTTTTCTTCTTCTTATGCGATTTTGAACTGCTATCTTCCCATTTATCCTGCTGATACCATCCTCTACCGCCTGACTCTTCTTCAGGCTCCATCTTTTTGTCCTGACTATTATCATCATTTTCATACAGTGAAGGTGGTGGCATGGCACCATATACAGGTGGCACCCTGTTTTCTGACTTCTGAACCTCAGTGGGCACATCACTGTCTTTGCTTTCCAAGCCATTGCCAACACCAGATTCCTTCCTAGCTTTTAACTCAGCCATCTTTTTAGCAAAATATTCTTGAACACTGGTAGTACTTGTAACTGTTGTTAAACCATGTCGTTCTTCTTCTTCATCATCTGAGTTGTTCTGTTAGCATAAAAATTAAATTACATTGCATAAAAAAAAATATTACTTTTTAAAAAATGAATTGTTTTTTAAATTAAGCAATCTGTAATTGAATTAAATTAACAATTTAGAATAAAACATTTTTTTCTTCATTAAGTTATCCACAAGTAAACAGTTCTAGTAAATACCAAAACTTACTGTTGATTGAGAGGCTGGAGTAGCTGGTTCAGAAGCATTTTTTCTTTTTCCAAATATGCAGTCCAGATCTTCAGTGGTCCTCAGTTTTTGCACACGGCCTCGAGCAAATCTTCCATAGCTTAAATCATAAAATACCAAGGTTAGACAAACGCAAATTTGAAGTAGAGATCTAATTTCTAATATGGTAACTTCTTTTAATATTTGACTTAAAATGCAAGCCTGCTCCATTTATTGTTTATGTGTTCAAATCATAGTATTAACCTACTATCTTTTCATGCCATCAGTTCGGTTCTGCTCTAGGCTAGTATCTTTCTGTTCATCAGTCCCAGCATTTAAGGTTTTGAGAAGATCATTGAAGTCATCTTGATGAGCTATCCATGCATCAGCATCTTTAGGAGTGCACCCAAGTCCTTAAACATGATAGAATATGGTTAATTTACAAACAATTTAGGCTAATTTTTTAATTCAAGGAATCAACATGTGACCGATCACCTAAAAAAAAAACAATTTCTTTCAATACCTAAAAAAATACCAAGAATTAAAACCCAAATATAATGTACAAAAATAATTAAATTTAAAAAGTATTAACACTTTTCAAGCTAGAAAGACATGCATATCTTGATTATTTCTCTGTTCATAAAATAGGACTTCAAATAAAATTACCTTCTTTTTTTATTTTTGCAAAAAGAAAGAAAGAAAAAAAAAAAAAATATATATATATATATATATCAGTTTTCCTCAAGCATAAAAATATTATTTCCTTAAGCTAATCTCTGAATGCAATTAAATCATATCACTTACCTCTACTGTCAGACTTGTAACTGGCTTTGATGTGCTCTGTGATACCATTCTCTTTTGCTCCTAAACCTTTACCCTTCTCCCAGCCCATTTTCTCCATCAGACGTTGCCCAATTTTTGTGTCATCTGAAATTTTGTAAAAAGCAAATGCATAGTACGTCAGAACAAATAACTAAACCTTGGGTCGAGGACTATATTAATAAAATAATAAACTTGTAAAAACTGGAAAAGCAAAGAAACGTAAAATTAGTAAAATGCAAGAAAAAAAACTTGAAATGATGAAATGGTAGAATGCGTGATAAAAGTTTGAGCTATAGTTGAAAAACCACTGGTCAATTTAGGGATAGTTTTGAGAGAGTATGTTTTGGTTTTTATTTTTGTTCATTATTGTGCTACCAGATCTGTTGTTTCCTTTCATCTTATTTAAACAATCCTATCTATTTCTCAACAATCTTGGTTTAGGTTTTTTGAAAAATCATTCTCTTGCTAATCTTACTTGTATTATTTTATTCTACATCATTAATGTCATTATATTAGGCTTACATAAGTGTTTTTATAGCCTAAATAGTGTAAATACTACTATTTATTATTTTTAAAATTTGATCTTACAATTACATAACTTTTTGAATTACAAAATTTTATAAAATCAATACAGACACAAAAAAAGAATGATAAATCATCAAATCCACAAAATGTACATAAAAATACATTTATAATAATTGCATACAACAATACAATGAAATGACTGCTGGGACTACGATATTTCAAGTCGTCCCTTTGAAATTGAAAAGAATAAAGATATTTCAAGTGGTCCCTTTGAAGTTTGAATCCTGAGGAGAATGAGATGAGACCCTCTGTCTGTCCCAGCCAACATTTGAACAGTGGCAACAGATGGGTCTTGTAATGACATAGAGTTAGTTTGGTCAGCACTATGCCCAGCCGCCTTAAGTTTTTCCTCAAGTGTGTCAGGTACCCATAATGATCAAAACTGGCTGCTCAGTCAGGGGAATAGGACTGACTAGGTCTGAGTAGCTCAGACTCAGTTAACTGATTTAACTCAAGTTTAACTGCAGCAGAGCTGGGATCCCAACTCGAGAGTTGAGAGTAGTTGAGACTTTTTAGACTAATAAATAAGCCGAGTTTGGAGTCGTAAGAGAAGGGCGGGTCTTAAATTTAGTTTTAGAATTGTTACCATTGCTCCAGTTAGTATTACGTGGATCAAGGCCAAATTTTGCTTTTCTCTTAGGTTCTGCTAACAGAGCCATTGTTCCTCGTGTACGTTGTTTATCGAACTTAACCCGGAAATTCACTTCCAAACAAAAAAAAATGAACTCTCCAAGACCAAAAATTTAAAAAACTTCTCGGGTCATAAAAGGTCACCCCCTCCCTAACCCCCTCCCACACTTTTGCATTATAAAAAAGCAATGTTAGAAAACGAATTTTGGACGTTATTTCGCGTTTTAGAAAACTGTTTTAATAAATTGTAACAGGAATTGATTAAAATACTCTATTTTGATAGAGTTCAGACAAGATTTTAGACAAATATTGATGTTTAAAAAAAATTCAAAAGCAATTTTGAGGGGGGGGGGGGTTGTAGGCTGAGGTGTGACGTCATTTTAGGGGGGAGGTCTGGCTTTTTGTGACGACGTGTGGCGGAGGGGAGGGAGAGGTAAAAATCGTAAAAAAAAGCGTGACGTCATTTATGGATGACCCCTTGATACTGCTATAGCAGTCGGCCTACCCTACATTTAATGAAAATGTCTCATTGAAAAATATTTTGTGTCCAAAATAAAATATAAAAGTAGACCCAATAATCTTTACCCTACAACATAAAGGGGGGGGGGGGGCTTTATCGGACTTCACTACATTCTGCTGTTCAAAATTGTCTGCTTATTAAGACTTTTTCAACTACATGCTTAATACCACCAGTGTTTCTTCCAGACTTTTTTCTCCGAGGGGAGGGACGTATAAATAATACCCGTACTTATAAATAGATCTATATTGTGATGAAATAATTTGTTTCATGTAGGCCCTTATTATGGCTAGATCTACCTCTCAGCGTCCAGTAGAAAATAAAAGATCTGTTTTAAACCAACCCATTGTCAACACCTCATAAATTTACTGACTCTTCACACATTCGATCTACCATTTCAGGCATGATTTCACACTAGAAAAAAAAAGTCGATGCATATTTAATTTTTATTTAAACAAACTTTTGGGAAAAATTCGTTTTAGCCACTAGATCTAGCACTTTTCGGTTACAAACCCAGATCTGGACTCCCGACAAAACGGCTCCCGACTTTAATCTGGCGACAAAATAGCTCCCATCATTGCGGTTCCTGTAGAGCTTTCTCATGAATATAAAATATACCAATAGAGGGGAAATATCTATTTCATACGGAGAGGACAAAATATTTTAGATGTTCTTGTCGGTTTCTAATAATAGTATTTTGTCCTTTCGGTGTTTGTCCTACCATTAGATATCCAACCAATGGCGTACTAGCAATAACAAACACACGAAGTTCGAATTTACTGAAACTCGCTGTTGTGTACAGTGTACAGTAAGTTACACATGAAATACCCTTACTTAAACTTAAAGTACAGTACGACATTTGTCATTTAAAATCATGCTAGATCTAATTATATAATTGCTTATAATGCATGATATTAAATCATAGATTGGTTTAAAGCAAATTATTTGATTGTAATTGTATGGACCATGGATCTAGCTCAACAGTCAACACTAGTCAACAGTCACCAAGCTCCAATCTCACAGCCAGTGACACATTCACGGTCTAGATATAAAATTAAATATAAATATTGATCTAGAATGGTTATCTAATATCTAGGCCTACAGATTAGTGCAGATCTACTAACAATTTGGAATTTTAGCCGCCCCCTCCCCTCATTCACTTTGTCAACCTCTCAAAACTCATTTCTAATTTACTAGAATTTAACTAGATTTATTTCAGTTATATTTCTATTACATTTTATAATGCAGGCCTACGTTATTACTGATATAGCCTACACATTTAATAATTTTGGTTGCCCATTATTGGCCAAATTGACCAGGTCGAATTTTATCATAGGGGACCTAATTAATATTATTTTGAAGGGACTGCTCGAAAAATCTCACCTCCCCCACCCCCCCCCCCAATCATTATCTGGCTTGGAAAAGTTGCAAAACTCAATGACTTAAGTAAATAGCTGCGCAGTAGGATCAATTACTCTTTTAGCTTTATTCTTCTGAGAAAAATATCTGTACTGTGTGGTCGAGCCGTTGCGCTTCATGCGGGTTTTCAGGGGGTTTAGCTTTTATAGTAAAGCTAGTAAAGAGTTCTAGTCTATAGGCCCAAGTTAAGTATAAAATATTTTTTAAAGTTCTATTTTAATAGCATGAAGCCTATTTAAATCTACTATTTAAGTATTTATCGTGTTAATCCCTGTCCCATTATACAAAACATAGGCCTAAACAGCGAACATGTAGATGAACAGAAAAACCAGGTAATTGTAGAGCGAGCACATGCAGATACTTTTCCGGCTAGAATCGGCCTTATTCTTTTCTTTATCAGTAGGATGTATATCTATAATTAATAGGCCTAATAACAACAGATTAAGAAGAAAGTGAGAAGTTTTTTTTTCTATTAAAATCTACAGAAATTGTATAAATAAATGTCTATGCATTCACACAGACTCAAACATCCAAGCTTAACTTACACACACATTGCCATGATTCTGATTTCTAACTGCTGGATTACCTCTAACTGCTGGATTACCGGTGTGAAATTTTCACCATGCACAATTTTCTGCATGAATTTTCTTGTGTGCTTAAATTTTTCTTTGCACACTTTTTGTGTGTACAATTGTTTAGTTGCGCTTTTTTCTGTTTGAGCATTGCACATCTTTCTGGCCACCTTTAGTAACAGCTGCACATTTCAAAACAAAGTGAAATACCTTGATAATGATTAAATTTAGGCCTATTGGTAGGTCTATACTAAATTTGCTATAAATATCATCTATATATATAATATAATTCTCTTCTGGGAGACGTTAGAAAACAAGGTGCAAGCGCACCTTGCAGTCCCCTCTCTTCCTCTCTATCACTACCACTCCCCCCCCCCCCCCCCCCCCACGGTCTGGTGAGCTGTGGTTCACTCTAAATGTTTACAATCATAGAGCCGGGTTTAGTGACAGCTATTAGGGGCAGATAATTTAGTTTGAAACGATTTTAAACTTAGAGGAGGTAACTAAGAGGAGGCTGCTTTCACGGGGGGGGGGGGTATAGGGTTGGGGGAAAGGGGGGGGGTAGTGTTTTAAACCAAATATTTTCAGTGGCAGCATTGGTACTGTCGAATTCACAAATTATGAATTACTGAAAAGTAGAAAATAAAACAATTAAATAGCGGCATATGATACGCAGCGGGTCGGCTCGTTTAAATTAAACTGATTGCCCTGTTAGTGAGCATAAATTAAAAGTACCATGTAAACTTCTGAATTTAGAATTATATTTTTTCCTACGCAGGTTTCAGGAATGGATTCCTTAAAAGTAGCTGTACGTGTTCGTCCACTACTTTCAGGGTGAGTATTTTGAAAAAGGCTTATAGGCCTATATTATAGATTTACATATTTCCTTGAAAATGAGCAGTAAGAAATTTTTATTTTTATTAAAAGGGTTTTTGGAAACAGACTAGATTGTTTTGAGGTTATTAGCCATTACATATGCCCCTCCCACCTTTATAGCTTTCAAGTAGCCTACTACCCATTAGATCCAGCCCCTTGTTAGCTGACCATTTACTACATTAACTTCAAAGTACAATGTTATACTTTTAGTAGTCAAGGGGAGAAAAAAAAAGCAGGCTGTTGGTAGTAGTAATTAAATATTTTCTGTTTAGAATTAGCTGTTCAGATTTCAATTTAAACTTTGTTAGTGTTTAAATAGTGTAATCAAGTCATAATGTAAATAGGCTTCCCCATTTATCTTTATAGCCCTTCTCTATTTTTTTTTAATAGGGAGAAGTCTTTAGGTTTAAAAGGACGATGGATTTGCACCAATTCATCAATTACTTTAGATCAGTCAAATACTTGTTATGTATTTGGTAAGTAATTAACAATTAACTTTTAATAAAACATACCAGTAACAAATTATATTTCATATTTATTCATCTCATTGGCAACATTTTAAATGAATATAGATCGAGTCTTTGATGAGCAAATATCAAGTTCCACAGTATATAATGAACTGGCATTAGACATTGTGAAGCAGGCAATGGAAGGTTTTAATGGTATGTAAAAAGACATTCACTAGTTGGCTACATACAAATAGTTGTAATGATTAAAAATGCTCTTTACAGACATAGAAATAGCATTATATATGTTTATTAAGACATATGTGAGATTTCTTGTATGTCACATTTGATAATTGTTCATTCTCTCTTTTTAGGTACCATATTTACCTATGGTCAGTCTGGCAGTGGAAAGACCTATACTCTCGATGCATTGAGAACATTTGCCATCAAAACTATTTATGAATACATTGAAAATGTATGTATACCGTTAACAAGCTGCATGTTATATTCTTGCTTATTTTCCTGTTGCTTATGAGAAAATTTTAAAAACTTACAATTGTGTAGTATTTGTTTGAATGTAGACTTTGATAAACCTGTTTTGAAACCATAATTAATTCTCATTTCAGTGTCCCACAAGGGAGTTTTTGCTGAGAGTGTCTTATGTTGAGCTTTATAATGAAAGATTTTATGACTTGCTCGCTGACAATGCAATCTTACTATTAAGAGAAGACCTTGTAAGTTTGTAACATGTTTTTATGTATGATAATATATTTGTAATTTTATAATATTTTTATTGTATTATTTTTTATGCAGATAAATAGTGATTCTTTGTCATATTTACAGGATAGAAATGTTTTCCTAGAAGGCTTAAAAGAAGAAATTATCACATCACAAAGTCATGTTGCTCAAGTGCTGGCTAAAGGCAATGGTAAGTCTAAAAAATATATTGTAAATAGTGCATTTTAGTTTAAATCACTTTATTTTTTTTCTGGATTTCTTTATCGATTTTACATTTCTTTTGTTTATTTTTGCTATAGAAAGACGACATATTGCTGAAACAAAGCTGAATGATTCATCTTCAAGATCACATTGTATTTTTAGAATTGTGAGCTGCTCTTAATAAAAAAATTTTGGAAATCAGTAACTGTATTAGCAGACTTAGAGTATACATTAAATTTTATATAAAGCAAAATCTTAGTAAGCATTTATTTTTAAATTTATAGTTAAATTGTACCAAGTATAAATGTACTTGCCCTGGGGTAAATTAAATACTATTTGTTTTCATTTTGTCACAAAAAAGTAGTAATTTTAATGTTTAGTAAAATAAACTTAATGTCTAGCCATAACTATCTTTTCCTCTTAGGTAATAGAAAGCAGAGAAAGAGAAGATGCAGAAAACTCCTCAGTTTATGTGTCTCACCTGGTAATTCATGTTTTTAGTTGACAGCTAGCTACACAATTACTTTATCACTTCAGCAATCCTGTGATATGCTGATTTAATTATTAATAAAGCTTATGTATTGTGTAGTGAATTGTTAGAATTAGTTACTAATGAAGCCACTTGTCCCAATGTTTCAGAACCTTGTGGATCTTGCTGGAAGTGAAAAGGCTGGAGAGAATAGTGGAGATAGGTTCAGAGAAGGATGTGGTATCAATAAATCCCTCTCAACTTTAGCATTGGTCATCCGCAAGTTGAGTGAAGAAGACAGGTAAAAAAATTACAGTTGTAGCTCATACTGGTCTATTAAACTAATATAATAATTGTTAATTTATTAAACCAATTTTGCAAGAAAAATTTAATGTTAGATCATAAAAATATATTTTTTTTTATTTGCTTGAACCAATTTTATTTTTCTCTCTTTGTCTTTCAGTGCATTTATTAACTACAGAGATAGTAAATTGACCCGTATTCTACAAAATGCTCTAGGTGGTAACTCAAAGACAGCCATTTTGTGTACAGTATCTCCTACTAGCGTTGAGGAGACTCACTCTACACTCAGAGTAAGTTTGTACTACAATGTTTTATTTCGTTGTCTTATTAAACATTTAAATCATTATGTAAGTGGATATATGTTGCAAACATACATATACACACTTGAAACTTATATTTCACAGTAAATGTGTATAATTATGTGATGTTCTTTATTGTAATTGTATTATAGTTTGGATTAAATGCTAAAAAAGTCAAGAACAAGCCTGAACAAAATGAAGTACTTACAGACCGAGCTCTATTGAAAAAATCCCAGCAGGAAATAGAAAAACTGAAGGCTGTAATAAAGAAAGTAAGTCTTTAAAAAAAAATTCTAATTTATTAGAGTTTGATTTTCGCAATTTATAAAAATATGCTAAATAAATATGTTTTAAATAATTATTTTTATTCATTACTGGTAATATGTTCTTATTCTCCTTTAGTTAGAGTCTGGCTTTTCTGCACAAACTGATGATGAGTTAAAAGAGCAGAAAATGAAACAGCAGCAGTTGACTGAACAGCTGCGCAGTATTCTCTGTGTTTCGTCTAAAGTAAACATTGAAAAGAAAGAAAGGGTAAAAAGATTTTTTACTTGTCTTTGTGAAGAATTCCTCACAGATATACCTTTCTACATTTTTTGAAATCCTAATTTAAATTTTTATTATTGCAAACATTTTATTTTATCACAATATTTAACTACTTTTTTAAAGTAATTATAATGGTTTTTATCCATTAGAATCGAAGACAGACAGTATGTGTTCCCCAGATGTCTAGATTTACTGCTATGAAAGGTAGGGACTTTCCATTTTAATTTTTATGTCCATGAATTGCCAGTATTTTGTTCTATTCCTCTTTAGGATAATGCATAATTTGTAATATTTTGTTTTAATTTTCTGAATGACATTAATTTTATAAAACAAGTATTTCAACAGTTTAAAATGTCTAGACCTGCTTACTGTTTTCTTTATGATTACATTTCCTACTTGCAGGAAGTTAATTCTTAATTACCTTCTACAGTGCCTTATTTAATTTTTGTTTTCATTCTACTTCCAGATTTATCAACAGTAAACATTCCATTTTCACCAGCAATAAGGAAAAAGGTGTCCTTTGATACCAAGCCAAATGAAAACATTGTTGCACCTACAGCTCCAGGTGCAGAAGATCAGTCCATTAATCACTCATTAAGCTCCCCTTGCAGATCACATGAGTGTAAATGCAGGGATCTGTCATTTACAGACTTTGAACAAGCTTTCGTTGAAGAAGCTCTTGTCCAGGTTTGTATCTTGTTTGATTTTCCAGTTGCTTTGTAAAGCACAACTTGTAATATGAAATACAATCATTATGTGTTCAGAGGTAGTAAACGTTTTGCTAACTTAACTGAATAACCCTTTTTTTTGTTTAACCTTTTAATTCAATTATTGCTTTAATATAACAAATAGTGTTAAAGACAATTGTTTACACTGCATTTATTTTTGACAGAAATTCAAGACTCAGATAAATATTTTGATCAAAGAAAATAAGCAGCTCAAAGTTAGGATTCAGCAAATGCATGGAGGCTTAGATGTAAGTAAATGTTCTTGTTCCATGTCCACTTTTGGTTAGCTTTCACATATACACATTTTTATTTTTAGTTTATTGTCAACATGGGACCTTAATTCAAGTTCTCCACTGTCTCCTGCCACTCTTTTTTTTTTAGATTTTTCCAGCTCTGTCCTATGCCCTCAGTCTCATCCAGCATGCTGGGTTATGCATTTATATTTTATCATAATTACTAACATACAAATTATTAATTTTCAGCCCAATGAAAGCTCAGTCTACAACATGAGTCTTGGACCAGATTTTCATGTAACAAATTTTTCCATTGACGAACATTACAGTGAGGGCATAGAGGGCGCTAGGCCAAATCTTGTATCCAATGAGAGCTTTGTGCAGTACGAGCTGGAGTTGACTGATGAAAGTGCCCAAGCCAAATTCAATGGGAAAAATGTTGACAACAGTTTTTCAAAACGACACAGGTATTCAAGGGCTTTCAAAGGGGATGATAGTGTTTTTGAAAGTAGTTTTTTAAAGCCAAAACGATCCAGGATTAGCGATTTAATTGAGGAGGATGAATCCGAGGACGTGTCAGACAAGAATAAATATGATACACCTGAATCTAACACAACTGATGTATCAATAAATGAGGAGGTAGACTGTCACAAAGATGAATTAGACAAGCTGGCTCTAGACTATGAAAGAAGTGAACTAGAAAGGGAAAGAATTGTACTAGAAAAAGAGAAAGAAAATATTGAGAAGTTAAGACGTGAAATAGCAGAGCAAATGGCAAATATGGAAGATAAAATTGAAATGCTGAATAATATTGAAAAAGAGAAAAAGTTTCTTGAAGAAGAGCGGAAGTTCCTTCAAGAATCCTACAAGCAGCTGGAAGATGAAAAAGAAAATTTCAAGATCGAAAATGAAGAGAATATCACGCTGGCTTTCAAGTCAACAAAACTGGAGGCAGAGAGGAATCAGTTGTATGAGCTGCTTGATGAACTGAAGAAGGAAAGAGATGCACTGAGAGAGGAAAAAGAACATGAGTCTAAGAACTATGAAGCTGCTCTGTGTAACAATGAACAGCATAATAATGAAACAGCTGTTTTAGCTGACGAGAAGGGGAGTATAGACATGAAATATGAAGCAGAACTAACACAGCTGAACAATGTACTAGAACAACTAAGGAGGGAAAATAAAATTTTACTGGAGGAAAAGGCTAGTGATGCATTAAAGTATGAAACAGAGCTTAACAAGTTGAAGAGCATTGTTGAAGAAGACAGATCATGTGCTTCCTCTGAAGAAAAAGCTGAAATTCTAAAATATGAATCAGAAATAATGCAGTTGCGCAGTGTAATTGACATGTTAAGGAAAGAAAAGGAAACATTAGCCGAGGAAAAAGATGAACTTAAACAGTATGAGGTGGAGAATAAGTATCTCCTTGAATGTTTAAATGATTTAAAGAAAGAGAAAAATGATTTAGAGGTCCAAATAGCAGAACAAAAAACACTTAACGTTCCTGATGACATGCATCAACTTTCAATAGATGGAGATACTTCACAGTGTTTGAGTCACAGTATAATCCATTCAAATAAAGAACATGTAGACAATGAGAACAGGTTGCAAGAAATGTTGCGTCTGTTGCAAGATGAGAATGAGCAAATTATTGAGGAGCTAACAAAGTACAAACAATCTTATGAAAACTTTTTGAAACAGAAAGTTGTCACACCGGAGGAATTTTCCACAGGCCAGGAACTTGTTACTGACTCTGATGAAAGGCAAGCTGAGCTTGTTAAGAAAGCAGAAATGTCAGAAACAGAAAAGTTACAGACTGAAAAGTTGCGTCTGTTGGAAGATGAGAATAAGCGTATTGCTGAGGAGTTGACACACTACAAAGTATCTTACGAAAACTTGTTGCAACAGAAAACTACCACATCAGAGCAGCTGTCCGCAGGTCAAGAGCAAGAACTTGATGTTGACTTGGATAAGAAGAGACTGGAACTTGTCAGAGAAGCAGAAAGGTTAGAAGAAGAAAAATTACAGATTGAAAAACTCAGGGAAGAACTGGCAGAGCAGGAGCTAAAGATTGAGAGTAAAATTGAACTTTACTGTGATTTGGAAAGTGAGAAGGAAACTCTTGAGGAGGAGAGGAAATCATTGAAAGAGATGCAGGAAGAGTTATCTAGGGGCAAAGACAGTTTAGATGATGAAAAGTACACAGAGTATGAATCAGAGCAAAATCATTTACTTAATCTGATTGATGAGTTAAAGAAAGAAAAAAATAACCTTTTACAGGAAAATGATAATTTAGTAGCAAAATATGAAGCAGAGTTAAAAATAGTGCAAAGAAATGCAGAGGAGAACAATAGTCAAATCTTGAACGATGAACAAGCTTGTGAAGATTTAAAATTAGAAATAACACAACTGCGCAGTCAGCTTGAAGGGGCAACTAAAGAAAAGGATAGTTTATCAGGAAAAAAAGCTGGTGAACTTGAAAAGTTTGAAGAGGAGAAGAGACACCTGCTAGAATGTTTAAACAATTTAAAGAAAGAGAAGGATGCCTTACAGGAGCAGATTTCAGAATTTGACTCTGGTAATGCCACAGATATTGCTCAGCAACTTCCAACAGATGAAAGTAATTCTATGATAAATAAAAATGATTTTGATAGTAAATTAATTAATTTAAAATCTTCCTTAGAACAAGAACATGCAGATAATGTGAACATGTTGCAAGAAAAATTACGTCTGTTGGAAGATAAAAATGAGGAAATCGCAAAGGAGCTAACACAGTACAAAGAATCTTATGAAGTCTTGTTAAAACAGAAAGCTTCCACACAAGAGGATCTGTCTGTAGATCAAGACGAAGAACTTGTAATTGACTCAGATGAAAGGCAAGTGGAGCTTGCGAAACAAGCAGAACTGTTAGAAAAAGAAAAGTTACAGACTGAAAAGTTGCGTCTTTTGGAAGATGAGAATAAGCATATTGCTGAGGAGTTGACACAGTACAAAGAATCTTACGAAAACTTGTTGCAACAGAAAGCTGCCACGCTAGGGGATCTGTCTGCAAATCAAGACCAAGAACTTGATTTTGACTTGGATAAGAAGAGACTAGAACTGGTCAGAGAAGCAGAAAGGTTAGAAGAAGAAAAATTACAGATTGAAAAACTCAGGGAAGAACTGGCAGAGCAGGAAAAAAATATTGAGAGTAAAATTGAACTTTACTGTGATTTAGAAAGTGAGAAGGAAACTCTTGAGGAGGAGAGGAAATCATTGAAAGAGATGCAGGAAGAGTTATCTAGGGGCAAAGACAGTTTAGATGATGAAAAGTACACAAAGTATGAATCAGAGCAAAATCATTTACTTAATCTGATTGATGAGTTAAAGAAGGAAAAAGATGTCTTAATACAGGAAAAAGAAACTATTGTTAATAAATATAAAACAGAAATTGAAAACACATTTAGTGTTATTGAAAGGCTAAAGAATGAAATGTATCTTCTAGAAACTGGGAAAGCTAGTGAGATTTCAAAGTACGAGACTGAAATAGCACACCTGAATAATATTTGTGAAGAACTGAAATTAGAAAAAAATATTTTAGCAGAAGAAAATGCTATCAAAATTGATAAATCTGAAAGAGAACTAATTGAGCTGCAAGATCTTGTTGACAAGTTAAAAGCAGAAAGTTGTTTTACTAGTGAAGAAAAGGCAAGCATGGTTATAAAATGTGAAACTGAAATTGCCAATTTGCAAAATATCATTGATGATCTTAACAGAGAAAAGAAATCTTTACAAGAGGATAAAGCTAGAGAAAGTGCTGAATATGAAAAACAAATTGAACACTTACATAATTGTATAGATGAGCTAAAAATAGAAAGGGATACCTTGGTTAAGAATAATGAAAGTACAGTATCAAACTACAAAACAGAATTAATTCAGTTGCAAGCTTTTCTTGAAGAGTTAAAGCAGGATCGTGATGATTTGGCTAATGAAAAGGCTGGTCTTTTTGTCAAGCATGAAATGGATGTAAAACAGTTTGAGAGTTGTCTAGAAGAGATAAAGAAAGACAGAGATGACAAGGACAATGAAATAATGAGATACAAACAGCAAATAGATCAGTTGTCTTCCCTTTTAAAAGACAAAGAGAGTGAAATATGTGTTTCAGCTACAGAGGTAACAAAATATGAGGCTGAATTAAAACAATTGCGTAATTATTTTGATGCTTTAGTTGAAGAAAAAGATCAACAACTTTTAAAAAATAAAACTGAAGTAAATGATTTGCAAAAAATGGTAGAAGAGCTAAAGAGAACAAGGGATATATCGACTGAGGAAATGGTTGAAGAAATCTCAAAATATAAAACAGAACTTGCCCAGTTACATGATCTGCACAGTCAGCTGAAGAACGAAAGGGACGCTACTCTGGAACAAATGAAACAAATGGAAGAACAGCAGAGAGAGTTCAACCAAGCGGAGTACCTTGAATGTATACAGGAGTGGCAGGCAGAGTGTGAAGCCAGAAGTACTGAGCTGGAAGAAGCCATGAAGGAGATAGAAAACTGTAAGAAAACGATCACTTGGGGAAAACAAATTCTGGCCACTCGAGATCAGGAGAAACAAGAAGCTGCTAAAAAGTGTGAGGTAAATAACATTTCTATTCAGATATTAACCATTAAAGGAAGAACATGTTCATTTTTATTTTTTTTAAAAACATGAGCAGGCCTATACACTTCATTAAAATTGTCAATTCATGTTCTATAGTACGATAAAAGTAAATGAATTCATGTTCTAAAATGAAGTTAGACTGGATTGTAGAAAATATAATGGTGTGAACTAAACCAACCTGTTAACCACTCATTTATTAGTTTTTTTTAAAAGGGTATTTTAAGTATAGTTAGTATACAGCATCAATTGTTACCAAATAAAATGATAAATCAGAGTAAAAAGAATGTGATTTGAATAATAATTTAATTTTCTTTATTAAAAAAACCATGAAATATACTAGTTCACACCAACTGTTTCCAAGTTTAAAAAATGGCAAGGGGAGGGATAAAATTAATAATTTAATTTTAAGTATTTTTAAATCTAAGAAAAACCTTTTTTTTTCTTCAGGAAATTGAACAGCAAGTTGAAAGCCTGAAAGCTGAGTTACATACAAAATCTGGTAAGTTTGTTTTGTAAGAACACTTTTGTTTTGTTATGAACCAGAAGGTCACATGTACACTTCATTTGAAATAATGTATTACTTGTTAAACATGAGCCAAATCTAATACATTCTAAAAAAGTCAATGCTATGATTAATTAATGTATTTTTAAAATCTTTTAGAGGAATGTTCACGACTCCAGGGAAAAGTCAACACCCATTTTTCAAATCTTAGAGAGATTGAAACTCTCAAAAAAGAAGTTAAAGAACTGTATGTACATTTTATATCTTTGATTTAGAAATATTTCTTTATCATACTTTTTAAAGGTATTTTGTTCTTAACATTTATATATATGTTTCATTTGTATATTGTTATCAAATTTTTTCAATACCAGGCAGCTTTAATTTCAGTAACTTAATCATTCTCTGTCACTGATTATCATTTTAGAAACAGAGCTCTTCAAGGAAGTAAAGAATATTATGAAGGCGTAATCAATAATCTTAAAATGAAGCTGAGAAATAATGCTGATTCATCTTGTAAGTAATATAGTTTCTTTGATTCATTTTATTCACTCGTAACAATATATGTTGTTACTGATACTATTTTGACAATACATGAATGGCAATAGATATAAGTGTTCCAATCTTCAGTTTTTAAGTTTTAGTTGTCTTTAAAAAAAGTATATAAGTAAGCCATCATCAATAGTTTTTAAAAAAATCCTTTGTGTTACACATTACAATCTACAATTGTAGCAATTTAATGTTTTTCTATTAGTTGCTGAACAGCGTGTCCCAAGTCAGCCTGTTCCCTCTATTGATCACCTCAGAAAGATAATTGAGTTTGAAAATGCCAGCAAGTTTTTAGAGTTATCTGATCTTAGGAAAAAGACAGCAGAGCAGGAGGTTAGTCCCAGCACCTTTAACCTTTAACGGTTGTTTTTTAGATTCTGGTATTTACAACTGTCTTTTTTACTCATTATTTCAGACTAAGTACAGGAACTTACAGACTGAGTTTACTTGCTTAAAATCTGAGTGTGAGAAACTGAAAGAAATGCAGGAGAATGAATGCATGAGGAACGAGGCACTGTTTTCTATGCTGAATCAGAAATCTTCACAGTTACACAAGTCAGAAGAAGAGCTTTCAAAATTCAAACAATCTGCACCACTCAAGGATAAAACAGTAGGAGTATAAAGTTTTTAATTTAATCATGTGTGGTGGTTTTTTGTGACATTAATATTTGGGTGGAGAATAAAAAAGGTGCAACATCATGTATGCAGGGGCTATTTAAAATTCCAACAATTAAATAGTTTATAAAATATAAAAACCTATATTCTTTTAATATTGACCGATTTTGACCTGTTGATTCTTATTTAGCTGTGTGTTTTTCAGAATGAAAATACATTTGACAACGAATCAACATCCATGTTAAAAAATTCCCTCAAGGAGTCTGAGAATGTCAATAGGGAGTTGCGGCAAAAAATAGAGAGAAGAGATATGAAGTGGAATACACTATACCCCAAATATAAATCTTTACTGGAGAAGAACTGTACACATGAAAAGAAGATAATTCATTTGACTGAAGAAATAGCAGAGTTAAAAGTAAGAAATTGGTCTGTAGCAATAGTATTTAGTCGAACTAACAAAAAGGAAACAACTATAAAATGTATGCTTAAAACATTTTAAACTTAATAAAAATACAATAATGTCTACAAAGATATAATGGAATAATAATAAAAATACAGTAATGTCTACAAGGTGATAATGGAAAGTGTGAAATTAGCTTGGATAATAAAAATTAATTTGATTTTTAAAAATTATGTTCCTAATAGGATTTTGGGTTTGTTTTCAGTAATATAATTACAGTTTTTATCTTGCAATTTATCTTCAAATATATGATCAATAGTTTTTAACTAAACAATTCAAATTTTTTAGAAACATGAAAGCTATTTATATAGTATTAAGTAAAATTGTTTGGAATCTCTAAATTTGGGAAATTTTATATTTTAAAGGAAACTTTACAGAAGATCAAGAGAGCTGCTGGTCAAGAACAAGTTGTAGAAAAAGTTGAACCACAAGCAGAACAAGCAGCAAACAGGAGAGACTCTAGTCGATCATCACAACAGGCAGAAGTCAACCAGATGCAGCCAGCCAGTGCCAGTAAAAGGCAACACTCAGCCAGAAGTGATCAAGAAAACTCACATATTACCAAGCATCTTTCTGGCGGGGTGGTTGAAAATTTTATTGTTATATCTCATGAGAGACAGATAAAGGAGCAACAAAAAGAAATCAATAGACTGAAGGTATGTTTCTAGTAGACTCATCATGTTTTGATATGTTGTCTTATCTACAAGTTATTTATGAGAGAGGGTGAAAAAAGCATTGTTGATGCTAAGGTATGTAGAGGCATCATGTTTTTCATTAGTTATCTTGTTTGGAAATGATTTATGAGGAATGTGTTAGATTTCAGGGTGTTAGATTTGAACAACTATTACAAAAGGGAAACAAAATCTGTTTGATATTTAGATGTCTGTTTGCAAGTACTTAGCTATACTAATTACATTCACAGTATTAAAATTTAATGAGTTAACTTTTTAATCTTTTGAACCTTTTTTTACAGGAAAAATTGAAAACCTTTGAGCAGTCAAAACATCAATCGTCTGAAAACTCATCTAACACACTTGAGTTTAAACTAAATTGAACAATCTGTACTGTTACCATTTTATAACTTAGGTTGAATTATATTCACTGTGAGCTGGTTTTAGACTAGAATATGCTGAATTATTTTTTTTTTTAACTTCAAAGATTTTGAACAGTTGATTATTTTTCTATCACATGTATTTGTTAAGCAAAAATAGGAGCTAGCATTTTGATTGAATATTTTTTCCCCAAAGTGTTATAATGCTCTACAATCAATAAATTGTATGAGTACAGGGTTTGTAAAATAATACTTTCACAAAATATTGTCTACTTTCCAACAACTTTTACTTCTGTGCCTTTACTGAATATCTGTACCTATCCACTTATTTATATCATGTTTATATTGTATTGTTTTTACTTTGTGTACATTAAAATGCATGCATGATTGCTTTGTCCGATTCACTACAATAAAAGTTTGTATATAATTTTATATAGAGTATTGTAATTTGTTTTATCGTATACATTATTAAACAATATACTGCAGGACAGTTGTAAAATACCTAGTTGTCAAGTACCTAGGATTTTCCTGTCAAGTCCACCAACCTCTGGTGAGGGAAAAAGTAAAGATGACTGGGGGAAAACGGGTGTACTCTACTTTATCTGTCCCAAATGTAACTTTTTTTTCAAGTTCTGGTATAATAAATTTGTACTACTGAGGCCGGGAGTTATTCCTTAATTGTGTTGTAATACATCGAAAACAAATGTCAAAATACCAAAAATATAATTATTGTTTATTAACTTATGTATATAATTGTATAAATACATTAAAAAACAATGGCAAATGTTTTGATTAAACACTTACCCTCTCATAACATGAACAAAAAAATTATTTGCAAAATAACATGAAAAATTAAAGCAAAGGACAAAATATAAGATTGACAAGATCTTAAGATGAATGCTGTAAATAACACTTGATAACAATCTATCATTGCAAGTATGTATCCAATACACAAGATAAGTTCATAACTATTTCATACAGTTTAAATATTATCAGTATTAGCATGATTTATTAACATAAATTGCACTTTTATAGCTTCTAGGACAGTCTACAAAACAGAATAAAAAACAAAGCTCTGTCTCTAGGAGTCAATAAAACACTTCAACTGTCTGAGAATCATTTAACATGGCTTGTTAGTAGTTAAGTAAATAATTGTTGTCTTTTTCTGTTATCTTTTTAAGAGAGACAAATGTTAACTCTTCATGACCATTTGTGATTTTCCATGTTGTCCATAGAGGCACCAATGATAAAGTTTACGGACTGAATCCACATTATCAGCTGAAAGTTTTAAAGAAATAGATAGCCACATATAATTATGATAAAAAAATAACGCTCAAATATGATTCATTGCTATTTAAAGAATTAGAATAAAAGAATTGATAATCTTAATCTTTTCTGTTTAAAATAAAACATAATTCCTTAATCTCATTGAGAGGAAAATAAATTTAAAAATTAAACTTACGGTCAATATTGAGTTTCTCTAATAATTCATGGGTCTCCTTTTTCCTGCTCATAACTTGTAGCAAGTTGGTTGATTCCACTCGAGGAAGTTTAATATTAGGATAAATATAAATTTTATTGTTGAATGTTGCATACACAAAGCATGGAGCATTGGAACCTTCTTGTAAGGAAAAATAGCCTGGAAATATAAAATGGTGGATGTGATCTTCTACTGGCTAAGCTTCAAATCTGTGATACGAGCAAAAAGTTTATAAAATGTGTATACTGGATATTAGTACAATTGCTGGAACTGTACAAAAACGAAAAAATCTTTCTGAAGCAGTAACACTTGTTAGAGTTATTAACTTATGTTCCAAACAAACAATGTAATTGTTATATGGTGGTGAATTTGTTTTAAAATAATGGGGGTGTTGATCTGTACAAAAATGGAGCAGGGAAGAGATTTCCTATTTTTTTTCACAATCCCTTACCATAACAAACAAATGTAAATATTAAACTGTATTTAAAAATAAAACAAGATAAAACGTATACAAAGTATCATAGACAATGCAGGATAATGAAATTTTAAAAATGTAATAAAACATATTTTACCAGCACAGAATGCAGCAACACTGTCAGGGAACTGATAGCGAACAATCTCTTTGCTGTGGTTGGCAATGTATGTCTGGCCACTCCATGAGCAGCATACAACTTCTTCTTGCCCATTGCCCTAACCCACAGACAAATAGAACTCTATAACCTATTGTTATTTCAAACAACAGTAACACAACCATGCTACAATTACCCCATTTCAGGTTATAACTGAGGCTAGGTGAGTATATTTTAATTCAAATATGTGCAACATTATTTTTTACCCTCTGTGAACACCACAAATCCCAACATTATTAATGTGAACTTACTTAAAATGGAAGGGACGGAGTGGTCTAGCGGTAGAGAGCTGGACAGCTAACCCATAAGTCTCAAGTTCAAATACAGGTTCAAGTCAGTTGACCGTCCCTGAGTCCACCAAACTCTGAAGGGTACTTATTCACGTTAGGGAAAGTAAAGGTGGCTAGATATAGTGCTGACCACACTATCTCTTTATAGGCAGATGTCACAGAAACAAGTGAACTCTACTTCACTTGCCCTATAGACCGTCAGGTTTGAAAAGGGAACTTTACTTTTTTACTTAACTTAAAATGGAATTTATTTTTAGGTCTCATTTTATGACAACAAACCAACTGCTCTAACACTGAAAATTATGTTGGGCTAATGTGCACTAGTAATCCCATAATGATATCTATAAATGGCTACTTGTATATAGGTTGTCAAGTTAATTATTTACCGTAACATCTAGTTTTGCTAATGCAAACAAGTAGTGATCAACTTGTAAAGACCAAAGAATGGAATCATTCTCTACCAAAATAAGTGAACCTAAAAAACAGAAAAATATTTACAACAATCACATTCCAATTAGGAAATCTGTAGGCCCCTATTTAATAGTTAAATAGTCCTAAATTTTATTTAACTACAGTTAATATTTTCAGTTGAATAAACAATAAATGAACCACATCATATTAATTCACAAGCCAGTACAACAAATATTTCAATACAATTATTTAAAAAGTGATTAAAAAAGAAAAACATATTTTAGTTTAAACCTAAAACAATGGTTGTGCTTGCCAATACCAAGATTTACACTTTTACATTTAACTGATACTTTTGTTTTCATGTTTGTGGTACATCTATAAAGCATTTATCTAAAACCAACTTAAATAATACAGCTTGGTGTGTAAAGAGTTAACCAGTAATTTATTAATCTTAATCATCAAATTCAGAATGAACTCTTCACATCCTCACCATCAAGAGTAGCAAGAGCATAGTAGGTAGATCCAAGCTGTGACTCAGCATCACTTGTTGAATGGGCTGACCTTTCCCTGTTGATACCACCTACAATCACAGTACTTGTGTCTTTATTTCTGGTCTGCTTGTGAGCCAAAGGATGGTATATGAAACTGGTGTTGAACATCTCCTCACTGAAATACATTCTCATCTTTATTTGAAACTTTGGGGAGGTAACTATAAGGAGGCTACTTTCACATGGGGGGGAGGGGGGATGGGAGGGTAGAGAGGGTGGGGGGGGGATATCGTCCTTAACAAGCTACTGATAGTGTTTAAAAGCAAGTATTTACAGTTGCAGCATTGTTAGTGTCGAATTCACAAATTATGAATTACTGAAAAGTAGAAAATAAAACAACTAAGTAGCGGCATATGGTACGCCGCGAGTCGGCTAGTTGAAGATTTATTTTCTTAAGTTACTGCCAGGGTCAAAGTGCTAGAATTAATCTCACAGCTGAGGTATGGGCAAAATTATTACTTCTGTAGGGCCTACCAACAATCAGGATTTTTACAGTAATTAAACTAAAAATCTAATAGCAAAGCTAGTTTTTAGTTTTAGCCAGATTATAAAAATTATTTGACTGAATTGTATAGAAGTTTATTACTTACTCACAATAGGTATCATGGTTGAGCTGCAAGCTTAATTTGTTCCCAGAATATTCTAAAGACTCCAAGGGACTGTTGCTGCCAATAGTTGTAGGGGATCCTGGGATCTGTTTATCATCCTTTTGTTCTGGTGAATTTTCTGATTTTAAACTTTTATTACCAGCATCCTGCTTATTCCCTTGTTTAGGAGTTTTTGAGTCAAGCTTATTGAGAAATAAACTGGAGTATTTGTCTGAAGACTGATGGTTTGAGCATTTGTTTGAAGACAAATCAGCTGACTGGTTGTACAGAGTGTCAGATTTGCTCATATGAGCGTCAGGATTGTGACCACAGTTTGCGCCGGACGAGTCTGATTTGACTGTTGTGATGAAGCTGCCGCTCCTCTCAGGCATGTGGTCCTGCTTGTTGCAGGCCATCCTGTCCAGGCAGCTGTCAGATTTGATGTGTCTGAATGGCGTCTTCAGCTGCAGGGAAACCAGTGCTGCCCCTGGCTGGGACACCATTACTTCAGGCTGGTGTTCCTTGTTGTAGTTTATAGTGATGCTCCCAATCTTCATTTATAAAAAAAGGCATAAAGAATGAACTAGTAAGAAAATTTTTCCCCCAGACTAAATATAAAATGTAAACAAGTAACTTATTATTACAATTAGTGAAAAATTAATGCCCAGAAATTGATCTAATTAGCAAAAAATAAAGAAAAAAAATCATAACTCATTCAGAAAACAAATCATCATTCAAAATGGCAATAGTGAATGTCATTTTGAAAAGATTTATATGTAAAATTTAAGTTGCAAAATAAAGTATGACAAAATACATCTAAGAAATGTTTAGTGTCAATCCGTGATCATATTAAAGTCATATATTTAAAACTGTGTTAGTATTTAAAGTCATGTTAATCAAATAAAAAGAATGAGTCTAGGTAAAACTAACAAATGCAAAAAAAAAGAGTAAAAAACCATGTTTGAAGTGTATTAGTTTAATAGAAATGTAAACAAATAAACCTGTCCTGCCAGCTGCCATCTTTGTATCAGAACAAACTGGCCACTGTCTGATTCGTGTGTCTCTTGCCATCTGAATGCACGCACTACTCTGTCAGAGTACCCAATAACCATCTCAACACATCCATCAGAATCTGAAAAATTAAATGGGAAACAAAATTTTTAAAACCCTGAATTTGCAAGATTTTATGAAAAAAAAATGCAATTGTTGTGAGATCAATTTTATAGCTGAAAGATTAGCAAGCAATATATTTTATACATATATGAAAAGGTACCTAAGTTTCATTACCAATATCAGCTAGGCACATCACTTTTGCATTAGCGGGAAGCTCTTGTGTGAAGAAAGGTTTGCTCATACGCCCTTCTCCTTCTTCCTCTGTGTTAGTCATACTCTGTAAAATATTAATAAAAATTATACTAAAATATTTTAAGCGTCAAGGAAAAATAGTTTCTAGTCACAATTTAACGTAATTAGTTTTAGAAACCTGTATTGATTCAATTGCGAATAAAAGATTTTTGGTCCAGTTATGATAGGGTATAAATAATGGGGTGGGTTGGGTCAGTGTATAGACAGAGATTAGAGTTGGACAAAAATTATATTTTTTTCTGGAAAAAAAATTTAACACTTCAAAGAACACAGCTGCTAACATGCTTGATTCTCACAAACCTGAGCAGAATTTTTGGACTTGATATCATATATGCAACACCAGCCTTCAGCGGTCATACAAACAAGACTATTCTGCACAAGTTTAAAAAAAAAACATCATTATAATGTAGATCATAAATAAAAGCAAACTATTTGAACTAAACTAATTAATTAGAGGCAATTAAAATGAAAGCTTCACCTTTTTTGGTAAATGAACTTCACCTACGGCTAAGCAGGTCAGCTGTAAAAGTTGAGAAGTTAAAAACAAAATTAAATTAGTTAAAGATTTATGAATGATGTAGGTTAATTTGAAATGTAGGTTAACTGTGGGAAAAAAAGTTTAAATAAAAAAAAACTAACCATGCCACATATTGTAGTTTTCTTCCAAGGTGTGGGTGAATCACCCTTAAAGATTGCAATATCACCTTCAATATTTCCGACCACAAGTTCATTCGACTGTAAGATTTAAAAAAAACCAATAATCTCTTAATATATTTAACACAGATTAAAAAAAAATTGAATGCAAAATTTTAATTGTTTATGAATAATCAATTAAAAGTTAAGAAGAGGGAACGGTTTAAAAACTATTTTGCTAAAATCAGTAGAAGTAAGTTTTTCATTTAGACATTTTAGACATTGGTAAAGTAGCCATAAACTCAAGTTTAAAAAATAGAAATAATACATATAATTTAAAGTCTGCTAAAATACTATAGTAACAATCCCTCATTATAATATAAACTGCTGGATTATTTATAAAAGTGCACTTAATAGTAGCCACTTACCATATCATTATCAACATCTGCTAGTACCATGGCTTGAGTCATAATGTTACCAGGAAACTCAAATTCAATTCTTTCAACAAAAGAAACTGTCCTCATAATTGAGTTGGTAAGATCGTTAGCCATTTTCTTAACATTTATCAACTCTTTTTAAACAGTAGAAGTTTTAATTCATAAACAGGTTATTCCCGTCCCTGAAAAAAAGTAAAAATACAATTTATAAACTAATATAAACAAAACAAAAGTAAAATATGAAACCAAATGTATTTATTTTGTCATATTTATTATTTATGTCTACTTTAAAATATGGGTCTACAGATAACTTTATAAAAAAAAAACTACTAGTCTAATACTACTTTTAAATAAGCATACTTAAACAAGCCTGCTTGATTATTGATGCAAATTAACATTAAAGAACAACCCCTGAATTTATCTTTAGAGTAAAATAGTTGGCCCTAATCTTTAGAATTTAGAATTTTAAAAATTTAAGTTTAGCAAATGGGCCTAAGATTTATTTAGCCTAATAATATAAATAATAATTATAAATATATATAGGCCTGGGCCCCTGCCCTAGGTTTTTATAAAATGTTCAAGTTTGTTTTGTTTCCCTTGTTCTTTTTAAATAGAAAAAAAATTATTCCTCTTCTTTCTAGATCTAGATCTAGTCTAGATAGATCTATTCTGGTCTAATAAAGTTAAAAAAATTTTGGTTTCAAGATTGAATGAATTTCAATGGAATCCCTAACAACTTGTCTCATATGGTTTCGAGTTTTGGGACAAAATAGTAAAAAAACATATTCTCTAAAATTAATTTCTAGAACAATAAAATAAGTAGATTCAAGATTCTAGATCTATTCTAAATCTAGATCTACTTTAAATTTAAATTTTTAATCTAACCTACTGACTTAGTTTGTAAGTTAGTAGATTCTAAAAAAAGATCTAGTCTAGATCTAGACAATCTAGAGAATTCTAGACTAGATTAATCTAGATATAAGTACTAGATCTAACTAGATTCTAGATCTACTCTAGTAAACTCTAGATCTAGTTACTAGAGTAGAATCATAATCAGGTAATCTATCGTTTTAGGTACATAAAATCGCCTGCGGCTAGTAATGTACAAATGAGGACAAATATTATAGATAAATGAATAATAAACATAAATCAATGGCTAAATATATATCAATATAGGCAAGAAATTAACTTTAAACAGCAGTGTTTGCTAGCAGGATTTGCTATATAAAAGCGACCATCTGAAAGTTAGAGTGGCTTCCCCTGAATCTTGCGTTATAAGTTTACAGTAAAAAAAACAACAAGATGGCTGCTATAGTAAATGAGCATGGTTGCATCTGTTGGTAACATCGCTAGTCTTCATTTATTACTGAAAAGTTTTAATTCAATTGTTTAAAAACAGGTAGGGCCTGCATAAATGAAATGAAACAAGGGAAGATTTTTGTATTTTTCAAAACATAAATCCTCCTCAAAATGTTAAATAATTATTAAAATTTAAGGAGTCACCTGTTTTTCACATTACTAGTCGCGGGCGATTTTATGTACCTAAAACGATAGATTACCCATAATCATTCCATAACTATAACAAAACTAAGTAAGACTTTTTTTACTTTTTAAAGTTTAAAAAAAAAAATAGTTTTTAAATGGAGGCGAGCGAGTTGACGAGATTCCTTCCATAATGTTGTTGACATGGAATAAAAACGTGCTTTTTAGATTTAGACCGTAAAAAAAAATAAAAAATAAAAACTTAAGCCTAAAATTAATTTAGAAATTTTATATTTTTAGAATAAATGCTATAAAAGTTGCAAATCCAGAGAACTTGAAAATAATTTTTTGAGTTTAAGGCTACATTTCTATTTATTTTCATCAAGCCTAAGTTATAACCGGATAGGCTGCCATAGATTTTATTGTACACATTGTAAGCTAAAAATAGAAAACTAGGTAATGGGGTTTTTAATTTGCATTGTCATTTAAAAACTTGATCTGCAAAGTTTTGTAAACAAATAGTTATCGATCACTAAGTTACTGTACAGCCAATCAATATTTGTCTTACGAAAGTGAAACATCCGGTTATAACTTAGGCTTGATGAAAATAAATAGAAATGTAGCCTTAAACTCAACAAATTATTTTCAAGTTCTCTGGATTTGCAACTTTTATAGCATTTATTCTAAGAATATAAAATTTCTAAATTAATTTTAGGCTTAAGTTTTTTTTTTTTTTTTTTTTTTTACGGTCTAAATCTAAAAAAACACGTTTTTATTCCATGACAACAACATTATGGAAGGAATCTCGTCAACTCGCTCGCCTCCATTACACATGAAAACCAAATTGTTTTTGCTTTTTTTTTTAATTTTTATTTAGTTACCGAAATATTATAAACATCGGTAATCTATCGTTTTGGGTACGTAAAATCGCCCGCGGCTAATAATGTATGAAAACGTTACCTCATTGTCAAGGCTGTAATAGAAGTAGATCTATATTGTGATATGTTTGTGTCAAATATTATAGATAAATGAATAATAAACCTAAATCAATTGCTAAATATATCAATATAGGCCCGAAATTAACTTTAAACAGCAGTGTCTGCAAGCAAGATTTGCTATATAAACAGCAGCCATTTGTAAAATAGAGTGACTTCCGCCTAAATCTTGCGCTATAAGTCTATAAAAATAAAACTTTAACAAGATGGCTGCTATAGTAAATGAGCATGGTTGCATCTGTTGGAAACATCGCTGGTGTTCATTTATTACTGAAAAGTTTTAATTCAACTGTTTAGAAACAGGTATATAAATGAAACAAGGAAACATTTTTGTATTTTTCAAAACATAAATCCTCCTCAAAATGTGAAATAATTATTAAAATGTAAGGAGTCACCTGTTTTTCACATTACTAGTCGCGGGCGATTTTACGTACCTAAAACGATAGATTACCTAAACATCAAATACATCCAATCTTTAGTAAAGTCCGAAAAAAACCAGACAGACAGGATTTTATAACCATATTAATTGTAAATACGCTGTGCATGATTTTTAAATGAATGTTATACACCTCTCAAATACCTTTGACAGCCGGTAATCTATCGTTTTGGGTACGTAAAATCGCCCGCGGCTATTAATGTACGAAAACGTTGCCTCATTGTCAAGGCTGTAATAGAAGTATATTGTGATATGTTTGTGTCAAATATTATAGATAAATGAATAATAAACCTAAATCAATGGCTAAATATATCAATATAGGCCCGAAATGAACTTTAAACAGCAGTGTCTGCAAGCAAGATTTGCTATATAAACAGCAGCCATTTGTAAAATAGAGTGACTTCCGCCTGAATCTTGCGCTATAAGTCTATAAAAATAAAACTTTAACAAAATGGCTGCTATAGTAAATGAGCATGGTTGCATCTGTTGTAAACATCGCTGGTGTTCATTTATTACTGAAAAGTTTTAATTCAATTGTTTAGAAACAGGTACATAAATGAAACAAGGAAACATTTTTGTATTTTTCAAAACATAAATCCTCCTCAAAATGTGAAATAATTATTAAAATGTAAGGAGTCACCTGTTTTTCACATTACTAGTCGCGGGCGATTTTACGTACCTAAAACGATAGATTACCTGACAGCCTTTGCCATTTGAGACTTTTCTCGCTGGTGTCCATTAAAGTTTAAAGTTTAAAGACAAGACTAGATCTAGATCTAGATCTAGATAGATCTATCATCTGAAAATAAACCTAGAATCTGCATGAAGTTTGGAATAAGTTAATAATGTAAATCTAGACCTAGATAATTGACCAGCTAATTTTTTAAATTTAGCATTAAAATAGCTAGATCTAGATTAGATGTAAGAATCAACCCACAGTCTGGTAAGCTGTTATTATTCTACTCCATGTTTGTTGAGAGTGGTTGGACTTTTTCAAGGGAGACAATACTCCACTCCCCCCCCCCCTGTTTAGGTATGTGTTATTAATATTAAATTATCAAATTAAATAGTGATTAGGCCTAGCTACATTTTTAACAAAACTTACTTAGATGGCAAACAGTGAAGTATAATTTATGGTAGATATAATATTATAATAAATAGTATATTTATAAATTTCAAAATTTTCTTGCAAATGGGAAACAACACAATTAAATAGGAAAAAATCAACATAGCTTGGTTATATCCCTTTTTATTACTTTTTAAGGATGAGGCACTCAAATTTATTGAAATAAATTGTAGCGGTGTTGATAGGGTACTGCTTTTATGTGACGATGGAGTTGATAATAAAAAAAGTGTGACCTTATTATCATGGGCAGATTTTTAGTAACGTTAATGAGATATTTATAGATCTAAGTATTATACATCTGATTTTTTTTAAAATTCTTCCAATATTTGAATTAAAATATACTCACCTAGACTCAGTTATAACCTGAAATGGGGTAATTGTAGCATGGTTGTGTTGCTGTTGTTTGAAATAACAATAGGTTATACTGAGTTCTATTTGTCTGTGGGTTAGGGTAATGGGCAAGAAGAAGTTGTATGCTGCTCATGGAGTGGCTAGGCATACATTGCCAAACACAGCAAAGAGATTGTTCTCTACCAGTTTCCTGACAGTGTTGCTGCATTCTGTGCTGGTAAAAGTTTTTTTTTTTTTAATTACTTTCATTTTTAAAATTTCACTAATACTTTGTATACCTTTTATCTTGTTTTATTTTAAAAACAGTTTAATATTTACATTTGTTTGTTATGGTAAAGGATTGTGAAAAAAAAAAAGGGAATCTTCCCCCCCCCCCCCCCCCCCCCCGCCCTCCATTTTTGTATAGATCAAATTCAAAATAGATCAAATTGTTGTATAGAACAAATTGCCCACCATATAACAATTATGTAGTTTATTACTGTAAAACTCCTGATAGTTGGTAGGATATATTTGCAAGTATCTTTCCCCTTACCTCAGCTTCGACATTAATCCTATTCCTAGCACTCTGACCCTAGCAGTAATATACAACAAGTGTTACTGCTCCAGAAAAATTGTATCCTGTATGTACAGTTCCAGCAATTGAACTGATATCTAGTATATAGATTTGAAGTTTAGCCAGTAGAATATCACATCCACCATTTTATATTTCCAGGCTATTTTTCCTTACAAGAAGGCTCCAATGCTCCATGCTTTGTGTATGCAAAATTCAACAATTTTTTCAAACTTTCAGCTGATAATGTGGATTCAGTCCGTAAACTTTATCATTGGACAACATAGAAAATCATAAATGGTCAAGAAGAGTTAACATGTGTCTCTCTTAAAAAGAAAACAGAAAAAGCCAACAATTATTTAATTAACTACTAACAAGCCATGTTAAATGATTTTCAGACAGTTGAAGTGTTTTATTGACTCCTAGAGACAGTTTTGTTTTTTATTCTGTTTTCTAGACAGTCCTAGAAGCTATAAAAGTGTAATTTATAATGTTAATAAATCATTCTCATAGGGATGACATTTAGACTGTATTAAATAGTTATGAACTTATCTTGTGTATTGGATACATACTTGCAATGATAGATTGTTATCAAGTGTTATTTACAGCATTCATCTTGAGATCTTGTCAATCTTATATTTTGTCCTTTGCTTTAATTTTTCATGTTATTTTGCAAATAATTTTTCTCTTTATGTTATGAGAGGATAAGTGTTTAATCAAAACATTTGCCATTGTTTTTGAGTGGATTTATACAATTAAATACATAAGTAAATAAACAATAATTATATTTTTGGTATTTTGAGATTTGATTTCTATGTATTACAACACAATTAAGGAATAAATCCCAGACTCAGTAGTCCAAATTTATTATACAAGAATTTAACAGAAAAAGTTACTCTTTGGGGATGGATGAAGTAGAGTACATCTGTTTTACTCCAAGTCATCTTTACTTTTTCCCTCACCAGAGGTTGGTGGACTTGACAGGAAAATCCTAGGTCCTTGACCACACTGTCACATTTATTTTGCTTTGTGACAAATTATTTTACCACTGTCCTGCAGTGTATTGTTTAATAAGGTGCATATTGAATGTGTTAAAACAAATTACAATACACTATATAAAATTATACACAAACTTTTATTGTAGTGAATTGGACAAAGCAATCATGCATGCATTTTAATGTACACAAACTAAAAACAATATAAAATAAAAATGATATAAATAAACACTGTACTCATACATTTTATTAAGTGTAGAGTATTCAAACAATTTGGGGAAAAAATATTCAATCAAAATGCTAGCTATTATTGCTTAACATAATACAAGTTAAAAAGATTAAAGGAGTAACCCGTATAAAATTATACACAAACTTTTATTGTACTGAATTGGACAAAGCAATCATGCATGCATTTTAATGTACACAAAGTAAAAACAATATAACGTAAAAATGATATAAATAAATACTGTACTCATACAATTTATTGATTGTAGAGGATTAAAACAATTTGGGGAAAAAATATTCAATCAAAATGCTAGCTATTATTGCTTAACATAATACAAGTTAAAAAGATTAAAGGAGTAACCCGTATAAAATTATACACAAACTTTTATTGTACTGAATTGGACAAAGCAATCATGCATGCATTTTAATGTACACAAAGTAAAAACAATATAACGTAAAAATGATATAAATAAACCCTGTACTCATACAATTTATTGATTGTAGAGGATTAAAACAATTTGGGGAAAAAATATTCAATCAAAATGCTAGCTATTATTGCTTAACATAATACAAGTTAAAAAGATTAAAGGAGTAACCCGTATAAAATTATACACAAACTTTTATTGTAGTGAATTGGACAAAGCAATCATGCATGCATTTTAATGTACACAAAGTAAAAACAATATAAAATAAAAATGATATAAATAAATACTGTACTCATACAATTTATTGATTGTAGAGGATTAAAACAATTTGGGGAAAAAATATTCAATCAAAATGCTAGCTATTATTGCTTAACATAATACAAGTTAAAAAGATTAAAGGAGTAACCCGTATAAAATTATACACAAACTTTTATTGTAGTGAATTGGACAAAGCAATCATGCATGCATTTTAATGTACACAAAGTAAAAACAATATAAAATAAAAATGATATAAATAAATACTGTACTCATACAATTTATTGATTGTAGAGGATTAAAACAATTTGGGGAAAAAATATTCAATCAAAATGCTAGCTATTATTGCTTAACATAATACAAGTTAAAAAGATTAAAGGAGTAACCCGTATAAAATTATACACAAACTTTTATTGTAGTGAATTGGACAAAGCAATCATGCATGCATTTTAATGTACACAAAGTAAAAACAATATAAAATAAAAATGATATAAATAAATACTGTACTCATACAATTTATTGATTGTAGAGGATTAAAACAATTTGGGGAAAAAATATTCAATCAAAATGCTAGCTATTATTGCTTAACATAATACAAGTTAAAAAGATTAAAGGAGTAACCCGTATAAAATTATACACAAACTTTTATTGTACTGAATTGGACAAAGCAATCATGCATGCATTTTAATGTACACAAAGTAAAAACAATATAAAATAAAAATTATATAAAAAAAAACCGTACTCATACAATTTATTGATTGTAGAGGATTAAAACAATTTGGGGAAAAAATATTCAATCAAAATGCTAGCTATTATTGCTTAATACATTTGATAGAAAAATAATCAACAGTTCAAAATCTTTGAAGTTTAAAAAAAAAAAATGCAGCATATCTTAGTCTAAAACCAGTTCACAGTTAATATAATTCAACCTAAGTTCTAAAAATGGTAACAGTACAGATTGTTCAATTTAGTTTAAACTCAAGTGTGTTAGATGAGTTTTCAGAAGATTGATGTTTTGACTGCTCAAAGGTTTTCAGTTTTTCCTGTAAAAAAAGTTCAAAAGATTAAAGGAGTAACCCATTAAATTTTAATACTGTGTATGTAATTAGTATTTGACATTGCTTAGTACTTGCAAACAGACATCTAAATATCAAACAGACTTTGTTTCCCTTTGTAATAATTGTACAAATCTAACACCCTGGAATCAACACTGCTTTGATATTTTTTACTTTTCTCATTTATCATTTCTAAACAAGATAAATCATGAAAAACATGATACCTTAGCATCAACAATGCTTTTTTCACCCTCTCTCATAAATTACTTGTAGACAAGATAACATCAAAACATGATGAGTCTATTAGAAACATACCTTCAGTCTATTGATTTCTTTTTGTTGCTCCTTTATCTGTCTCTCATGAGATATAACAATAAAATTTTCAACCACCCCGCCAGAAAGATGCTTGGTAATATGTGAGTTTTCTTGATCACTTCTGGCTGAGTGTTGCCTTTTACTGGCACTGGCTGGCTGCATCTGGTTGACTTCTGCCTGCTGTGATGATCGACTAGAGTCTCTCCTGTTTGCTGCTTGTTCTGCTTGTGGTTCAACTTTTTCTACAACTTGTTCTTGACCAGCAGCTCTCTTGATCTTCTGTAAAGTTTCCTTTAAAATATAAAATTTCCCAAATTTAGAGATTCCAAATAATTTTACTAAATATTATATAAATAGCTTTCATGTTTCTAAACATTGTGAATTGTTTAGTTAAAAACTATTTATAGATTTAAAGATAAATTGCTAGATAAAAGATGTAATTATATAACTGAAAACAAACCCAAAATCCTATTAGGAACATTTTTTAAAAAAATAAAATAAATTTGTATGACTAGCAGATGTTATTTTCAAGCTAATTTCACACTTTCCATTATCACTTTATAGACATTATTGTATTTTTTTATTAATTGTTTTAAGCATACATTTTAATTTATAGCTCTTTCCTTTTTGTTAGTTTGACTAAATACTATTGCTACAGACTAGTTTCTTACTTTTAACTCAGCTATTTCTTCAGTGAGATGAATTATCTTCTTTTCGTGTGCACAGTTCTTCTCCAGTAAAGATTTATATTTGGGGTATAGTGTATTCCACTTCATATCTCTTCTCTCTATTTTTTGCTGCAACTCCCTATTGACATTCTCAGACTCTTTGAGGGAATTTTTTAACATGGAGGTTGATTCGTTGTCAATTGTATTTTCATTCTGAAAAACGCACAGCTAAATAAGAATCAACTGGTCAAAATATTTCAATATTATTTTTATATTTTATAAATATAGAAATAAAGTTTAAACTATTTAATTGTTGGAATTTTAAATAGCCCCTGCATACATGATGTTGCACCTTTTTTTAGTCTCCACCCAAATATTAATGTCACAAAAAAAAAACCATCCCCATGTTTATATTAAAAACTTTATACTCCTTCTGTTTTATCCTTGAGTGGTGCAGATTGTTTGAATTTTGAAAGCTCTTCTTGTGACTTGTGTAACTGTGAAGATTTCTGATTCAGCATAGAAAACAGTGCCTCATTCCTCATGCATTCATTCTCCTGCATTTCTTTCAGTTTCTCACACTCAGATTTTAAGCAAGTAAACTCAGTCTGTAAGTTCCTGTACTTAGTCTGAAACATTGAGTAAAAAAAGACCAGTGTAAAGACCAGAATCTAAAAAACAACAGTTACTAATTTTATACAGAGAGAGGTAAAAGATGCTGGGACTAACCTCCTGCTCTGCTGTCTTTTTCCTAAGATCAGATAACTCTAAAAACTTGCTGGCATTTTCAAACTCAATTATCTTTCTGAGGTGATCAATAGAGGGAACAGGTTGACTTGGGACACGCTGTTCAGCAACTAATAGAAAAACATTAAAAAATTGCTACTATGTTGATTGTAATGTGTAACACAAAGGATTTTTTAAAAAACTATTGATGATGGCTTACTTATATACTTTTTTAAAGACAACTAAAACTTAAAAACTGAAGATTGGAACACTTATATCTATTCCCATTCATGTATTGTCAAAATAGTATCAGTAACAACATATATTGTTACCAGTGAATAAAATGAATCAAAGAAACTATATTACTTACAAGATGAATCAGCATTATTTCTCAGCTTCATTTTAAGATTATTGATTACGCCTTCATAATATTCTTTACTTCCTTGAAGAGCTCTGTTTCTAAAATGATAATCAGTGACAGAGAATGATTAAGTTACTGAAATTAAAGCTGCCTGGTATTGAAATTTGATAACAATATACAAATGAAACATATATATAAATGTTAAGAACAAAATACCTTTAAAAAGTATGATAAAGAAATATTTCTAAATCAAAAATATAAAATGTACATACAGTTCTTTAACTTCTTTTTTGAGAGTTTCAATCTCTCTAAGATTTGAAAAATGGGTGTTGACTTTTCCCTGGAGTCGTGAGCATTCCTCTAAAAGATTTTAAAAATACATTAATTAATCATAGCATTGGCTTTTTTAGAATGTATTAGATTTGGCTCATGTTTAACAAGTAATACATTATTTCAAATGAAGTGTACTTGTGACCTTCTGGTTCATAAAAAAACTAGTGTTCTTACAAAACAAACTTACCAGATTTTGTATGTAACTCAGCTTTCAGGCTTTCAACTTGCTGTTCAATTTCCTGAAGAAAAAAAAAGGTTTTTCTTAGATTTAAAAATACTTAAAATTAAATTATTAATTTTATCCCTCCCCCTTGCCATTTTTTAAACTTGGAAACAGTTGGTGTGAGCTAGTATATTTCATGGCTTTTTTAATAAAGAAAATTAAATTATTATTCAAATCACATTCTTTTTACTCTGATTTATCATTTTATTTGGTAACAATTGATGCTGTATACTAACTATACTTAAAATACCCTTTTAAAAAAAACTAATAAATGAGTGGTTAACAGGTTGGTTTAGTTCACACCATTATATTTTCTATAATCCAGTCTAACTTCATTTTAGAACATGAATTCATTTACTTTTATCGTACTATAGAACATGAATTGACAATTTTAATGAAGTGTATAGGCCTGCTCATGTTTTTAAAAAAAATAAAAATGAACATGTTCTTCCTTTAATGGTTAATATCTGAATAGAAATGTGTATTTACCTCACACTTTTTAGCAGCTTCTTGTTTCTCCTGATCTCGAGTGGCCAGAATTTGTTTTCCCCAAGTGATCGTTTTCTTACAGTTTTCTATCTCCTTCATGGCTTCTTCCAGCTCAGTACTTCTGGCTTCACACTCTGCCTGCCACTCCTGTATACATTCAAGGTACTCTGCTTGGTTGAACTCTCTCTGCTGTTCTTCCATTTGTTTCATTTGTTCCAGAGTAGCGTCCCTTTCGTTCTTCAGCTGACTGTGCAGATCATGTAACTGGGCAAGTTCTGTTTTATATTTTGAGATTTCTTCAACCATTTCCTCAGCTGATATATCCCTTGTTTTCTTTAGCTCATCTACCATTTTTTGCAAATCGTTTATATCAGTTTTATTTTTTAAAAGTTGTTGATCTTTTTCTTCAACTAAAGCATCAAAATAATTACGCAATTGTTTTAATTCAGCCTCATATTTTGTTACCTCTGTAGCTGAAACACATATTTCACTCTCTTTGTCTTTCAAAAGGGAAGACAACTGAGCTATTTGCTGTTTGTATTTCATGATTTCATTCTCCTTGTCATCTCTGTCTTTCTTCATCTCTTCTAGATAACTCTTAAACTGTTTTACATCCATTTCATGCTTGGCAAAAAGACCAGCCTTTTCATTAGCCAAATCAACACGATCCTGCTTTAACTGTTCAAGAAAAGCTTGGAACTGTAATAATTCTGTTTTATAGTTTGATACTGCACTTTCATTATTCATAACCATGGTATCCCTTTCTATTTTTAGCTCATCTATACATTTATGTAGGTGTTCAATTTGTTTTTCATATTCAGCACTTTCTCTAGCTTTATCCTCTTCTAAACATTTCTTTTCTCTGTTAAGAACATCAATGATATTTTGCAAATTGGCGATTTCAGTTTCACATTTTGTAACCATGCTTGCCTTTTCTTCACTAGTAAAACAGCTTTCTGCTTTTAATTTGTCATCTAAACTGTCTTTGCCCTTAGATAACTCTTCATGTAACTCTTTCAATATTTTCTTCTCATCTTCCAGTTGCTTGTAGGATTCTTGCAAGAACTTTCGTTCTTCTTCAAGAAATTTTTTATCTTTTTCAATATTATTCAGCATTTCAATTTTATCTTCCATATTTGCCATTTGCTCAGCTGTTTCATGCCTTAACTTCTCAATGTTTTCTTTCTCTTTTTCCAATACAATTCTTTCCCTTTCCAGTTCACTTCTTTCATAGTCTAGAGCCAGCTTGTCTAATTCATCTTTGTGACAGTCTACCTCCTCATTTATTGATACATCAGTTGTGTTAGATTCAGCTGTATCATATTTATTCTTGTCTGACACGTCCTCTGATTCATCCTCCTCAATTAAATCACTAATCCTGGATAGTTTTGGCTTTAAAAAACTACTTTCAAAAACACTATCATCCCCTTTGAAAGACCTAGAATATCTGTGTCGTTTTGAAAAACTGTTGTCAACATTTTTCCCTTTGAACTTAGCTTGGGCACTTTCATCAGTCAACTCCAGCTCGTACTGTACAAAGCTCTCATTGGATACAAGATTTGGCCTAGCACCCTCTATGCCCTCACTGTCATGTTCGTCAATGGAAAAATGTGTTACATGAAAATCTGGTCCAAGACTCATGTTGTAGACTGAGCTTTCATTGGGCTGAAAATTAAAATTAATAATTTGTATGTTAGTAATAATGATAAAATATAAATGCATAACGCAGCATGCTTGATGAGACTGAGGGCAGAGCTGGGAAAATCTTACAAAAAAAAGAGTGGCAGGAGACTATGGAGGGCTTGGATGGAGGCCCTATGTTCACAAGGAACTAAAAGGAAAAACAAAAAAATAAAAAATATGTATTTTAAAATTAAGATGACAAATTTAAAAAGGGGATTACACAAAGGATAAAAAACTACTTTGCATTAAATATATCTAAGAAATTATTTTTTTAACCAGCATTTCTTGTGTTGTAACACACCAGTAATAAATACATGAAACTCTTATGAGTGAATACTTGGACACGTCCTTAGGCTGAGTATATGTGAAAGCTAACCAAAAAAGGACATGCAACAAGAACATTTACTTACATCTAAGTCTAAGCCTCCATGCATTTGCTGAATCCTAACTTTGAGCTGCCTGTTTTCTTTGGTCAAAATATTTATCTGGGTCTTAAATTTCTGTCAAAACAAAATGCAGTGTAAAACATTGTCTGTAACACTGTTACATCAAAGCAATAAGTGAATTCAAAGGTAAAAAAAATGGTTATTCAGTTAAGTTTAGCAAACATTTAAGACCTCTGAACACACGATTATTGTATTTCAAATAAAAAGTTGTGCTTTACAAAGCAACTGGAAAATACAAACCTGGACAAGAGCTTCTTCAACAAAAGCTTGTTCAAAGTCTGTAAATGACAGATCCCTGCATTTACACTCATGTGATCTGCATGGGGAGCTTAATGAGTGATTAATGGACTGATCTTCTGCACCTGGAGCTGTAGGTGCAACAATGTTTTCATTTGGCTTGGTATCAAAAGACACTTTCTTCCTTATTGCTGGTGAAAATGGAATGTTTACTGTTGATAAATCTGGAAGTTGCATAAAAAAACAAAGATTTAGAAGGTAATGAAGAATGAATTTCCTCCAAGTAGAAAATGTAATCCTAAAGAAAACAGTAAGACATTTAAACTGTTGAAATAAAATGAATATCATTCAAAAAAAAATTACAACAAAATATTGCAAATTATGCATTATCATAAAGAGGAATAGAAAAGTAACATTGGCAATTCACAGAAAGGAGAATTTCTACCTTTCATAGCAGTAAATCTAGATATCTGCGGAACACATACTGTTTGTCTTCGATTCTAATGAATAAAAACCATAATTTCAAAAGTAGTTAAATATTGTGATAAAATAAAATGTTTGCAATAATAAAAATTTAAATTAGGATGTCAAAAAATATAGAAAGGTATATCGGTGAGGAATTCTTCACAAAGACAAGTAAAAAATCTTTTTACCCTTTCTTTCTTTTCAATGTTTACTTTAGATGAAACACAGAGAATACTGCGCAACTGTTCAGTCAACTGCTGCTGTTTCATCTTCTGCTCTTTCAGCTCATCATCAGTTTGTGCAGAAAAGCCAGACTCTAACTAAAGGAGAAAAAAATATTGCCAGCTAAACTATGCTAAATACCTTTTCATAAAAAGTAATGAATAAAAATAATTATTTAAAACATTTATTTAGCATATTTTTATAAATTGCAAAAATCAAACTCTAATAAATTAGAAAAAATGCAAAAAATTTTAAAGACTTACTTTCTTTATTACAGCCTTCAGTTTTTCTATTTCCTGCTGGGATTTTTTCAATAGAGCTCGATCTGTAAGCACTTCATTCTGTTCAGGCTTGTTTTTGACTTTTTTAGCATTTAATCCAAACTATAATACAATAAAGAACATCAAATAATTATACACATATACTGTTTGATAAATCAACGAAATAAAACATTGTAGTACAAACTTACTCTGAGTGTAGAGTGAGTCTCCTCAACGCTAGTAGGAGATACTGTACACAAAATGGCTGTCTTTGAGTTACCACCTAGAGCATTTTGTAGAATACGGGTCAATTTACTATCTCTGTAGTTAATAAATGCACTGAAAGACAAAGAGAGAAAAATAAAGTTGGTTCAAGCAAATAAAAATATTTTTATGATCTAACATTAAATTTTTCTTGCAAAATTGGTTAAATAAATTAACAATTATTATATTCGTTTGATAGAACGTTATGAGCTACAATTGTAATTTCTTTTACCTGTCTTCTTCACTCAACTTGCGGATGACCAATGCTAAAGTTGAGAGAGATTTATTGATACCACATCCTTCTCTGAACCTATCTCCACTATTCTCTCCAGCCTTTTCACTCCCAGCAAGATCCACAAGGTTCTGAAACATTGGGACAAGTGGCTTCATTCATAAATAATTCTAACAATTCACTACACAATACATAAGCTTTATTAAAAACTAGCCGTTGTTACCCGTTACACGTGAATTATCGGTCTATATATTTTTAATGGTATACATTTTTTAGAAGAATATTTTATAAAATACAGGTTTAACGATATTAGTGACAAAGCAAAGAGATAACTAAATAGCTAAAAGTCCGACACATTTACAATAACATAGGCTACTAATACCTATTAGAAAAAATAAAACCAAATTATATACATAATTAGTCAACACATCACCATATTAAATGCACACATTGATTAAAAGACTTAAATGACTCAGTTAAAAACCCGGCTTTTCAATGGTATTTATGTTGCTTTTTAAAGTAATTTGTCTTAGTATTGGTCGAGGAAATTGTATAAATTTCATAAATTATGCCTCGATAAGTAAATCTATAGATCTAAATCAAATTTTAATGAAACAGTTCATTTCTTTGTATTCTAAAATTGGAAGATGATGCCATTGGTTTTGTGTACTATCCGTACTTCAAACATATAACATGTGACGTCATTGATTTCGCCCTTTTTGTCCCAACTATAAACACTTTTCCGGTTGCATAATTTAAACTGTTTTTCTACATTTGAATATGCCTTTAATTTTTTATTTTTCTTCTTTAAATAAAATGTTGTTTATACATTTAAAACATCTACCATATTATTTTCAACAAAAGTCCGTATCAAGTTCTCCATATATCGCTGAAGATTCTGATGTGATATCCTGCGAAAATATTTTGCGGACAGAGAGAGAGAGAGAGAGAGAGAGAGAGAGAGAGAGAGAGAGAGAGAGAGAGAGAGAGGTGCTCACATGGGCTTTTATATATTAGGATTAAATAAGCTTATTACAGGATTTCTGAAGTGATAAAGTAGCTAGCTGTCAGCTAAAAACATGAATTACCAGGTGAGACACATAAACTGAGGAGTTTTCTGCATCTTTTCTTTCTCTGCTTTCTATCACCTAAGAAGAAAAGGTAGTTATGACTAGAAATGAGGTTTATTTAACTAAGCATTAAACTTACAACTTTTTTGTGACAAAATGATAACAAATAGTATTTAATTTACACAAGGGCCAGTAGATTTAAACAGTACAATTTAACTATAAATGCTTACTAAGATTTTGCTTTACACAAAATTTCATGTATACAAGTCTGCAAATCAAATTAGTAATTTCTTAAAAAAAAATTAGTATAAAGAGCATCTTACCATTCTAAAAATACAATGGGATCTTGAAGACGAATTGTTCAACTTTGTTTCAGCAATATGCCGTCTTTCTATAGCAAAAATAAACACACAAAAAATATGTAAAAATCAATTTAGAAACCTAAAAGAAAAATATCAAGTCATTTAAACTAAAATGCACTATTTACAATACATTTTTAGACTTACCATTGCCTTTAGCCAGTACTTGAGCAACATGACTTTGTGATGTGATAATTTCTTCTTTTAAGCCTTCAAGGAAAACATTTCTATCCTGTAAATATGACAAAGAATACCTATTTATCTGCGTAAAAAATAACAAAAAAAGTATTTAAAACATTACACATATTTTATCATATAAATATGTTGTAAACTTACAAGGTCTTCTCTTAATAGCAAAATTGCATTGTCAGCGAGCAAGTCATAAAATCTTTCATTATAAAGCTCAACATAAGACACTCTCAGCAAAAACTCCCTGGTGGGACACTGAAATGAGAATTAATTATGGTTTCAAAACAGGTTTACCGAAGTCTACATTTAAACAAATACTACATAATTGTAAGTTTTTAAAATTTTCTTATAAGCAACAGGAAAATAAGCAAGAATATAACATGCAGCTTGTTAACGGTATACATACATTCTCAATGTATTCATAAATAGTTTTGATGGCAAATGTTCTCAATGCATCGAGAGTATAGGTCTTTCCACTGCCAGACTGACCATAGGTAAATATGGTACCTAAAAAGAGAAAATAACAATTAACAGATATGACATACAAGAAGTCTCACATAAGTCTTAATAAATGCTATTTCTATGTCTGTAAAGAGCATTTTTAATCAATACAACTATTTGTATGTAGCCAAATAGTGAATGTCTTTTTACATACCATTAAAACCTTCCATGGCCTGCTTCACAATATCTAATGCCAGTTCATTATATACTGTGGAACTTGATATTTGCTCATCAAAGACTCTATCTATATTAATTAAAAATGTTGCCAATGAGATGAATAAATATGAAATATAATTTGTTACTGGTAGGCCTATATTTTATTGAAAGTTAATTGTTAGTTACTTACCAAATACATAACAAGTACTTGACTGATCTAAAGTAATTGATGAATTGGTGCAAATCCATCGTCCTTTTAAACCTAAAGACTTCTCCCTATTAAAAAAAAATTGAAAAGGGCTATAAATATAAATGGGCAAGCCTATTAGTATTACATTATTTAAATTTAAACACTGACAAAGTCTAAATTAAAAATGTGAACATCTGATTCTAGACAAAAAATATTTAACTACTAGGTCTACTTAAGGACTTAAGGTGAAGTTAGTGTAGTAATGGCAATGGTCAGCTAAGGTCCTGAATCTAGGTGCGCGGACCTTTGACCACAGGTGCTTTGACCATAGGGCATAGGCATAGGGGCTTTGACTTTGACCATAGGGTTTTATATCACAGCGGGGCTTTTAAATTTTAAATCTATAATATATTAATATAGGGCATAAGGCCTAAATCTATAGATCTAGATTCTAATCTAAGCCTTTTTCAAAATACTCACCCTGAAAGTAGTGGACGAACACGTACAGCGACTTTTAAGGAATCCATTCCTGAACCCTGTGTAGGAAAAAAAAAAGTAGATCTAGAGATCAGTTTAATTTAAATCCTAAAAACATTAATTTTTTACATTTGTAAAGGGCCGTAAGTCTCAAGACAGCAAGCTTGCAGAAATAACCACGTAGATCTACGTTCAAAATCAAATGGATGAGTGATGGATAGATTAGGGGCTGTTAGTTTAATTGAATATCAACAGTAATCAAATTAAACGTTGCATAAGTCATAAGTGTCAAAACGGCAATGCTTTTTTTTTCTATAAACTATAAAAGTCTAGATTTCTATTTTTCTAGCCAAAAGGCGCTTCAAATTTGGCAGGATCCTGCCTTGGGGCGATAGAACGTGAGGGCCGGTGCCGATCGGCCGCAAAGTCCACGGAGAGGGGGTCAAAACTGACCTCGACTGACCGGCGCCTTACATGTCATGGGCTATATTTATATTACCAAAAAATACTTTTGACTAAAAAAATGACCGCGAGTGAAATTCTCCTTATAGACTATAAGATATATATATAAATAAATTGACGAACGACCCCCCCCCCCCTAATATTTTGTGAGGTCGTACACCGACACTGGAGGGTAACAAAAAACTTTACTCCCGTCGGAAAAAAACCTTTTACGGTCGTTAGATTTGTCCAGATGCCGTATTTTCTTACATAAAAAAATGCAAAAAAGTGACGTCACACCATCTCACCCCCCCCCTCCCCCGTCACACACCGTCACAAAATTACGGACCCCCCCCCCTACGAGTGTGACGACATTAATAACGACCCCTAATCTGCATCAACAAGTTACCCATTCCATGCTTCCCTTGCTGTTGCCAGCATTCCCGATGAATTACAATATAAATTCTAGATCTAGGATTGGAGTGATTCCTAAAACGTACAGTGTTTAATTAATGAAAACTAGCTCACACAATTTTGGTTTAGTATGCAGCATTCATATCCAAACGTGAAAATGATTGCCTTTCGAGTTTTAGTTCCTTTTGTATCTACATAAGGGTCGTCCATAAATGACGTCACACTCGTAAGGGGGGGGGTCTGTAATTTTGTGACGGTGTGTGATGAGGGGGAGGGGGGGTGGGTTCAGATAGTGCGACGTCACACTTTTGCATTATAAAAAGCAATGCTAGAAAACGAATTTTATACGTTATTTCGAGTTTTAGAAAACTTTTAATAAATTGGAATAGGAATTGATTAAAATACTCTATTTTTTACAGAGTTCAGACAAGATTTTGTAAAAGTATCTATAATAGATTGACGACAGAAGCCTGTGGTTGTATATAACACATTTAATGGGTCTAACTACATCATGATGGTAATACCAGAGAGGACGGAAGGCAGTACACAAGGGACATCACTCAAGATAACAATATTATAAATATAACTAATACAGAAGAGTGAGTTCCCTTGACCTCACAATTATTTCAATCTATTACATCCCTTTACCCTTAGAACACAATAACACATCTCTCAATAGAACAATTGATAGTATCCTAAAATCACCAATTATATTGTAACATGAACACTATGGTAGATTACATCCTTACAAACAATGCACAATATGCTACAACATAATCAAAATACAAAACAATAATGTCAAAGTCCTCTTGACCTTTAAAATCATAGGTCTAACTTATTTGGGACTTTGATTGTCCTGCTTGACCTTCTCAGTGGCTTTTGATTTGGTGACTCAAGATTCTGACCATCTGGATTCTCTATCTCAGGAGGTCTAGGATTTAAATCATTAACTCCAGAATTAACATTTTCTGACTCCAGACAACTTGGTTCACTCATATCAACAGAACTTGGTTGTGGAACAAACTGAGTTGGTGTGAACTGTTCAGATTTGGTGGGATTGACAGATTCACACTTATTATCTGCACAAGTTATTTTTAACTTTATAAGGCACAGGTCCTGTACATTGAACAATTTGACCTGGTATCCATTTTTCCTTTCTCCCATAATTTCTTAGATACACATTCCCATTAACACCAAATTCTCTTTCAATGAATGTTTGTCATGATTTAATGGAACTATTTTTGAATTGGCATCTGAAAGTATTAAATGGCAAAAATCTTTTTTCTTTTCTTTTGATGTTACCCTTTTAGTTTCTGTAAGTGCTAATGATGTTAGCAAAGTTGTTTGATGATCACATTCCTTCTTACTAATGTATTCTCTTTAAAACATTTGAAATTGCCATATCACCATAATCATTTATTAAGTTACAAATACTTTGTTTAGGCAACTCTGACTGATAATGGACTGCATCTTCTCCATCTTTTAGACTTAATTCCATTTCTCTTATTGTATATGGCCTTAAGTCATCATTCACAGACTCTTTAGGCCAATCATTCTTACAGTACTCATATACTTTTATTAAGCACTCATCTTTTTGTGTTTCTCTCTTAATATCATTCACATTTATATTGGAGTTATCCATGATAGTGAAGAGAACAAATACATCTTCTGGTACATAGCTCAGGCTTTGGTTTTTTAAAGGTAATCTACTAAGACTATCTGCACTATTCTCAGATCCAGGTTTGTATTTCAATTCATAATTGTATGCAGTTAGTGTGATAGCCCATCTTTGAATTCTTAGTGAGGTATGCTCAGGTAGGGTTTTGTTTTCTCCAAATAAACCTAGCAATGGTTTATGATCTGTAAAGATGGTGAACTTCCTACCAAACAGAAACTTATGAAATTTCTTAACACCAAAAATGATACCTAAGCCTTCCCTATCTAACTGAGAATAATTTTTCTCAGCCTGGTTCAAAGATCTACTGGCAAAAGCAATGGGTCTGTCACCCTTCTCATCCATGTGGGACAAGACTGCTCCTACACCATCTGGTGAAGCATCACATGTTAATATAAGTCTTTTCCCTGGGTCATAGTGAGTTAGTAAGGTGTCAGCAGACAAAGCCTCTTTTGCTGTATTAAAAGCAGCTTCTTGTTGTTTACCCCAGTGCCAAGTTGCATTTTTCTGTAGCAGCTTGTACAGTGGTGATAGTTTACCAGACAGATTTCCTATGAACTTTGCATAGTAATTTATCAAGCCCAAAAAAGCTCTTAGTTGTTGGGTATTTTCAGGTTTGGGTGCTTCTTTAATGGCTTTTGTTTTCTCAGGTTGAGGTCTGATGCCTTGTTTGCTCAATATATAACCAAGAAAACTAATTTCTGTCAGCATGAATTGACATTTATCTTTGTTTATCTTTAAACCTTTTTCACCAACAATTTTCAATACTTTATCAAGTGTTTTAAGATGTTCAGTGTCATTCTTACCAGTTATGTACACATTGTCAAAGTACACACAAACATTTGGAATATCCTTAAAAATACTGTCCATGACAGCTTGGAAAATTCCAGGGCTAGATGATATGCCAAAACATAGTCTTTCATATTGGTAGAGTCCTTTATGTGTGTTTATTGTCGTATAGACTTTTGAATCTGGATGCAGTTCTAGTTGAGTGTAAGCATGACTAAAGTCTAATTCAGTGAATTTGTCTCCTCCTGCCAAATTCAAAGAAATTTCCTCAATGTTAGGTATAGGGTACCTATTTAGCTCTATTTGCTTATTCAGTGTAGTTTTATAGTCTCCACAAATTCTTATAGAACCATCCTTCTTTAACACTGGCACAATGGGTGACGCCCAATCGGAATAGTCTACCTTCTTTATGATGCCATTAGATTCCAATCTACTTAGCTCATTTTCAATTTTATTCCTCATTGCATAAGGTGGAACTCTAGCTTTGCAGTATCTTGGATTTGTGTCTTTAATGCTTAACTTCACTGTTCTATCATTTAGTAATCCAGAGTTACCAAAAACACATTTATTTTCAGATATAACTTTATCTAGTGAAGTAAGACTAGATTCTTTTCCATTGTTCAATGAACAAATACTCTCCCAATTTAACTTAAGATCACTTAACCAGTTCCTACCTAGTAATGGCGGTCCATTTCCTTCAACCACAAGAAGAGGAAGTTTAACACTTTGACCATTATAACTTACATGAACCATACACTCTCCTATTACCGGAACATTGTCACCAGTGTATGTTGTTAGACACTTGTGACATGGCTGTAGAGGCACTGATCCTCCTGTGACAGCGTCAAAATCTTTCTTTGTTATGACTGTTAGAGATGCTCCAGTGTCAAGTTGGAAGCTGATGCTCTTACCGTTGATATTAACTAGTACACTGATGGGAGCATGACTTATTGATTTCACAGAGAACAGGTTGAAATCCGGCTGCGAATCAGTTTGAGCATTTTCACTGGTAGAGTGGTTCATTGGTTGGGTTAGGTAGTCTTGGTGAGAGTTAACATAGTGCTGCTTTTGGTTGCGGTACTGTCTTGACTGGCTAGATTTAGCAACAGACGAAGACTTTGCAAAGCAGGCCTTGGCAATGTGACCTTGCTCACTGCACTTGTAACAAGTTGCAGACTTGAACTTGCATCGATGAGATGCATGGGGACCTTTGCATCGATGACATTTTTGATAATTATTACTAGATTTAGATCTAGGATTTGAACGAGCAGGCTGTTTAGCATAAGATGGAATGCTCTGATGGGGTTGATGTTTATTGACTAACCTGCTGTTTACTGCATGGATCCCTGAAGGCGTAAGAGATTTCGCCGCATCTGATGACTGCTGGATTGAAGTTGCAAGTTGTATTGCTGTTTCCAATGTTAGATCTGACTCGAGCAGCAACTTTCTTTGAACATCAGGACTGTTTACACCTGTCACAAACTTTTCACATAATCTGTCAGACAGCGTGTCTCCGAATTCACAAAATTCACTTAAATGACGTAAAGCAGCAACATATTCTGATATTGACTCGTTTGGCTGACGAGTCCTACTGTCAAATCTAGCTCGACATAGAAACTTTGATGGTACAGGCGCATGGTGGTCTGTTAGCAATTTGCTCAGCTCGTTAAAGCTCTTGGTAGTTAGACTAGCTGGTGCGCATAAGTCTTTTAGTAGCCTAAATTGTTGAGGCCCTATGACTGTTAACAAAACAGCTCTCTTTTTGGCTTCTATCGTCACGTTGTTTGCTTCTAGGTAAAAGCTTAACCTCTCTAGGTAATCTTGAATGATTTCATCATTCGCATCAAATTCTTTTATTTGGCCATACAGCGCCATAATTCTAGAAATAATTAGCTAATAAGCTCTAGCAAACCTCTTTTTTGCGTAAGTAGGTGCTCTTTCTAGTAGATGTTTATCCTTCGTCGCCAGTTATAATAGATTGACGACAGAAGCCTGTGGTTGTTTATAACACATTTAATGGGTCTAACTACCACGATGGTAATACACCAAGAGGACGAGAGGAAGTACACAAGGGACATCACTCAAGATAACAATATTATAAATATAACTAATACAGAAGAGTGAGTTCCCTTGACCTCACAATTATTTCAATCTATTACAGTATCGATGTTTAAAAAAAATTCAACTGCAATTTTGAGGGGTTGGGGTTGTAGGCTGAGGTGTGACGTCATTTTAGGGGGGTATGACTTTTTATTTTTGAGACGATGTGTGACGGAGGGGAGGGGGGAGGTAAAAATCGTCAAAAAAGCGTGACGTCATTTATGGATGACCCCATATCTTTGCGAGAATAGAGTTTCAACACTTCTACAATTGAAAACAAAACAAAGTAATAAATAAAATGTCGAGAATGACATGAGGTTGGCGTTAACAAAAAGTCAACCGCGAGTGTTGAGGCTAGTTACTACCATGTAATTTCACTCATCGTATTCAAACAGTTATCAAGAATATTTCATATTGAAAGCTTACTAGAAAATCTTATTTTAGTGCCTATTAATTTCCTTACTATTATCGACTTTTTATTTCTATGGGGGGGTCACTTACTTTTTATAAAAGGGGGTCATCACTCCAAAAAGTTTGGGAACCGCTGCCCTATGCAATCCACATAACATGCAATTACCAATTTATTAATCATTAAAATTCTCAATTTCTTTGTTTTAAAACCTAAGCAAAGCTAGGCAGTATGCCTATAGTAGGCCTATATTTATAAATTTCAAAATTTTCTTACAAATGGGAAACAACACAATAAAATAGGAAAAAAAACAACCTAGCTTGGTTATATCCCTTTAAGGAAGAAGCACTCACATTTATTGAAATAAAGTGGAGTGGTGTTGATGGGGTACTGCTTTTTTGTGAAGATGGAGTTGATAATAAAACGTGTGACCATATTATCATGGGCAGACTTTTAGTAACGTTAATGAGATATTTATAGATCTAGATCTAATTATTAGGCTATCTGATTTTTAAAAAATATATTCTTCCAAGCAAGGACAACAGGAGCATTCACTCTAACATTTCAAGATGGATGCGCCCTTGCAACGGGAGTGACAAAAAAAAGGACGGTATTTCGAGTCATTTGAATCCCGATCAGAACGTCCCCCCGGTGTGGTTTCAACCAACTGGCAGGCATGTCACATTGAGTTGAGTTTAGAGGCCTATAGTTACAGTACTTAAACCAAATATTGACTTATATAACTTAGAATATCTAGCGGGAAAAACGAAGCCGCGCAAAACCAAAATTCGAGAAGCCCATTTCATTAAAGAATTAAATATTTTTAAAATCATGCACGGTGTAGTGTAGATCATTCTAGATCTAGACTAGATTTCTAGACTAGATCTAGTTGAAATTAATATGGTTAGAAAATCCTGGGTAAAACTCCATTTTAGCATAATTTATTCGCTGCTTCACGTTCACCTCCAGTTGAGCATAGTTTATTAAAAAAATTAAATTACTATCTAGTGTATCTAGAGTCCTAGACTATGACTATTACAAACACAACCAAAACACACAAAACGGTGACAAAAATGTTAGGAAAACACTAGGATTAGATTTAAAGTATTTTAAAGCTAGATCTACCTATTTTTTTTTTTTATGAATGTGAGTTATAAAAAAACTGTGTCATACTGTAACAAGATTATGAGACATCTGTGAATGTAGATGTTGTGCTCACTGAAAAGTGTAATAAGGGAAGCAACTGGACTGAGTGACTGTGTTTGTGGAATGATATATAAGGAGAACAAATGTTCATGAGAGGACGTGATGAGAAAGTGGTCGCTTGGAAAAACTGATTGTGAGTGGCAACACAAAGATTTGTACTCAGGAGAAAAGGAGAGAAGTTGATTATAAATAGACATTTTGTTACTTCAAGCACTGTGTTGTTCATTGATTTACTGTTGAAATACCAGCAACCACTCCTTACAGAGTTTATACATAGACATAGGCCTATTATTTATTGTGTAACATAATACTTGATGTTAAAAAGAATTCAAGTAAAAAAATTGTTTTTTTTTTTTAATTTATTAGATTGTGATAAGTTGCAATGGGTAATTTGTAAATGATGTCACTTTCTTGGGTGGAATAGGGAGGTTACTTCTTATTTAGACGTCACTTGTTTTTATGACCACTGGATATGAAGAGATAGTGTGGTTAGCACAATTGTCCAGCTGCCTCTACTTTCCCTAACGTGAAGGGTACCCATCAGAGCTGGTTGGACTCAGGGACATTCTACTGACTTGAACCTGGATTTGAACTCGAGACTTTCGGGTTAGCAGTCTAACGCTCTACCATTGTATAAGTACAATAGGTCTATGTAATAAATATTTATAGTAGTAATTAAAACATTGTTAGAGGTGTATGGCCAATCAAGGTTTTTTTTACCTAATCTTTTGTAAAACTCACCTTTTTGGCACACTTTTCTCACTTTCTCTTAAAACCTGGTTACACCACATAGGTAAATCCATATTTATATATTTTTTTTAAATTGTGTGGTGTTTAACTGATTTTAGAACTCCATCCACCAGCTAGCTGTAATTCTCTTGCATTTATTGGGCAAATCATATAGGATGAGTCACATGTACCTATTTATTTTAAAATTATTATTTAATAATAGTGCTTTATAATTACATCTTTTTCAGTATTATGAATACTACACAGTTGACCACTTCTGCGTTTATAAAATTATCAAGGACCACATTGCTGCAAACATATTGTAAAAGCTCAAATTATGTGACCTGCGTGTCACAAGGTCATACCACTAACTTGTTAATTGGTAAACACCATCCGTCCATTGCACTAAGATGCAATCAGAGACCATTCTCATCGACACACAGATCATCAGCTTTGTGGAAAAAAGAAAATCCAGAAATAAACACAAGCAATGCAGTTCATGATGGCAGAAGTTTAGTTGATAGATATATATTTGTTAAGCTATTAAGTAACTTTTACCAAGATATTCCTGATGGAATTATATTAGACACAGCATACGCAGACTCTAGACCTGGAGAAGATTTTGACCCTCATGTACCTGTAGTGCTTGGTCTACATGACACACCTGGAACTCATCATGACCTATTACCCATTTTAGGAACTTTTGCCAAATTAGGATGTCGAACAATAGCTCCAACTTTTCCAGGTAGTTGTTGTGTATATTTTTTTACCTGTTTCGTATAATTTAGTTGTAGCCTATAATTTATGCTCAAATCTGTTAAAAATAAATTGTGTGGTTTGCCCTATGCACATTTTAAGTTAAAACTGACCCAGCAAAAAGCCATTTTATAAATTATTTCTATTAAAATAATTTTATGGATCCACTAAATATTGTATTTAGTTCCAAACACTTTAGTTCTAGAAACTAAAATTCATTCCTAAATCAAATTTTAAAAATATAAATTTTAATGTCGGGGAACTAAAATTAATTTATCATTATGTTAAAAGTATTTACATGAACTATTTAATATTTAATGTATCAAGTTTTCAATTCTTATTTTTAAAAAACACATTTTATTCATTAAAAAGTTCTAGGTTGATGATTATTGACTTAATAATTCATTTCATTGATAAACAATATCAAAATATACAATGCAGTGACATAGAATCATTTGACCATATCATCCCTTAGTGACAAATCTAATAGAAAAAAAAATCTGTTTCAGGCCATGGAGAAACGTATGGTCTTATGAGAGGTTTTGATGACATCTTTGCCCATTCCACTATAGAAAGGGCCATGTTCATTCATAATTTTTTAGCCAATATTGGCATTGAGAAGTAAGAATTCTTTTTTCCCAATATCATTGAATATTTTGGTTGAACACCTACCTCAACATTTTATTTTAGTGGACAGTATGAAAAAGTAAACTTTGCTTTCTGACACTGACAGAGTTGATGTTGTTGTTGCTGTTGGTGCAGCCTGTTACCCAGCGATGCGCTTGTGTGTGGGGGAAGACTCCAGTAGTATGTACAAGTCCATGGCTCTCATCTCTCCTTGGCCATTCAAGAGACCCAGGTTTGAAGATTTTCTATTAATCTTACAATTGGTAGTGGTAGTAAAGTTCGAACATGACGTGAAGGGCATGGTCAAATGGTATAGTGTTTGACTTCTAATCTGAAAGTCTTGAGTTCGAATCTTGGGCTCAAGTCTGTAGGATGTCCCGGAGTCCATCCAGCTATGATGGACACTTGACTTACATTAGGGAAAGTAAAAAAGGCGGGTGGGCATAGTGCTGACCACACTATCCCTTCATATGCAGAGATCACAGAAACAGGTGAACTCAACTTCACCCGCCCCATGGACTGTCCGGTACCAAAGGGTACTTTACTTAGAGTCGTATTACTTAATTCACTTACAATGACTAAGATTTTTTTTTTTAAATTGTTTTGTCAATTTTAATATGGATAATGTTTACTTGTTTAGAAGTTATCCTATTCACTTAGAAGCAAACAAAAAGAAAATGGCAGCTTATACAAATGCAAGCTGTCAGAATGAATACATTGTTGGGCTTAGCATATTGGTGATTTCTCCATGAGGATACTTAATAGAAAATAATACAATTTTTTCTTTTGTAGATTTAAACTTTACATTTCAAAAGTGATATTTAAAAAATGGCTGAGATATCAAGAGCTCAAAAATTTACCATATTTAAATATTTTAACTATAACTATAAAAGAACATCCATTTTTTTTTGTTCTTCTAAATCAGAGAAAAATATCCATAACTTGTAGGTATGACACTGCTACAGATGCAGCTAGAAAAATTCAGTTCTGCTGGGACAGACCGTTGTTACGACAGCCTGCCAAATTCTTGTTGCTGCCTAAATATAAGATTGGTAAAACTACCAGGGAGAAAGTGACTGCTGCTTTTTTGTTGAACAATCTTGACCTGAGTGAGGTGAGAAAAAAATCTTAAATATCCTACTTTCACTGTCTCGTTACTTAATTAACCATAAATCCCTCCATCAAAATTCACATAATGTACCAGTTAAATGATGATTTGGGGTCGGCGTGGTCGGTTGCTAAACCGTAAAGTCTCAAGTTCAAACCCTCGGGCAGATGAGACTCAACAGCTAGGGACAGCAACTCTTCTAGGAGAGACAACTACCAAATAAAAACTGCTGCTTTGTAGTTTGTTCTTGGTAGGACAATGGCTATGGAAGCAGATCCAAAAAGAAAATCAGGCTGAAATCAGAGTCAACGGCCTATAACAAGTTGACACATATTCTTAATTGTGTTGGAGGGAATCTCTTCCAACTAAAAATTAAAAATGCAGAAGAAAAGAAGAATTGATGATTTTAAATCTAAATTAATTTACTAAAATGACAATTATAATCTTAAGAGACCTTAATGGCTCAAGAATAGATGAAGTAAGTTAATCCATTTCTTTGACTGTAGCATATCAAGGCATTAAATGATCAGCACTATGCCAACCCCACTGACATAAGTCAGGTTCCCATCCAAGCTGGTGGGTCTCTAGGATGTCCTATAGAATTAAGCCTGGGAACCCAACTTGAAAATTTGACACAACACATCCAGCCCATAAAAGCTATTCTAATCCAAAAGTTACTTGATGAAGAATTAAAGTCCAAATAGCATTTCTGTCTAATTAAGGATTATTCAGCAAAAGTTTAAAATAATTACATTTTTTCACTCAGGTTTCTGGGTTTGCATTGGCTATGAGTGTGGCAAATACTCCTCGCTTAGTATTTTTTGGAGAACAAGACCAGGCAGTTGAAAAAGAATTGTATTACGATGTGGTGGATAAGCTTGATATTCCTAAAAGCAGTATCACTGTATTCAAAGGAAAACTTGGTAAGACACTTCTTTCTTATTAAAATAATAAGTTTTAAAAGCTTATCTTTTTTGAACCACTTAAAAAAGATATTGCATAAGATTCGAGTTCTAAACGAAATGTCAAAAAATTCTTTTAATACACTATTTTTGATTTTGATACAATTTTAAGCTCATAATTATAGTTATTTAATTAACCACTTTCAAAAAAGTTTGAACTTTTGTTGTTCTATTTAATTTGCATTTATTTGCATTAATGAAAGTTTTTTTTTTTTTTTGGAAGACTATACAAAAGAATACAATTGTAACCTTAACCGTTGGTTTAAATTTTCCAGATTATCCTTTAATGCCAGGTGTTGTTGTCTTCCCCAACGAGTCCTATGATATTCATAAAAAACAGTCCAGCATCATCAGCATGTGTGTCTTAGAAATGGTTAAACTTTTCCACCCAGGTATACGATTATTGTAAGTTAGATTTGTCTGCATTAAAAGTCCACATCAAGAAATCTGTATAGAATGTCATAAACAAGAGTGTCTTAGTAAAAAAAAGATTGCTAATTAAATTATGCCACAATTTTAAAAATGTGTCTGTGTTGTTAAATTTTGAACAGATGAATTGTGACTCATTGACATGACTTGTTTTCATAACATTTAGATATATTTAAAGCAATTAATTTGCTGTTAGCATCTTTTAGAAATTGTGGGGAAAAAATATTAAAATAAAACAGAAATTTTGTATTTTTAAAATCACGGCTACTTTGCTAATTGTAGCCATAGGAAAATATGAATATATATTTACTTTTAAATTTGAATTTCTTTTTTTCAACACATGCCTTTCTTTATAGATATTGTTTCATGGGGTAATTGAAACAAAGTTCAGTGTATTTTTGCCAGATTACTATTTTGAATATGAAGTTTCAATATAAATAGCACCATTTTTAAATTATACTAAAAGTGTAGATACAAAAATGAAATAAAAAGCAACAAAGTTATTAGAATTCTGTCATTAAAAAATAGAGCATTTAATCAGTCTTTTAATTATTTAAAAAAAAACACCCACAAAAGTAAATCATCTACTCTTTCAACCAAATTTACAGTATAATAAAACTTACAAGATAAAAAGTTATAAATAGTTTACAATCATATGGTACATTAGGCTTAGGAATTGCTTTAAACATGTAGCAATAATGCTAACATGTGACCAATTATGCTATATAACCAGATCACCATTTTCTTAGGACTGAAAAAAAAGGGAGAATGCAGCATTTCAAATAAAACAATGAGTTAAGACAATTAAAATCTGTATTTATATTAAGAAAATTAAAATCTGTATTTATATTAAGAAAAATTTAAATTAGTCTGCATTCTTTATATTATGCTTGCTGTGTCAAATAAATTCAATAATCAATACATATTCATACTGTTATAGTTAGTGAACTTTCAAATGCAGATAATAATCTGTGATAGTGATATTAAAAAAAGATTTAACACCTGTAATCTGTTAAAGTCACTATGATTATTTGTATACACCATGTTAGAGAAGCCATCAACTCTCAACATGAAATTCAATTGGCCATAAGTGAAAAATACTTTTATAATTTAAATAAACATTCTCTTACTATCTAGATAGTTCAAAAACTTTTAAGTTATACTCATTAATTGAACATCTCAAAATTCCTTTTGCTTTAGTAGATGATTATTTAAATGCAGTATTCAATAACATTATTACATAAAATTATAATTTTTTAAAATTAAAGATGTCATGCAGTGCATACTATCAAATAGATTAAAGTAGCAATTATGCTAAAAAAAATTTCCATCCACATTAGATATATGAATTTATTGATGTACCAATATAACAGGATCCAACAAACATTTGAAATAGAAATAGATGAAGCAATGGAAGCCATATATGCATAGAAGATAAATCACCTATACCATAATTGCTATGGCAAAAAGTAATTGAAAGACATCCTAATAAATTTATGGAAAACATTTTTTTTTTGTAAATTTTACTCAACAATTAGTCTTTTTTTTTTTGGTGGAAATACCCATATTAAAATGCAAAGTAAAATTTCTAGGAGACATGTTTTAGCCAGATATGTTATGTTTATACCTCAAGAACAATATTATATTGTTAAAGTCAAGGGATGAATACTGGATCAGTTTAATTTGGTCAAGAAATAAAAGCATACACCAAAAAACAAAATATATATATGCACCATATTATCTTTCTTTTAAACCCACTTAAAAAGTATATATTTTTTACCAAAACAAAAATCCTTACAAAAAATGAAAACAACCAATGATACTTGATAGACCCACTTCTTATCATTAAAAATATGACTTTTTGCTGTAGCCTACTTATACTCAAGCTGTCTGCACAAAGTGCTGCAGTAAGAATGTGAAAAAATTACAAACAATGGCTTAATATGGATCTTATTTCCACACCTTGAATCACATAAGTAAAAAGTTAAGTACCCTTTCAAATGTTATGGTCCATGGGGCAAGTGAAGTAGAATTCACCTATTTCGGTGACCTCAACACATGAAGGGATATATAAATATAATAATTAATTATTGAAAGTTTGGCAAGAAAATTACTATTAAAACAAAGTGAAATTCCATTATACCAAAAAGAAAAGTATTGGTATATCTTTGTATATACAAAAAGATAATATTAATGAAGTTAACATTTGTTCAGTTAGGCATTTTAATGGATTTCAAAAATGAACATTTATCAATTATTTAAAAATTGATATTTTGCATAAAATTGAATTTAAAAAATCCTAATAAAAATAAAAAGCATTTTTTCACAATCATTTCACACCCACCAGTCTTTGTGAGTTTAGGAATCAGCTTGTGAATATCTGTTTCCCACATTTTTCTACATTACAAATGCCTAGATCATAAACCAATTAGCAATTGTTATGCTTTTTCACTTCTGACATAACATTCATTGAACATTAAACTCATGACATGTGAGCGTGGAATGACAGTGTTTAGCAATTTCACAATAGCATAAATAAAATATTCACCAAACAATATTTCTTTCAGAAAGTGGAATATTATTTGAATTGACAAGCAATAAAACAACTATGATCGTTTCGCCAATATACCAATTTACAATCTTACTCATGTGAACAATCAAGTTAAGCATAAAGTAAAAACACTGAACAAATACAATATTTCAAGACAATCACAGATAAAGTTGAATAATAGGCAGCCTTAAATTTTACACTCCAGCCATTTTGTAACAATACTGATCAAACTCCTAGGACTGGAGTGAAACATATTTATAACAAGAATACATCAACTATTCTGTCATTTGAATACTAAAATGACAAACATCTACTAGCATTGTAGCATACTTAAAATAAAATTACCCTCTCATACCTGAAGGCCAATAGGGTAGATGAAGAAGAATTCACCTGTGTATAAGAAGGAATAGTGTGGTTTGTTGTATATTTATACCCAGCCACCTTTACTTTCTCTGACTTGAGTTCTGTAGACTAAAGGGCCCTTCTAAGGATCCTGGTTAGAGAAGCAAACTTGAGCCTTTCAGGTTAGCATTGGTGCACTCTACCAAACATCACGAGTAAAGCTAGTTCTATATTTAATGACTTAAAAAATTTAAATTTCATAACAGAACCTTCAGAAACAAAATATTTCTATCAATCTGTTCAGCTAATTTACAGTTAATAAATTAGGAGTATTTCCTCGTAAATTATTAATTGATACAATAATATAAATCGCATGCATAAAAACTGATGTTCATACAATGTAACAGTTGTACCCCAATAAATAACCTGCTTTTACAATATGAAGCGTAACTTCTAACAAAAAATGATTTAAAAGAACCAACATACCTCATAAAAGTTACAAAAACTAATCTCACAAATAAAACATACTATAAAAATTATTCCACCAAAATTGTAATGACTATACATAAAGCTAAAATTAACAGTAGATCATTTTTTGAGTCCTGAAGATTTGAAATGAGAAAATGACTCTTTATAAAAAAAAATTATACTACAGGTAAAGACAACTAAATGAATTTTTTTAGTACTTCTTGTTAAAAATAACAATACAATTGCAGAGGGGAGATGGTGGGTGGTAATTTTACAAATATCAGTGTATAAAACTATGGAATGTTACCGTCTAGTTCAATGGACCAGTAACTTATAAACAAAAAAAAAGAACAAATGAGATCAACAATGACAAAAAAATAGCTCAGCTAGGGTTGCTCAGTTAACATTTGACATTACCAGCAGACAAAACAAAACATCAAGAGTTGACTCCAGAAACTCACCTCTCAAACTCAAAGTCTGATTCTTAATATAAACACAAATCTCACTTTAATTTAAAATCTTTGGTTTGGTTATATACCAAAACTGTAAATACTAACAATGTTTTATGCTGGAAATACTTTGGAATTAACTTGTCAAAACTGTAAAGATCAATAAATTTAGTTTATGTATAAAATTAGTAAATAAAAAAATGTTATAGATGAACTGTGACAAACGTGGTCAACTATAAATATGAAATCCTATCACAACCATATTGACAAGGAAGACAAAAGTTAAGATAACAAACATAACATTAGGGGAGAGCAACCCTAGCAGTAATTGTCATACGGTTTCAACAACAGTGTCCCATACGGAAAAGCGTCCGGGGATGTCTGCAGTGTCTGGTGATGGCGTCACATCCACAGAGGTAGGTGGCGTGGAGTCGTAGCTTGAAGAAGGCCTTCTTCGTCTGCGCTTGCGATTAAGCCAGTTTCTTCTAATATTTTCAATCTAAATACAAGAATTATGAGCAGAGATGAGACTAAACTGACAAGCATATTATATTCATGTAAAAATGCATGTGATGCAGCACTTGTTTCAACTATAAAATTCATCTTAAACAATAAGAGACCAAAGTGTTGTATTATTTAATGGATGGTTAATAAAATTAATAATATTACTTTTATGTAGCCAATAGGTGATAAAAAGTCAAGATTTTCTTATTACCTTGTCTCCTAAGAAGGAAAGGAGGGCAAGTATAACCAACACAACAAGAGCGACATGCGTCCAAAATCTCAAACGGTCTCTATATGTGCGCCTGAAAATTATATTCAATACAAGAATCGTGGAATGAAGTTAAAATACATCAATTTAAAAAGGTGGTATATGAAACCATGTCATTTTATGAAACATTTTACTTCTACTTATAGCATTATTTAAAAAAATCATTACAAAACAAAGTATAAGATGGAGTTTGTTACATAGAAAATTACTGACCACTCTCTTAAATCTCTCATGTGCAGGAACCTGTTCCTGTAATCCCTAGGTAACTCAAACTGTGACTGAATAGGTAAAAGTGACTCATAGAAGTCCTGGAGTATTGCTTTTACCTGTAAAGAAATAATTAAGCCAATTTTTAAATGTATTAAGTAGGATATATTTTAATTTCCTTAGTACCAACAGCTGGTCTGATATTCAAGCAGCTATTATATTTTTCTCAGCACCTTGATGGATAATATAGTTGAGTCAGTTGTTTCAGCAGGTCTTATATGATGGAAGTATAAATAACCTAATGAAATTCATTGACAAATAAATCCCATAAAATAGCACCCAGCAATAAAATTCAGATGCGCTTGCCTTTAAGTGTTATGAGATGCTGGATCCAAGTAGGTGTTGTCTGATTATTAAAAGTTTTCAAGCAATAATTTTAAAAACTTACAGTTTTTGCTTCCTCTATACTGTGATCAATATTGTCATTCAGGCAAATGAATTTCCTATTTATTTGTAAAAAAAAATTAAATGATGGCAAGATGAAAATAAATAAGCTATGAAATTAAAAGGAAGGAACTCACAAAATATAATGCACACTGTGTTTAATAAGATTTGTAAATTGTTTTTGAATAAGCTTGTAGTAGTAGTAGTTGAATTTTGAATATTTAGCTGCAGTTTCAATTTGAACTTGGTTTACAATGATAATGAAATTTGAAAGTTATAAGTTGTAAGAGATAAAACTAAAAATATGTGTTTAAAAAATGTGTTTCTTTAATAAAATACTAACTTTAAGTTGAAGTTTAAATATAATTTTTTTTTTTTAAATTGACTTGCGCAACCTATGTTGAAAGTAAATGCTGTAGTGAGTGCATTTTCACATGGTCATGATAATAACTATAAAGATTAATCTTAATCCAATAAAACTTACTTGGGATGTTTCCTAATGTCATCCAGCTGTCCAACCACATGGGACACATTAGAATGAATCATCTTAAATGTGATATCAGAATCATCCATTGTGATGGTTCTGTATATAATAACAAAAAAATTAAATTAATAAAAACAATATCCATAGAGAGCCAGGTTAAATTTATATTTAATATAACAACAATATAAACAAAAACAAAGTTTAATAACTACAGTGACTAAAAATAAGGACATGATGATTAAGAGCTGGGTGTAAACCCACGTATCTTAAATATCATGTTGGGTAAATTAAATCTGGCCTCCTGTTATGTTGGCCATACAAACACCTGGTGTGTTATGGCCATCAGAAAATCAGGTAAACAATTTTTACTTCGACAAGATAATGAGCAGATTATAATTGTCTTACTTGTATTTGAGTTTAGGCTTAACTCTGCTTTTAACAAGCTGGATAATGCTTTCACAGTTGATGAATAAATATTTAGTTACTTGAGGCTGTATAGAATATCATAATACATTAAAGTGCTGTTAGTTACATATATAGAGCTGTTTAAAATGTAATATAAATTTATAATTATTTAAAAATTTAAGATCAATATTTCTTTCATACAATATGTAATAAACAAAGCATACTTTTAAAGCTTATAAATGACCAGATTAAAAAATAATTTAAAAGCCTAAAATATATTGATATGTTTATATAACTTCATAACAGGTAACTTCATCATATGGTTAACTAGATTTTTAAACTACCAAAATATTAGAAACAAAAACTAAAGAACTAATGTTCTAAAAGTAAAGTTTAAAGTAACTGAAAATAGAATATATTAGCAGGTAAAGTTATATTATAGTAATGCATCTTTAAAAAGCATATATAGAATGTTCAACAGTTAACACCAATAATAGTATTGATGACCTACCATTGACTTGTCATAGTAGTGTTCCAGCTTGTCTTCTGACAGCTGAGTTGGATCTGACAGATGTTGTGAACAGTTGACAAACATGTTCTCTAGGCCTGTCAATGTCTATAAAAATACACACAATTTTTATTTAAACTATTTTTTAAGTGAACAGTTGACAAACATGTTCTCTAGGCCTGTCAATGTCTATAAAAATACACACAATTTTTATTTAAACTTTTTTTAAGTGAACAGTTGACAAACATGTTCTCTAGGCCTGTCAATGTCTATAAAAATACACACAATTTTTATTTAAACTTTTTTTAAGTGAACAGTTGACAAACATGTTCTCTAGGCCTGTCAATGTCTATAAAAATACACACAATTTTTATTTAAACTTTTTTTAAGTGAACAGTTGACAAACATATTCTCTAGGCCTGTCAATGTCTATAAAAATACACACAATTTTTATTTAAACTTTTTTTAAGGGAACAGTTGACAAACATGTTCTCTAGGCCTGTCAATGTCTATAAAAATACACACAATTTTTATTTAAACTTTTTTTAAGTGAACAGTTGACAAACATGTTCTCTAGGCCTGTCAATGTCTATAAAAATACACACAATTTTTATTTAAACTTTTTTTAAGTGAACAGTTGACAAACATGTTCTCTAGTCTTGTCAATGTCTCTAAAAATACACACAATTTTTTATACATAAGTTCTTTTAAAGAAAAAATTATCGCTTGTTTAAAATAATGCATATTTTTTATGCATTTTTTTTACTGTTTAAAAGCATGGCTTTTTAATAAATCTATTTGGATTGAGAACAATTTAAAAACTGTTACACTTAGATAAGATTACCTAAGATGTTCATATTGAATAAAACACAGAATGCTATCAATAACACCTTTGAAAACTATTTTAAAATCTGATTGTAAGCGTATATTTACCTCCAGATACAGTGGCAAGTCATACATTCTGGCAGCTAGAGTCCTGATTTCTCTGTCAGATAAAGTTCTGGAAAAAAAAATTGTATGAATTAATTTTTAATTACCACAAAGACAGCAACAATTAATAGAATTTTTGGTTAGAAAATCAGTTTGTTTGCATTTTTAAATAGTGTGCCTTACTCTGAGTGGTCAGTGTCCATTTGATTGAAAACATCTGTAGCAGTGACAGGTTCAGTGACCCCCATTAGGTAATAATAATAGGCAAATGCATACTGCATGTCTGTTGAGCTCCGGATCTTATGAGCCGAAGTGGCATCCCATTCTTTAGGAAACCTTTTAAAAGATAAAAATAGCAACCTAAAAATATATTAAACAGCAGAGACTTTAAGAAACATATTATTATTTTTGCAAACATATTTTAGGTTTTTGTTTGTCATTTTAAGCATGTATTTTTTATTTTAATAAAATTCAGCAAATGTATTAATAGAAGAGAGAATATTAAATTATACATATTTTTCTTTTATTACTGAAGCACAAAAGAAAGATGAACTGGTGAGTATTAGAATACTGAATTTCTAAAAATTGTTACAAAAATAGGCTTCTAAGTAATATTTTAAAAGTCTTTAAAAGACCTAACCTAGCTTGAAGCTCAAACATAATGTTCTTGTCAATCATGTGTGGCATATGGCCAGGTACTTTGCGGGGTTGAAATCCAAATTCTCTGTTGTAAATATGGTTGACATGTCGCAATGAATCTCCAAAAGTGTCTAAGAGTTGTCTACCCTGCCAGCCCTCTACTGTGTATTCATTTGCTTTTCTGCCAAGTTCTCTGGAGTCCTATGGGTTAGTTAATTGAAAATATGTAATGTACAAAAAGACATTTTTAAAAATAAGAATAAACAAAAACTAACACAGTTTAAAAATTATAATTAAAATAGATACTTGGTCAGCATGTATAAAAAACAATTCTGAGATGTTACTTGTAAAATTAAAATGTATCTGGTGTATCATACAGTAACATCTAATTTTTATGTTTAAAAAACATTACTGGTTTATTTTCAGTAAACTTAAATATTTTTTAAATAAATACCTCAGCCTGTGTTTTCCCATCTTTTCTCTCCCAGGGGAAACCATCCACATTTTCTCTGGCACTATCAATGTTTACTAGTCGGAGAAATTCTTCATCACTCATCTGAAAGTTACACAAATCTAATGAAAACCATTGAAAATAATAAAAACTTTGTAGAAGATTTGCCATTTTAAAAATTATAAGAGTAATATTGTTCTTATTTCTCTATTATAGCACCAATTCAAGAGAGTAAAACATTGCCAATACAATTTTTTTAACCTATTGTAATATATTAATCGATAAAAACTATGAAAATATTCCCCAATAACTAAAAATAAATAAGTTTTGAATTACATGGGATGGCCTATCATTATGCTGTTTTTAGTATCAAGGATTAAAAAAAGTCATAGCTATTTGCCTAATATAATATAAAAACTCCAAACCATCAAACTACCAGTAAGGTAAATAACTCACTTGTTCCCCTAGCTTGTCTTCCTCCATCTTTAATCTCTGTCTCTCCATCTGCTCTTCTAAACTGTTCCAATACATGATGGTTAAAAGTCTCCTTCTAGGCTCTGTTTTTGTCTGGTAACTATCAACATCCCCGCCCACAGTTCTGTTCTTGCCAATCAGATCCAAACGAGATCTGTTAAACCAGTTGCTTGCAAATTTGCTTTTGTCATAATACTCTCTAGGATTATAGTCCCCTAGCTTTGGGTTTTTTTTAACAGATCGGCTATTTACCCTCACAGATTGTTGTAAAATATCTGATTTATTGTGCAGGTTAATATTTTGAGGTTCATCAGTTTTGGCATTGAGTATTTGAATTTGATCTGGCAGCTTGTCTTTTTCTGAGCCAATGTGAAATAATGCAGGCTGACCATCAACACTTTGTGAACGTTTGTTTTCTTCATGCTGATAGCTCACAATGTTAAGCAAACTATCATTTTTCAATTTTAATCCAGGAGACTTAACATCAGTAGCATTTTGTTTTCGGTTTAACTCTTCTTCTTCTAGTTGCCTAAGTGTTGCTTTCATCCTCTGTTCTTGGAAAAGGTGCTTCAGGTTTTGAAGCTCATCACCAAAGTGCCATAATATTTCATAAAATTTGACTTTAAGTCCTATGTCTGTCAGCTCACCTGAAGAAATAGTGTAACTTATCAGAGATCTTATCAATAGTAGCCACCTTTTTTCTGTATAGCGATTCTTATTTTGCACATAACAAGAATATTACATATAATGTATTACATATGTTTCAACATAGAATATACAATGTATCTCAATTTAATACACAGATGAATATAGAGAAAAATATGTTACAGTAACATCAGAATCGATTGAAAATTCTGATCAACAACAACTTACAACATTTAACATTAAAACACACAACATCACACTTTTCACTACCTTCTTGTCTGGATCTGTCAAGGAGAGATAACTCTTGTTTCAACTCTGGTGACATCTGCACCTCCTTGTAGAAATCTAACACATCTTGATCAAGCCTCACTGAATTTAGTTGCTCAAGATCTAATGTAGCAGCAGCCTCAGCTGGTTTTGGTATTCTTTTGTAAAAAAAAAAATCATTAATTACATATTTTTGCTTAAAACAGTAATATATTAGTATATGAATGTTAATTTGTATGTCATACCCATCTTGAATTAACTCTTTTAAAAAATTCAAACATTCAAGTTAGCCAAAGTAAAATTTTCTTGCCTTGGTCCTTCTGGGTGCCCAGTGAATGCTTCAAGGTCAAGGGCATCATCCAATTTAACAGTTGGACCTGCTGTTTTATTTTCTGCAAGTACGGCTGCTGCTGTAGGTTTCTCCACTGAGGTGTCCACTTGGAGCGTAAAATTTAACTGAAAGCAAAAATTGACTGACAGCATTTTGTTTTTAGCTTATTTATTGTTTAAGTGACCATTGTGAGGTGACAAAGTTGACTTGTATTTGTAATTGATAGATTAATAGGTCTCTACCCTTCAATCCACTTAATAATTCCCTGAAATTAAAAAAAAAAGCCATAAAATAAAAAGCCAAACTTTATTTGCTTACCTTGCCAGTTTGGTTTTCACCAATTTTGTACTGCAGCTCAAACTCTAACTTTGTAGCATTTTGTCCCTTGTTGAGTATCAGGGTTAGAACTTTATATTTATTCCCTACAGCAACAGCTCTGACTGCAGCATTGGCCCCAAAACTTGCAGACGTCACTTTATCTTTATTGCTCAGAATTGTGCTCAGGTTAAAATATCCCATGATTTCTCCTAAATAATAAAGAAAAAAGTTTTGTTTTTATTGCAAAAAATATATATAAATAATGGCATTTTTCTAGTTATCACAAAAACACTTAAGACATTTGTGTTGATTTACTATCAGCAAATTATAGTTTATAATTTCTTTTGTAAAATTGTTTTTTGGGGTTGTTTTTTTTACAGATCCAAAGTTTATCACAAAAGATAGAATGATGTAATTAAAATAATGCTTATTCAATTTGTTTTTCCTTACTTCAAAACATAAAAGGAATAAGTTCTGTGATTGAGTTATGATTATGAAAATTTAACTTAGTAAAAAAGTAAAGATTCCACTTTAGACCTATAAATCCATTGGGCAGATAAAGTTCATGTTTCTTGACCTCAGCATACAAAGGGATGGTGTCATTACCACTATGCCCAGTCGGGTTTACTTTGCCCATCAGAGCTGGGTGAACTCGGGGATTAAGTGTATCCATTTTTTTTTACTCCCCCCCCCCCTGCTTTCCCATATTGCCCTAATTTCCTCACATAAAAAGAAATATTTTGAAGCAATTATAAATCTAGCTGTGTACCTGCAGGTAGGGAGTAATGTCTCTTCTCTGTGCTCAGGGTCAGGCCATACAGCTTGTCATAGTTACTGACACCACAGTCTCCTAGATCAAAGCCACACTGTAAATTGTTGCAGGCCTAGTGACGAATGTAGGGGGGGGGTGAAAGAATCATTAGCTTAGTTTGACAAAATAAAAGATTTTTTTTAAAAATTATAAGTAAAAATAAAAAGTAAGCTGTATTGTAACAAAATAACAATCAAATATAACCTAAAAGAAATATAAAATATAACATAAAATATATTAAAAGCATGTTTGAGATATTTAGCTAACTACTTTCTTTAATATATTTATATCATTAGTTATACCACAAGCAAAACACTCAAAATTAAATCAAACATAAATGAGAAAATCTAAACTAAATGATTTGAAAAGAAAGACCATAAAAATACAGTCATGATTACCTGGTCACAATATTTGTCAGCTAGCCAGTTGTTTGCACAGCCTGTGTTGCAGTATGCTGTTAAGGTATAATTAATGTATAAGTTATGTTAACTAAAGATTTGCTTGCTAAACTTATTATAGTATTTAAAAGCTTTAGATACAAAAGACACAAATAAAATGAATAAATTCAGGAAGAGTAACTATGTTTGCTACATTGTAAAATTAATGACAGGTTTAACCATTAATGTCCCGTAACGCCCGCTGCCGCCCGACACCGTTAATGTCCCGTAACGCCCGCTGCCGCCCTCTTAAAATACGCATAGAAAAATTAAATTTGTTTCATTAAAATTTGGCCTACAAATCCTAATTTTTAACTAAACAGGAAGTCGGATAGTTTCAGCATCCTTTTCCGGTCTTATAATTTCAATGGCGCTTTTGAAAGATAAAAAATAATAGCTTCTTTCGATCTCGAAATTTTAGACTCATCTGTCCTTTTTTTAGTAGATTTAATATTAAAAATAAAATAAAATAATGCCTCTAAACGTATCTAGGCATGTATTTTATGAATTATTTATCTTAAACATAACCAAATTGATATTTAACTGTTAAATTCGATGCTTAGTTGTTTAGACAAAAATAAATAAAGTTGACTACCGAAAATGACCTGTTTTGAATTTTCTCCGACATTTTTTATTTTTTTACTGTACTTTTACCGAATATAATATATTCTATTTAATACTGTTGGAAAGCCAGGTTTATTCCCAACATTAAGCAGTAGTTTTTATCTTAATTTTCAATTTCATTTAGACAAAAACAAATATTTTGTGAAACTATTCACTTGATCATACAGAGTTATGCTCCTTACATTGGGCCGTCATTGGTGGAGTTTTGGTAGAATGAATGGGACATTAATGGTTAATGAAGACTTACAAGTATAATCAGAGAACCGAGACCCTGAGTCATGAAACCCAGCTCCTAGCTGAACACGACCTTTGGCCCCTAACACAAAGAAAACAAAATACCAGAACAGTTGGGCAATAATAAGACTTAATCATAGGATAACAGTTAGATAATTTTAAATTAGATATAATCATAGAAAAATTACATATATGCTTTGCTGATTTTTTTTAAAATTAATGAATATTTTACTGAGTTCAACAAAGCAGTTAATTAACTAGTAAGCACAAATTTTAAGAACAAACACATTGAATTTTATTTTTACCTAAGCAATCTCCACCATCCCAGTCACATTCAGAGGAGTTGCAGGCCTTGTCGCAGTATCCATCCCTGATCCAGGTGGATGGGCAGCCATCATTACAATTTGGGACTGGCCATGTTAGGTAAAGCTGAAAATAAACAACTCCTAGTTAATAAACTATTCTTCTACAAAGTGAAAAACATATTACAAACCTTGGAATAATGAAGAAAAGTATTTTAACTTTTGTTGTGCACTCCAGTGTTGTTCTAATTTGTTCTAAGAATTTATTAAATCTCCATCCATTAAATATATTAGTCTAATTCTATTGAAATTTTACTAATACATTAACCACAAAAACTAAAAGGGTGAAGTTATCAATTTTATTTAAACTATTAGAAGCTTGTAATCCTAGAATAAGAAACTGATGAAACATTATTCACTGACTTTTTGGCCAGTGGCGTGGGTATAGAAATCATCTGGCCATACAGGGCTGCCAAACATGACATCATCATTCAGGTAGAGAAACTTGTCAGAGAGTCCTGGAATTCTGTGGATGTTTGCTTCAATACCAGGGGAACTGAAAGTTGGCAAATAGCTTGTGTTCTGGAAAATTTCCTGAAGATTTGAAAAAACTACTGGATATGAGAGTGTAATAAAAGGTGATTAAAAAAATGGTATAACTAATATAAGCATTTTCCAGCTTTGATATTTGGTGTGCATTAAATTATACTGGTGTACATACAAATAAATATTAAATAAATTACAAGAAGATATTCTAAAATACTGAAACTGAGATGGCAGGACAAAGTGCCCAACTTGGAACTATGGAGGAAAGCTAGGCAGGAGCCTATATGTGTGCAAATAAGAAGGAGGAAGTGGCGCTGGGTGGGTCACACACTGCGAAAGGCTCACACAAATGTTACACGCCAAGTGCTTGAGTGGAACCCCCAGGGAAAGCGGAAGAGAGGGCGCCCAAGACAGACCTGGAGGCGGAGTCTTCTTGAAGAACTGAAGCCAACAGGGATGTCTTGGGAGATGTCAAAATTAATAGCCGAGGATAGGAAGAAATGGAAGGAAATGGTTGAGGCCCTATGCTCCATAAGGAGCAAAGAGGACTAAGTCAAAGTCAAAGTCATTCTAAAATAAGTTTCTTCTTTTTTATATTTCCAACATATTTTCTCAAAATAAGAAATAAAACAGAATAAAAATAGTTGATAAAGATTATGCTTAGATTTACTGCAGTGAATGCTACATTATAAAAGTCCTGTAAAACTTACCTCATGTGTGATGACTGTCACTCTAGGGCTATCCAGATTTAACCAATATGGAATTTGACCATTGGTCACTATGTAAATGTGTCTGACCCAAGGAGCAAAGCGCTCTAATGATCTGAGAGAATATCTTAACTCCTGAAATAAAAAGATCATAAAGATCATTCAATTACGAAATTTCTTATTGGTTTATTTGCACCTTATTCTATTTATAACAAGTGTGGGAACATAACATACCTCATTATCCTCAAAACGATTGGATGCAACAACATCATCTTTAACCGCCTAAAATCATTTTGATAAAAATGTAAAAACATTTCTTAATTTATTCAAACTACTCAAATATTATGACCTTTTAATATTAAAAATTAAGGGTAAAATGAAATGAAAATAGAAGTCCAACTGACATTTTAGAATACAATAAAAATAAAAGTTATAATAACTGTGTGTATGAAAATAAAGTGACAAATTATGTCTACTTTGAATGGCATCTGACTCTAGAAAAGAAAAGTAAAACCATCTTGGTATAGTCATGATCCCAAAGACAAGATCAAAAGAAACGTGTGAACTCTACTTTATCTGTCAGATAGATGATTATATTTTATAGGGCAATGTACTTCCCTAACAATGTACTAGCTATTTCAACAATTAAAGTACTAGCTATTTCAACAATTAAAGTACTAGCTATTTCAACAATTAAATGACTTACAAATCTGAGATCCCAGACCAACTTGACTTGACTCAGCCTCTGGATTTTATGTTCAATTGTGAAATTTTTTGCCTGCAAATGCAATATGATGCAAGAAAATTTACAAGCTGAAATACAATAGTCATAGACATTGACTTCTTATACCTAAAATTTCTATTTTAATTTAAATTTCTAAAAAAGGTTATAAAACAGATAATCATATCAGATATTTTTCCAATAATTCAATTTTAAGTAATTCACAACACAATAAAGTTTTTTTTAAGACCATTGGATTCTGTGTGTAAAAACATTGCATGACTTTAATTTACAAAGCATAATAATATTTGCACATTTAAAATTTTTAAAAACTTGTAATCATATCTCTATGAATGATAAACTCATGCAAGAATCATTTTCTGCAACCAACCTTAGTAAGCAAGTCAAAGTTAGTTTTCAATGAGATGTGTAGCAGGGCAAGTCCTTTGTCTTTATGGAGTGTCACCTGTTACATTAGGAATAGATAATAAACACCAAAGGTTCCAACTAATAGCAGTAATGTCGAAGTTAATTTTTCTTTTAAAGCCTATGATGTCTAAAATGTTTTAAAAGGTCATAGGTTAACTAATTAAGAATTATGATTTGAAGACAAACCGGAATAGAAGTTTTATCCGTCATGTTAAGTCGGCTCGCAATGGTTTGTTGGATGTCCCCTTCACTATACTGGCTTGGGAAACCAGACATCATGATTGTTTCAGGCACCAGCAGACCATGGGGTAGATTCACATCACTTGTCTGAAAAATTTGAAAAAAAAAAAAATAATAATATTGAAATTTTTTATAAACCCTTTTTTTTCCATTTTTTCATTTACAAAGATATGTAAAAATAAAAATAAAAACTTACATAGAAAGCAGGTTTTACTGTGTGGTTGGTTCCCAAGTAGGTCCAGCCATGGGCTGTGTGCTTCAAGATATATTTTGCTAAAAATATGTAAAAACAACATTACACTATAGCATGCATTTCACTGTTAATTTCAGTGTCATTAGAATATAAAACAGTTCTGAATTGTTTAATTAATTATCCCCCTAGTTTGGTTTTATAATAATCAGTTTTATTTAAGTTATCTAACATGAGTCCTTTTTAATAGACATCTGTTCAAGATTATATTTTAATGATATTAATATCTTACCCAAGAAAATGTGCAGCTACCAATTTATAGAGTTATTGCAAAGCATGCATTTTTGTATTAATACACTAACATGTAGCCCAAAAGTCACATAACTGTTTTATTTAAGCAAAAAAAAAAAAACCCATTAGAATTTAACAAAATAATTGGCTAGATTTTAAAGAAAATTACCATGAGCTTCTTGCTCAAGTGTCAGTAATGTAAAATTAGCTGGCCAATCATTGCGCTCTTTTATCTCTTTCAGACCTGTTACATTTATAAACATCGCATCAACTGCAATGATGTCTGCAGCTGATACACTGCTGTGGAGAGGAGGGTACAGCAGAACTCCAACTGGAATACAATTTGTGAAAGTGCAGCGCTCTTCTCTAGAATAAAAAAAGTTCAAAAAAAAGTTTTTTTTTTAATTTTTATAGAGACATATTTTATATTAAAAACTAGAAAGAAGGTTTTGAACAAAAATATTTGGAATCATTGTTTAAAACTTAAAACTTTTAAGTTTAAAAGGCAAGTTTTTTTTTTTTTAAATTATGCCATGATTTTAGATTTCTTCTTACAGCATGTGATTAAAGCAATTAGATAATGATCTGCCTTGTTTTACACATTGAAAATAGAAATAAATTTTTATTCAAATTAATGTTTCAAACTTAATTCCCAGTGTAAATTTTCCAACTATAAAATATATTTTTATAATAATTTTAGAATCAGTATGGGGGTGGGAGTTGTCACAGAAACAGGTTAATCCTACTTTATCTGCCCAATGTGTCTTGGCACAGTCAGGCAAGGAAATATTTTTAAAATTTTTAATTAGGTCTCATGTTTACATTATGTTTTAATTGATATATGTGGCTTTTAGCTTGTTACCTGCAAACCTGCATGCATAATAAAGCTGTAAAAATTCTGCCTATAGTTATCACATTATGAAAATGTTAATATATTTTCCTACATGTATGTGCTTATAGCATACTTTAATTATTTTTTCTATAAAAGTATTGCAGCAATTAGACATTCATTGCAAATTTTTTAATGCAAACCATCACCATAAAAATGCACAATAACAAAACCTTAGCAACCGGCTTCACACCTTTTTAAGTATCATATTGTATGTAGAGTGATTTATAATTTCATCTACTGCATAATAACTGTGCTGATATATTACTACATTTATATAGGTGCTAAAGTTGAATATTATTCTACAAATATCAAAAACGTCAAGTCTATAGAATTATTTTTCTCAGCTTTTAATTAAGTAACTAAGAAACATTTTATATACTTTAATGTTCTTAGTTTGGCTTTATAAAGATGGTTTTTTTTGTGTGATTTCAAACAATTGTTCATGCAGAAAACTCAAATCATCATTATAAAACTAATGTCATTTTCAATTTAGAAAATAAATTGTAACTTAACAAACTGCATTCCAAAAGTAAAATCCAGTCCAGTAAACTTTGGTTTCTTACCTGTTTTCTACTTGTTTTCTAAAATTGTGATGGAATCACATTTAATAAACAAAAGCAAGACTTTGGTTAATACTTAACAGGTGCTTGAAATAGGAAAGTCAGTTAGTCACTGATGTAAATATACAATTAGTATACAATAAACATTATTATTTTTTTTAATCATCTCCTATCTGAAGAGTTAAATATTGTTGAAATTGATATGATACTATACTTTATATCATAAAGTCTATATTTTTATATAAATTTTGCTTTTTAAAAACTTTAATTTGTCAACATGTTTCCTAGCTTCAAGTCTAACATCTGTTAGCCTAAAGTGTGCTGACAAAAGTTTCAAATGTGCACATATTAAAATGTTACAACAGTAATTGCTTCAGTGAAAATAATGTATTTGTACCTACTTTTTTTGTTTAATATCTTCAACAATATATATTATAGTACATTCAATTTGTTATATGATAGTAATTGAATATGATTTTAACATATTGGAAACATGACATTTGTACGTAACATATTTTATTTGTTGTAGCTTGTTAATTTTTCAGCAACATTTAATCTGGAGTGGTGTGTCCATTAAAAAGCAAATAGTGATCTTCCATATTAGTTTTAACAATAGAAGAATAAGACTGTTAGGTCTTTTGCAGACTGCTTTTAGACAATATTTTTTGTTGACTTCATTTTTGTTGTACCCTCCCATTTTATTTCCAAATAATTAAAATTAAATGTATTAGAAATCTACTAAAATGAACACGAAGTATTTTAATTCAGTATAAGCAAAACACATCAATGTGTATACTTAGCAATATACATGACTACAGTTAACAACACTTGTAATGTTGTATATGAATTTAACTATAACACTAATTTATTTTAAAACATCGTTCTGAAACATGTACACAAAAAAATGCATTATCACTTCCTACTTTTAAACACTACATACAACAGCTTTGTACAATAGTCAAGGAATTACTTTAAACTTAGACATGTGTTAAACATCCTGTTGAGATTTGATAAGATACTTCAAGTGTGCCTCACACAAACCTTACCTGGTCATATTGTTCTTTTCTTCTAAGGACACTTTGACCAGCTCCAGTTCACGGGTCAGTGCTGGGTCACTGCCGTTGACCCATGTGTATACAACATCGATTGGCAATGGAACTGTTAACCTTTGACAAAAAAATAGGGAAACAAAAACTGTCAAATAAATAACTTTCAATGGGAAATGTGTTTTTGTAAGTATTTATATACTTATATATAAATATATTTTAAAAAAATTAAATTATAATTTTTTGACATCCTTCACAGCACAAATTTGAAAATTTCCAACCTTGCAGCACAAATTTAAAAAATGCCCTACCTATCTCTAAAAGATTTTCCAGCAATGTTGTCACTAAATGAATTGAAAACAGCTTCATATTTTTCTTGGCTCCATTCAAGCCAGGCCTGAAAATGAAAAATAATGATCAATTATATTAAGTTAGGACTAAGGTTATTTTGGAGGAATCCATAATTTGTCACTGGTATAGGGGTCTGAGTGGTCTGGCGGGTAAAGCTTATGGTTGCAAAACCAAATGTTCCAAGTTCAAACCCCATGGCAGAGAGGCTTGATAGTTGGGGACAGCAACTCATCTAGGAGAGAAAACTCCAAATCAAACAACCACTGCCTTTTAGTTTATTTAGCAGGCTGAAATCAGGCTGAAATGTAATTGTGTAGGAATACCACAAAATTTTTAACTTTTCATGCAGCATCAAAACAAACATTGACAAAACATTCCAACAAAAGAGCCTCTTCTATCTAACCCCAAACAAAATGGCTCCTCCTGTTGATAGAGCTATCAATTGGGCTCTTGTCAATATGCTTCTATTAAGTTTCCACAGCACATTTTACTATCTTTGCCATCAAAATTTCCACTATCTATAAAACTGAAATGAAAACTAAGCTCCTAAAACTTAAGTCCATTCATAAACTGAATTCTTGTTCATTATGTTCCAGACTTGCATTAGGCTAAAACCAGCATTGTGCTACAGCAGAATGGCAAACTCACTTTTCAGTAAACTCTCAACTTGTATAAATTTCCAAAGGAAATTAAGCTAATGAACTTTGAGCTCAGCTAATTCATTATAATTAAGCTATGCACCAGTAGCATGTGCAGACCACATCAGGTGACACCAAAATAAAAGATGGCTTATTTTAATGAGTATGTATGTTTTTCCCAGTTAATGTGATAAATTGTAAAATGTAGGCCCTATATACATTATGGGCACAGGGTAAATCATATGGGGTGGGGGAGTTACACCAAAATGCATAAATAAATTTTGTACATTATTGGAGAAGGAGGGTGATTTACAGAACTAGGTATCATCCAACTTCTACACTCATTGCTGAATACATCTTTTTAGCTCCTATTGTACCTAAAATTACTGTAGCACATTTGTCTCTCAGTATTCATTAAATTCCTGTCACAACTCTAGCTCATGCCTAAAACTATTGCAACACATAGATTTTATGAAGACTTAGCTCCTGCCATTCAGTTCTAGGTACATTTAATATTAAGCTCCTGAATAACATTTAGCTCCAGGAAAATACTGAGCTAACACAAACATGTTCATAAGTGTCCATTATTAATGAACATTTTGTTATTTTTATAATACCTTTTGTTACCAGCTATTTTGTAATGAGACTAATAGTCTGAAGCCATATTGTCAGTGACCCTTTTGTCAAGAGCCCATTTGTTTAGGGCAGAATTGTCAGTGAAATTTGATTGCAGCCAGTGATTGCAGAAGTTGTCATGAGCAATTTTGTCAGGGAAGTTTTGTCACTGTCTGCATAATAGACAGCAGAAGTTTATCAATCATCAGCATAATGAATATGAATTAATTTTGCGAGCAGTAAAAATTTTACATTTATCATAATGGACATCAATGAGTAAAAAAATCTTTCCATTATTATTGTTGACATGGATAAAAATCATGTTTTTTGTCAATTTTGCTTTCATGGTGGCCTTTACAGTGACAAAATAAAAAATACTAGATTCATTTGGCTTTTTTATAACTCTAAATACCGCTGGTTGGTTGAGGTGACACATGGGGGCTCATTCTGTCAGGGAATCAAAGGGTCAATTCTAAATAAAAAATATTATCCCCATATTTATTTTAATAGCATCGTACATCATTTTTTAAATATTAATAAATCTTGATATCCATGGTTCATGGATACTGAGTATCTAGTAAAATGCAGGGGCAGAACTATAGTGCCGCCAGACCCTGCAATGTGGGGGGCCCACGCCATTTAGGGGCCCACAGCCGACCATAATAAAAAAAAATTATAGGCCTAGTTAAAAAAATTTAAAAAATTAATTTTCTTGCATTTTAGACTTGATGGTTGTTTTGTAAAAATTCAAGATAAATTTACACAAGTTCATGCTAGATCTAGACTAGAAGGACTAGAGTTTAGATCTAACCTTAATTAAAGATAGATCTATAGGCCCTATTATAAATAATAAATAATATTACATTACCTCTCCAAAGTGAAGTGCTGATGTTGTTATTAAAACTGCTCCGGCAAGAAGTAGAAGAATTCCATACTTGTGCGAAAGAAGATCGTAAACCTTCTTTTGCAGCATTTTTTTTAAAGTTTCATCCATTTTATATATTTTGGATGCAACGAAACAATTATTAAACTCTGTGCAAACAGACCATTTTGTTTTTAAATATTATTTTATATTTACAAAATTCTTTCTTTACTTTGTGGAATGGGCGTCGCCATCTTGGAAAATAATAAAAACCAGAATTATGGGGCAGAAAACTCGTGGCGAATGTTTACAGCGGAAGCACACCTATCAACTTTCGATTTCTGAAAAAAAAATTATTACAAGTCATTTGCTCCTTTTTAAGTCATATAGTGCCATAGACGTGGCGACCAATTCGTTGCGAACTTTTTACAAACCACTGTCCTTTGACAATTTTTATTTTGGTGTCACACAGTTGATGTAGAAAACAGTTAAATCATTTGATATGAAAACAGTGTTTCTTCCAGACTTTTTTCTCCGGGGGGGGGGGGGGGGGGGGCGGTAGACTTTCTTCGGGGGGGGGGGGGGGCGGACACTGTTAAAAGTATATATTTTCTATATATAAATTTCATTTCGTTCAGGGGGGGGGGCGGTAAAAAAATTTCGGGGGGGGGGGGGCAAACCGAAGAGATGCCTGGAAGAAACTCTGTATGAAAAGTTAAGTATCCGTCCATGTTCACAACATCAACTGTATATAATCATAATATATTAAAAAATGCATTATTGTGTGCTCAGAGTGTGCTTTTTTTTTTAACCCAGTCACCGTCCTACTCGTCTTCTCCTCTTAGCAACGCCTCTGCTTATCAATTTGATTATATTCATTGTGTTAGTACCATCTAAACTACTGTATTATAACGTGTATCGATACCTTTGGCGCCGAGCAATGTGTGCGCTAAATACAAAACTATAGTTACTCAATAACTTTTGTGCGTGTGTGTGTGGAGGTGGGGGGTCGTCTATATCAGTGTTTCTTCCAGACTTTTTTCTCTGGGGGGGGGGCGCTTGAAATGTTCGGGGGAGGGGGAGGGCGGACTAAAATTTCCGGGGGGAGGGGGGGGCGGACACTGTTAAAAGTATAGCTATTTTTCTGAAAACAAACCGGTTTTTTTCAAGGTGGAAATTACATATTTCCAAAAATAAAAGGAAAATTGCTAGTTTTAAAATTTTCACTCATCAAAATTTTTTTGCTGAAAATGTTCCTAAAAAATAATAGAATTTCCTTTCTTTTTCTAATAGTAAGTGACCTCGTATTTTACATGGCACAAACTAAGGTAATATTGTCATTGTGATCTACCATCCCATCACAAATACAGACCCTCTCAAAGCAAAGGGATGTAACTTTTAAACATCGTACGCAGGTAAAAATATTACTTTGTTACTTCCCTTGGACCACTAACCATGAAGATCTCAAACGAATTTTTTCACATTTATATAAATTTTTGTTAAGTACATATAATCTAACACTTTTGTGTTTTATAATACTATTTAAAAAACAGTAATAACTTATTCAATAAATAATTGGCCTTGGAGTGGTGACAAAAAAAATTAACAATTGTTTAAGTTAGCACCTTTGTACTTTATTATCTTTAATACAAACACATTTTTAACTTCTAAATTCAAATATGATGTCATTTTAAAAATAAAAAATGCTTTATTACAGTTAATGTTTGTGAATACTATATACATGTAGTAAAATGATTTGGCTTACATTTATTTTCAAAATGACCTACTAAAAGTTTGAATGAAAACTTAAATTGAAAATGATTCAATTCACAACACAATAATGACAACAAAGCATGGAAAATGACAATATAAAATTCAAATTTGAATACACATCACACAAGAAATACACATAAGTCCAATTTCACATTCATCAGATCTAGAAACTATTACAAATTTTCTATAGAATAATTAAGAAATGTATTGAAAATGTAATAATTGAAATTATTTTGCATATGATGTTTTTAGAACAAATCTGAAACAGCTATGAGAAGATATATAGTATGGGTCATGGAACAGTACGAAAATAATATGTTGATATACAAACATATAGCTATTACAAACTTGATGTAATCTTATGATTTTTGTGGTGAATTGAATAGATTAATAAAATTTGTTTAAGAAGCAGACCTACTGATATTAGATTACTGAAACACTTTTATCTAGAAATTTTAAACTGATAACGATGGTGACATAATAAATATTTTTTTTTACATCCACTTCATTTCAGAAGTTTTTAAATGTGTTCCTATTCACAATATCAACTGATTTCAGCATTGGAAGTGTTAATCATCAGTCTTGTTTTTTTTTTCACATGTAGGTTTTATTTCTTAAATGCCATTCAACATTTTTTTTAAAAAGTCAGTTTCACTCATTTTTTAAAAAAAACCAGTCATTTTACCTAGTACAACACTCATATACTCTTTCTCTCTCTCTTTCTTCATCTTTAAAACATTATATGTCTAGAAAAAGACAATACTTGGTATAACTGTCTTTTTAAAAATGTCCAGTGATCAATAAAAAATAACTCATACTTATTTTCAAAACATGACTAGTAACTATTGTTTCAATCACCTGCCATTTTACATTCAACATTCTGGTCCTCTCATACACTCTATTCATTAAAGAAAATTATAAAAAGACATAGTATATCAAACACATTTGCATCTTCAAAACATTTTTACAATTTTTAAACAATTCAATTAAATGACTCAAAATAAATTTATTTTTACTATGTTACATTTCTTTTCAAGATAAATTAAAAGTATAACCTTCATCGTTCATTCACTATTTACAAATGCATTTAAACAAAAAGCTTCAGGTTTCTTCTGAGCCTACACTCGCAATATCTCCATGCAGTTGTTGTAGCAGATGCTGATCCAGTCAGGTTGTGTGGATGACCACTGGATCTGGTTGATTTCCCCACCTGCTGTGTAAGCAAGGATTGGATCCTCTATAGCTCGTGGCATCTGCTGGATGTCCCATATCAAAGCTTGGTGATCATCTCCTACAACAGGAAAATACATTCATTCTATTAACATGCAGCAAATTTTTTCATGAAAGTGAATTTGAAATATGAGTTTCTTTTTCTAAAAAATCAATCTAACCATTTATTTACTACTTGGCTTTTTTACAGCTATATACTAATTCAAAAAAGGAACAGCATGGTTAGGTGGCAGAGAAATCAACCGCTAACCAAAAAAGTCACAAGTTAGGATAACAGACTCAAGTGTCTGTAGGTGGTCCCTGAGTCCACTCAGCTCTGATGGGTACCTGACTCACCTTAGGCAAAGTACAAATGGCTGGGCATAGTTCTGACCACAACATCCCTTCATATACCATGGTCAATAACAGATGAAGTTAACTAACCAATGGATCATCAGGTCCAAAAGGGGAACTATCTTTACTTTTACTAATTTAACTTATACATTTCCTGTACATAATAAAAATAAGCGAAGTCTCTAACCGCTATAGGAATTAAATTGTGATAGCTCACCTGCAGTACAAATGTGACAACTGGAATGTGGTGCCCATCCTATGCCATTTACACAAGCTCTGTGGTTGGCTAATCTGGCAACAGGAGTGCATGGAACTCTAACATCAAGGATTATAACCTGAAAGAATCAATTGAAATAAGAACTAGAAACAACAAAGTTCACTTGAAACCTTGTTAGAAAAGCAGGAATCATCAATGATTGATACTACTTTAATCAAAAGAGTTGTGCTAAAATTAGAAGTTAGTGTTGGTAAAAAAAATATTTTGAATTATGAATGACTGCTTGACAAATCAGGAATTAGCTACTTCTAAATAAATGTTATATGGGCCTAATAAAATTCTAAATAAATAGCACTAATTGACAAATATTTAAAAAAGCTGAATTATTGGGCACATTTCAGACATTTAATGCAAGCCTACATTAACACTATTACAACAGCTAAGCTGCTGCTTTATTTCAGTAACAAATAGTATGACGCCAAACGTATACACACACCTCCAGTGCATCGAGTGCCATTGTTGCTAGGTAATTAGGATCTTGTTTGTTCCAGGCCAATCTTAAGAGTGGAACATGTTGTTGGTCCTCATAGATGATGGTTGAATGTTCTAAGTGACGCAAATCAAACATTCTCACGGAACCATCAGCACCTACAAAATATATACATATTTTATTAATATTTCATACTTTTCTTCTTAATATGAAGTGGTCCAAAGGGAAAAACAAATCAGATTTACATACCCACACTGGCAAACATATCTCTGCCACCACCAGCTCTGCTAAAAGCTATGTCGTAAACTTCTTTATCATGAGCAATCAGTTGTGTTTTGACATGTCCGGACACCATATTAGCCCGCCCAAGTACCTGTCCTGTCTAAAAAAAAAAGGATTAAATACATTTATTGTCAAATTTAGACTATTCACAGTAGCAGTAAAATCCATTAATTGTAACCAGAACATTTCGATTTTACTTATAATTTTCATAGTTTGTTTGATCCATTCTAAATCAGAGAAGATTCTGTTATTTTCAACATATATATATACACATATATATACACATATATATACACATATATATACACATATATATACACATATATATACACATATATATACACATATATATATATATATATATATACACATATATATATATATATATATATATATATATATATATATATATATATATATATATATATCCACTGATGGACTAATTCATTTATATTTTAATATAAGCTGAGAATATTTTAGGACAACAATGTGGCTAACCAAAGACATCCTAAATCAAATTGAGTTCCAAGTGTCTGTAGACAACCTACAATATTAACTACCATCTTTCATTTCCTAACTTCATTAATTCCCCATCCATTTACTTGCACAACAAGGGGGAAAATTACTCTAATAACTTATGTCAAGGATTCAAAGTTTTGTTCATGAGAATTCAAGTGATAAACTTTCATCTAAACTTCGTAGTGTAAATTTAACTAAAAAAAAAAAACATGAATATTTTATTAGTAACAAAATTTGTAATACCTCTAATCCCCAAATAGTACAAGTTGTGTCAATGCTGGATGTCCCAAGAAGATTGGGATCTACTTCATTCCAGTCAAATGATGTCAGAGGGGCACAAAAATCAGAATTTTTGTTCTGAAATTTAAAGTAACAAGTAGTCAAATACAGTAAAGAAACTTCATCTCAATGTTTATATTTACCAATTAGTTTCTCTAACTATTGCTCTACCATTCACATATAACTCTAAAATGGATATATGAACAGGCACACTCTGCAATAAATCATACATTGTTGAGCAAACACTCAAGTCTTGTCTCTGTATCACCGACCCTCCACACTCGCAGGTAGTCACCAGATGTTGCAAGTAAATCAGGAAAAACGCCTTTCTGTAAAATAGACAAAATGTTAGGCTATCAAAAACCAGCAAATGGTAATTACAGCCATCTAGGTACTGAGAAATTTACTATTGTGAAATGAAAATTATAAACATTTCAATATAACAGTAGTTGTAGAAGATAACCAATATTCTATTTACTCACAGAATCAGGTATCCACATTATCTTTGTTGTAGGATATGGATGATCAAATGTACTTTTTGCAGAGAAATCTGAAGTTTCTTCATCTAGGCTAACTATTTGAACCTGTAGATATATTAAACAAAATATTGTCTTTATTATGATGGAGAACATTATCTTGAAATGTTTTTTATAAATTATTTTTGCCTAACACTGAACTATAAAGGTGTGACGAAATACAATACAGCTAAGCATAATCAACAAAGGTTTACTTAAAGTATTAAAACCAAATGTCATCTAAAATTGCATTGACCAGCACAAAGGCTGACATCATAACTGACAATGAAAACAACCTAACATGATCATCAAATATGTATTTAAAGTTTGAAACAAACCAACATCTAAAATGATCACAATTTAATTGACCTTATTGTTGTACTCCTCAACAAAACTTCCCAGAGCAAGACGAAATCTCTTGTCAGGACGCACACTCCAGTTCATGCTGTAAACAGTCCAGGGCGCTTCATACTTATAGATTTCCTTGCGTTTGCCAGGTGGAACTGGTGGTGGCATAGCCATGATTTCTTTTTAGAGTAATAGTATTTCTGAAATTAAATTGTTTTAGTATAATTATAAAATAACTAATTTTCCTAATATTATAGATTGGTCATGCATTTCAGTTACTTTTATGTAAAAAAAAAATCCACTAATATTTCTGAAGCTTACCTGTGAAATAAAATTTTTGTCCTCATATAAACTGAACAATCGGTTTCATTTGAAGAGTGCAAATGTAAATTTATATTATTGATAAGCCTAAATTAATTTTTATAAATGTATAATAAACCAAAGGTTGAGAGAAAAAAAACTTTACACAACAATGAACTAAAAAAATGTATAAACAATCTAACAAAATATAAATTATACTGACTGACATTACTTTTTTACTTTCTCATAAGTATAGAGGGAGTATTGTAATCATACAAAAAAATTGAAATGTAGATTTTATCACATCACAAATCTTAACATTTTACACCTCACTGAAAAATTTAGTTTTTTTTAATTTTTTCTGTGTGTCTGTGAACATAACTTGAGTACTGTTTCAGTTATAATGACATTTCACATAGGCCTATAGGGCCTAAGTATTACATTGTATGCACAGGTTCCTGTCAACATTTGAACTATTTCCGATAAACAGTAAGACAAAATTTTATACATAAGTATTAAATTTTATATTTGGATTAATTTCAATTTTTGAGTGTTCTCCTATAACCAGCTATGGTACTATATTTCTGGTATCTAAAATACTGATAATTTATGGATCGTTTCAGTTAGATAGCCCAGATTTTATACATAAGTATAAGATCTCATTCTCTTGATTCTGTCAAATAATAGTGAAATATGAATTCAGTTCACGGATGATTATAGATACCGGTGTCTTATAATGGAATCTTCTTTAAAAAAGGGGTGTTGGGTTGGTTGTTAGTAGTATTGTATTCCCGACTAATTTTATGGTTAGAAATTAGAGTTAGGCATATGGTAGGCGGTAGGACCTGGGTTGGGGTTAGGCTAGGGACAGGGTTAGAATTGACATTAGCCAGCAATGTGTGTATTATTTAACTACCGGTAACCTAACACCCCTTTTTTAAAGAAGATTCCATTATCGGACACTGGTTTAAACATTCTCCCCATAATTTATTCATTATTAATGAAGTATAAATGAAGATACAAAGATAGTTCAAGATAGAGGCCAACTAAATGAACTATGACTTACTTAGAAATGTTTCTCCTTTAATAACTTAATATAGCTAGTCTCGTAACGCGAGTTGAATTACCTCCCCTGACCCGCTTTTTTATGGCCACTTTCTAGTTCGTTTTTTTCTATCGCGTCTCGGCACTGTTGCTAAAAATAGCATTCGCGCAATACCATACGGGTAAATCTGTTTGGCGTCTGCTACACGTGATAGATCGTTGAATGGCCGACAAGCTGATATAAAAATTATTGCGACCGGATGCGATTTTCGTGGAAATTGAGCTAGATTTAGCAAAAGACAGCTATATTTGTGTAAAATATTATTATTTATACTTCTACTTACACAGATATTTTGATAACTGCAGTTCAGCCGTCCATTTTTCTTTTAAAATGTATCTTTAGAATTTCTGTACCTTTTGGCAATCGGTCAGGAGCATTTGCGCACTAAACCCACCCCCCTACGGCAAATCCGATTTTTTTCCCCAGTGAACTCGTACTGACCTCCCACATAGCTAAGATAGTACATTGATACTGATGGGAAAGCCTCTAAATCTATATTCCTACTAGAGATCTAGAAATAAATCTAGATCGTGGAGTTTTTATAATGACTTTTAAATTGAATGTCTCCAGTTTAAGATATTTTTTTTTCAAAACATAGCTATTTTTTAGTACTATATTTAAGTATTTCAAACCCTTTTGGTAGTTTTTTCTTAACCTTAGGCCTAGATCTAGTGATTAGATATATATTTTGTACTTATAACTTGCAGGCCTATTAAAATAATAATAAAACAGCTTGCTTGATAACTTCATCAGGTCATTTCATAAATACAAATGTTATAAACATATAAAAATCACAAAACCATAGGTAATATCTGAATTCTGTAGCCTACCTTACATTTAGGCTAATACTGAATTAAAAAGAAATTACATTAAGGTTTGAAATTAATACAACTTGTAATTAAGAAAGAAAGCTTCAATTCTAAATACTACAAGATATAATAACAAACAATGAAACAAATTCAAAGCTTTTTTCAACCCATTGAGTCGAAAAGATTTTTATTTTTTCCGATATTGACCAAAATAAGTTTTTAAAGCTTAGGCCTAATGTTTTTACAAACATAACTCAATTTTATTAGGCCCCTGTAAACATTAATTAAGATTCCTCTGTAGACAAAGCAATCTATTTGGCAGATGAAGTAGAGTTCATGTTTCTTGACCTCGGCATATGAAGTGATTGTCCGTGTGGTCAGCGATATTCACAGCCGCCTTTACTTTTTACCTTTAATTTCCCCAATGTATATCAGGTACCCATCAGAAATGGGTGGACTCTAATTGAATTTTATTAAAAAAACATTTTGATATAGGCCTAGATCTATAATCTATGACATTCCAAACAACATCTGTTCTGTAGAATTTACTATTTACCTTTCTGCTTCCAAATGCGGTATTTTCCAATTGAAAATTCATCACAAAACATACAATAAATTATATAAATGGCATTTTATAAATTTATATAAACTATTTACTTTCACCTTGGTGTAAAAAAATGTAGGTATAAGCAAACTGATTTCAATAGTAAGAAAGAACCATGTCTTTTCTTGCTTACTAGCTTTAAAACAAGTGAATTTGACTTTTTACCTGCGTTTTTGGTCGCGTTTCTATATGGCAGGAAACAGATTAGTACCGGAAAATGCATATTCGATCTTCGCCGTTCATAAACTTTCTAACCAGACATCGTTCGGGGATTTTGTTTATACTGATAAATAGAGCTATGTTTTTACAAGCTTCGTTAGCAACATTTTTGTGGAATACGTTTTTTATGACATTTTGTGCCGCGGCGAAGGATGCGAAGTATGCAAATCTGGACGGAATGGATCTACTTGGAAAAGTACGTGTACTGCACTAATAAGGTAAGAAATACTATTTTGTAAAAATAACTATTATTTTTTTATGGATTTTTCATTAGAAATGATTGCTGTAAATTATGAAAGTAAAAAAAAGTATATTTGAATGTGTTTTTTACTTTAATTTGAACAAAGTGAATGGCCATAATTACGACACATCGGCGTCGTTGAAAGCGGGGATTTCAGTTAATTTTTTACGGATATAAAATTGTATTTTTTTCCTCCGAGGCATGTACTTAAATAACAGTTTAGTTAAATGTATTTAATTCTGTAAAATATAAGTATTATTTTGCCGTAGATACTTTAAAAAAAAAATTTTATGATTTTCTGTCGGGGAAAATCGATATTCGCACCATGCACGCACGCGTAGTAAAACTATACTTATCTTTAAAACACGAGAATCTTGAGTACACTGCGAATAACAAAGTTTTTAAATTTTAGTTTACTTTTGACTTTAAGCCATTTGTTTTAAATCGAAATTAATTGATAATGTAATTATTTCAAAGTAAAAATTTTCCGTCTGATTGGGTTCTAATCTTCGCCCACTGAACCAGCCTACGCACGACATTCGCGCGAGTCTGTTTCTTCGCAATAGTCTGTATAGTGTCGAGGGCTAATTCTAAAAAGAATTGAGTCCTTACTAATCCAATGTTTATTAAAATTAGGTACAATTGTTGGAACGCATGAGAAATAACAAATTAATATTTCTTTAAATCTATAGCCAAAAGAAAGTAGAACTTTATAACTCTGTAAATTATGAATCGAGTGACGGCTGTCGTGAAAACGGGAGCCATTTTACTCTTTTTTTTTAGGGTGACCTACTTTTATTATATAATTTTAAAATTCATCGATTTGATAAGCAGCTGAGTAGCTGACTACGCATGCGATATGGTTGGCACGTTTTGGGATAGGGATCGAGTACACCATAGAATTTTTTTTTTCTTAGAACTAAGCGTATTTTTTTTTAAATCAAAAGATACTTACATATCAGTTGTTGATTTCAATTTCATTATAGATCTAATCACTAACTTCAGTTTTTAAAAGTGATTTTGCATCTAGATCTAGCGTATTTTCAAAATTACGTAAATCTAGATCTATTTTTTAGATCTAGATCTACTTACTATTTGACAACCGTGTCAGTAAAATGAGGTCAGCGCTTCCAGATTCTTGGGTTTTAATTATGTTTGTCATTTTGATCTATTATAAGTAGCATTAAAACAACTGCATCTATTATCAACATTGTTTTTATATGCTAGTTCTAATTATACATTCTGTTCATTACCAATTCTAATGAAATCGTATCAGGCACTATCAGGCCCTAACACCCTGTTCACCTACACTCCTACACTGACACTACACTTGAAAGACGCCACAGAGAGTCGTAACTTTAAATTAATGTTTAAAGTACTAAACAATTATAATTAGCCATGTAAATGCTGCAACTATATTAAAAATTGGCATATAGACATATTTTATTAATTATGTTTTTTATATAGACCTTCTATATTTAACTCTGTTATTTTTTTCTTCCCCAGAGTGTTTCTAAAAGCCAGAATTTTAAAGGGGAGGGCGGTCGTTTTTTTTTCTCAAGAATAATTATAGAAATAAGCTATAAACTGGTATATTTTGTAAAGTTTGACACATTTACAAATAAATGTATGCCTAAGTGACATTTCTGTGTAATTATATTGTTAATTTTGTGAATTTCGTGGATTTTTAGACCTCACTACATTTAGATGTAAAAAAAAATCTCAGTTGAGTGAGTGTGGTTAATCTACATTTTGAACGTGATGTAAATGTCTAGTGCTATTAATTTTTATATTTTTGAATTCCTCGATTGTTAAGCAACAAAATTGATATATAATATGTCAATAATTGTTACTTTGAAAATTGGCGAAAATCGACCCTAAAAGTAGATGCTTGAGGGTTGAATCTGTTTCCTGCCATATATTTTATTTGCGACACTAAAAAAATTATATTTAATCAACCGATTATGCTAAATTAATAAAATTGGTACTGTTGGATTGCATTTTTAAAGCTCTACAATTATATGCTATTCTTTTTATAATTTGAAGAAAATTGAATTTATATGAGACTAACTACTTAATAGTTAATAAGTAAAAGATCAAGATTCTATGCTAAATTGACTTATTTAGTATTTTATATTTTGCTAGTGATAATTGATACCTTGTTACTTTTTTCATAAATAATTTGTATATTTTCTGAGTGAGGCTGATGTGCTGCTGATTTGTTCTTTCATTTTGTATTTGTTTGTATCATCACAGCACAGTCACACCACCACTTCCATCAGTAAAAAAATGAATGGCAAACGAAAGCATATTTTAATTTAAGGATCAAGCAAAGTATAGATGTAAATTAAATTAGATTATAAGTGCATTACTTCGTATGATCTATCACCAGTCACGTATCCTTCAGTTAGTAAATACCACATACACACAAAAGCTCAGTCTAATTTTAGTACGCCATTGTTATTTACTGTGGCAGCAAATAGTGTCGTTTCCTGTTTTAGGATTTATTTACGACATCTGTTTATAGAAAATACATTACTTGTAACAGTGTCCACTGTCCGCCCCTTTCCCCCCCCCCCCCCCCCCCCCCCGAAAATTTCAAGTGCTCCCCCGGAGAAAAAAGTCTGGAAGAAACACTGAGAGGGGTTATCTCGTGAGCCCCCAATTACCCTACCACAGGGGAGCCGCGTACGACCAATTAGGTCGGTTTAATAATCGAATGTGTGCCGCCTATAGTAAAATTTTTAGGTGCTCCTTGAAACTAATCGCACCCTGCCAGTGTGCCGGCTGACGCGCCAATCTATCGCACTGTTTAAAACTAACCCAGGCGCTATAGCGCTCACAGGATAGCCCGGGCACCATATTGCACCCTGCTGGGGCACCGGCGAACGCAGCTGATGCAATTTAGTAAGCGACTACAACGCTCATCTTATTCATTGACTATAGCACTGTTTAGAACGAACATTTGAATTTTTTTTTTTTTTTGCAGAAACCTTCCCAGTAGTATTTTCAACAACTCAGAGGCGTAGCGACCCTTCCCGGCGCCCGGGGACAAACTTTTCGATTTGCACCCCCCCCCCCCCCCCCCTCAAACTTTCGATTTGCATCCCCCTCAACCTTTTAATTTATTTTTTCCAACCCATTTTGGCACCCCCTAAGGTCGGCGCCCGGGGACATATGATGTCCCCCCCCCCCCTCGCTACGCTACTGCAACAACTTCCCAAAGTTTCATGTCGACCGGATGAAAGGTGTATTAACGCATAAAAGACAAACAGATACACAGACATTGCTTTTTCTTTATATAGATAGATAACGTTCCCCAAAAAATTGGGACCCGGACAAAAGGCCGACAAGAAATAAGGCCGACAAGTTTTATAAAACAAACTACAATTACGGAAATGTTTTATATTTATTAAAAAAACAGTTACTGACGTGGATTGTAATGACTGACGAGAAGCCGCGTTGGTTGTTAACAGTCTTTATTATGTACAGACGCCATGTTGCAAAGAGAGAGAGAGAAATGGCGAGAGAGAACTATTTATAGATAACAACATGTAAGGGACATCACTCAAGATAACAATATAAATATAATACTAATACAGAGAGTGAGTTCCCTTGACCTCACAATTATTTCAATCTATTACATCCCTTTACCCTTAGAACACAATAACACATCTCTCAATAGAACAATTGATAGTATCCTAAAATCACCAATTATATTGTAACATGAACACTATGGTAGATTACATCCTTGCAAACAATGCACAATATGCTACAACATAATCAAAATACAAAACAATGATGTCAAAGTCCTTTTGACCTTTAAAATCATAGGTCTAACTTATTTGGGACTTTGATTGTCCTGCTTGACCTTCTCAGTGGCTTCTGATTTGGTGACTCAAGATTCTGACCATCTGGATTCTCTATCTCAGGAGGTCTAGGATTTAAATCATTAACTCCAGAATTTACATTTTCTGACTCCAGACAACTTGGTTCACTCATATCAACAGAACTTGGTTGTGGAACAACTGAGTTGGTGTGAACTGATCAGACTTGGTGGGATTGACAGATTCACACTTATTATCTCCACAAGTTATTTTTAACTGGTCTGCATGTCTACGGACAATAAGTCCATCATTTGTTTTTACTTTATAAGACACAGGTCCTGTACATTGAACAACTTGACCTGGTATCCATTTTTCCCTTCTCCCATAGTTTCTTAGATACACATTCTCATTAACACCAAATTCTCTTTCAATGAATGTTTGTCATGATCTAATGGAACTATGTTTGAATTGGCATCTGAAAGTATTATGCTGTTATTCAGATCCTTGACTGACATAGATTTCTTTGATTGATCAATTTTCTCAGGTAATCTGATAGTGCTTTCCTGGTAACCAAAAATACTGTTAAAAAGTAATATCCTGGACAATATCACTTTGCAACTGTGATCCAGTATTTGAAGTGGGTGTATTAAATGGCAAAAATCCTTTTTCTTTTCTTTTGATGTTACCCTTTTAGTTTCTGTAAGTGCTAATGATGTTAGCAAAGTTGTTTGATGATCACATTCCTTCTTACTAATGTATTCTCTTTAAAACATTTGAAATTGCCATATCACCATAATCATATATTAAGTTACAAATACTTTGTTTAGGCAACTCTGACTGATAATGGACTGCATCTTCTCCATCTTTTATATTATCTTCACAAAGGGTTTTAATTTCTTATTTTATATGGCCTTAAGTCATCATTCACAGACTCTTCAGGCCAATCATTCTTACAGTACTCATATACTTTTATTAAGCACTCATCTTTTTGTGTTTCTCTTTTAATATCATTCACATTTATATTGGAGTTATCCATGATAGTGAAGAGAACAAATACATCTTCTGGTACATAGCTCAGGCTTTGGTTTTTTAAAGGTAATCTACTAAGGCTATCTGCACTATTATCAGATCCAGGTTTGTATTTCAATTCATAATTGTATGCAGTTAGTGTGATAGCCCATCTTTGAATTCTTGGTGAGGCATGCTCAGGTAGGGTTTTGTTTTCTCCAAATAAACCTAGCAATGGTTTATGATCTGTAAAGATGGTGAACTTCCTACCAAACAGAAACTTATGAAATTTCTTAACACCAAAAATGATGCCTAAGCCTTCCCTATCTAACTGAGAATAATTTTTCTCAGCCTGGTTCAAAGATCTACTGGCAAAAGCAATGGGTCTGTCACCCTTCTCATCCATGTGGGACAAGACTGCTCCTACACCATCTGGTGAAGCATCACATGTCAATACAAGTCTTTTCCCTGGGTCATAGTGAGTTAGTAAGGTGTCAGCAGACAAAGCCTCTTTTGCTGTATTAAAAGCAGCTTCTTGTTGTTTACCCCAGTGCCAAGTTGCATTTTTCTGTAGCAGCTTGTACAGTGGTGATAGTTTACCAGACAGATTTCCTATGAACTTTGCATAGTAATTTATCAAGCCCAAAAAAGCTCTTAGTTGTTGGGTATTTTCAGGTTTGGGTGCTTCTTTAATGGCTTTTGTTTTCTCAGGTTGAGGTCTGATGCCTTGCTTGCTTAATATATAACCAAGAAAACTAATTTCTGTCAGCATGAATTGACATTTATCTTTGTTTATCTTTAAACCTTTTTCACCAACAATTTTTAATACTTTATCAAGTGTTTTAAGATGTTCAGTGTCATTCTTACCAGTTATGTACACATTGTCAAAGTAAACACAAACATTTGGAATGTCCTTAAAAATACTGTCCATGACAGCTTGGAAAATTCCAGGGCTAGATGATATGCCAAAACATAGTCTTTCATATTGGTAGAGTCCTTTATGTGTGTTTATTGTCGTATAGACTTTTGAATCTGGATGCAGTTCTAGTTGAGTGTAAGCATGACTAAAGTCTAATTCAGTGAATTTGTCTCCTCCTGCCAAATTCAAAGAAATTTCCTCAATGTTAGGAATAGGGTACCTATTTAGCTCTATTTGCTTATTCAGTGTGGCTTTGTAATCTCCACAAATTCTTATAGAACCATCCTTCTTTAACACTGGCACAATGGGTGTCGCCCAATCGGAATAGTCTACCTTCTTTATAATGCCATTAGATTCCAATCTACTTAGCTCATTTTCAATTTTGTTCCTTATTGCATAAGGTGGAACTCTAGCTTTGCAGTATCTTGGATTTGTGTCTTTAATGCTTAACTTCACTGTTCTATCATTTAGTAATCCATGATTACCAAAAACACTTTTATTTTCAGATATAACTTTATCTAGTGAAGTAAGACTAGATTCTTTTACATTCTTCAATGAACAAATACTCTCCCAATTTAACTTAAGATTACTTAACCAGTTCCTACCTAGTAATGGCGGTCCATTTCCTTCAACCACAAGAAGAGGAAGTTTAACACTTTGACCATTATAATTTACATGAACCATACACTCTCCTATTACCGGAACATTGTCACCAGTGTATGTTGTTAGACACTTGTGACATGGCTGTAGAGGCACTGATCCTCCTATGACAGCGTCAAAATCTTTCTTTGTTATGACTGTTAGAGATGCTCCAGTGTCAAGTTGGAAGCTTATGCTCTTACCGTTGATGTTAACTTGTACATTGATGGGAGCATGACTTATTGATTTAACAGAGAACAGGTTGAAATCCGGCTGCGAATCAATTTGAGCATTTTTACAGGTAGAGTGGTTCATTGGTTGGGTTAGGTAGTCTTGGTGAGAGTTAACATAGTGCTGCTTTTGGTTGCGGTACTGTCTTGACTGGCTAGATTTAGCAACAGACGAAGACTTTGCAAAGCAGGCCTTAGCAATGTGACCTTGCTTACTGCACTTATAACAAGTTGCTAACTTGAACTTGCACCGATGAGATGCATGGGGACCTTTGCATCGATGACATATTTGATAATTATTACTAGATTTAGATCTAGGATTTGAACGAGCAGGGTGTTTAGCATAAGTTGGAATGCTCTGTTGGGGTTGATGTTTATTGACTAACCTGCTGTTTACTGCATGGATCTCTGAAGGTGCTAAAGATCTCGCCGCATCTGATGACTGCTGGAATGACATTGCAAGTTGTATTGCTTTTTCCAATTTTAGATCTGACTCGAGCAGCAACTTTCTTTGAATATCAGGGCTGTTTACACCTGTCACAAACTTTTCACATAGTCTGTCAGACAGCGTGTCTCCGAATTCACAAAATTCACTTAAATGACGTAAAGCAGCAACATATTCTGATATTGACTCGTTTGGTTGACGAGTCCTACTGTCAAATCTAGCTCGACATAAAAACTTTGATGGGGTAGGCGCATGGTGGTCTGTTAGCAATTTGCTCAGCTCGTTAAAGCTCTTGGTAGTTAGACTGGCTGGTGCGCATAAGTCTTTTAGTAGCCTAAATTGTTGAGGCCCTATGACTGTTAACAAAATAGCTCTCTTTTTGGCTTCTATCGTCACGTTGTTTGCTTCTAGGTAAAAGCTTAACCTCTCTAGGTAATCTTGAATGATTTCATCATTCGCATCAAATTCTTTTATTTGGCCATACAGCGCCATAATTCTAGAAATAATTAGCTAATAAGCTCTAGCAAACCTCTTTTTTGCGTAAGTAGGTGCTCTTTCTAGTGGATGTTTATCCTTCGTCGCCAAATGAGGTGGATTGTAATGACTGACGAGAAGCCGCGTTGGTTGTTAACAGTCTTTATTATGTACAGACGCCATGTTGCAAAGAGAGAGAGAGAAATGGCGAGAGAGAACTATTTATAGATAACAACATGTAAGGGACATCACTCAAGATAACAATATAAATATAATACTAATACAGAGAGTGAGTTCCCTTGACCTCACAATTATTTCAATCTATTACAGTTACATAATCATAAAGTTAAAGTACATTATAGAAAAAAATAAAATAGTTCCTAGTATGATAAACTGTATACTATGCCACGTAAAAATTTAAGTGTACCTCTTTTTTTTTTCACGTTCAGCGATTACATTTGCTATCCTATCATCTTTCTGTAATATTGCTTTAGTTTATTTTTAGAGGTTCACCAAGCAATACATTGCCTCCGTCTCAAATTACACTCTTCTTTGTTCCTGGTTCGTTTTATTTTTTTTGAGCAAACAAAAGACTCCAATGTGATCTTACGACAATTACCTGCCACCACTCAAGCTTGTGTTTGGTCCTACCTGTTTATCCTTTGAATACTCTCGTCATCTCCAGTGGCATGAACCCGAGTGTTACCTTATTTATAAGGAAAGCAACTAGCATTGTCTCTTGAACGTTTGCGCCTTGAAGCCGGCGGCTTTTGACTTCGATCTTTGTAACACCTCATTGACATAAGAGAAGCTATGCCATATAGAGGTGTCTCATATTTCTCAATTTTTAGGTACGATCAGGGTTACTTCCAGACAATGTTCTTAGAAGGGAGGGGTGAAAAGTAGTAAGAAAGTAATTATTTTCCATTACATTTTTTTTTTTAAATTTCTCCTACGTAGAGATCCCTAAAACACTGTATACGATTTCGTATTTTTTTGGGTGAATTAAAGTCGGTTCGGTATTGGGGGGGGGGGGGGGCTGTCTAGACAGCTGTAGGTAGACAGCTTTTTTACTTTGAGTGTGAGCTTCAGGGATAGGCGTGATCGCATCGGTAAAGCTCATGGTTGCTAAACCGTTAAGTCTAGAGTTCGAACACTCGGGCAGATGAGGCTCGATATCTGGGGACAGCATCTCTTCCAGGAGAGAACGCCAAAATCAAACAAAGTTTGTTCTTGATCTTGGTTGGACAAACCCAAAAAGAAAAGCAGGCTGAGATCTGAGTCAATGGCCTATAATGGCGCATAACCAGTTCTCATACACAATTGTGTTAGAGGGAATCCCACCACGAAAATTCAGAACGAATAAAAATGTAATCTTTGCTAAATTATTTTTATGACTAATGAGTAAACATTTTGAACTAGGTAGTCCAAACTGAAATTAACTATTGATTGCAGACTTCTGGAGTGAGTATGTCATGAAAGAACTTTTAATTGTAAGCTCTATGCCACAAATGTTATAAAAATATCTTAATAAATAAAAAAGTTATGCGATTTTTAAAAAAGCAAAATTTGGTAAAAACTGATTTTTAAAAAGTGCCATTTTTGAGAACCCATATTGTCTAAACTAAATAACATAGAAGTGTAGAAATTGGTAAAGTTACTGCAAAGTTTGTAATATATATGCCCAATTTTTTTCAGTTATTTAAAATGAGTCTTTCTAAGGTAAAAAAATAATTGAAAATGACAAAAATGCGTTTTGGTCACTTTTATTTTCATATTTTTTTTTTTTTGTTGCTTTGGACATAGAATAACTCTAAAACTATTTTGTTGGTAACATTAACAGGAATAATGTGTTCATTATTTTCAAAAATCACATGAGTTAAAATATTATTTTTAAAAAATGCCAGTTATCTAGAGCAGGAGAAACAGAATCAAAATTTAGTGGAGTAATGTAATGTAATCTAATAAAGACGTGATGCCTACAAGTAATGCAGCAGTTGCTGCTACATTCAAACCTATTGGGTTGATAACTGCTTTGGGGGAACAGTTTTTAAAACGACAACTCCACATCTTTGTATGTCTTGTTTCCCCCAACCTTGATCTTGTGGAGCATCAAGAGTAAGTGATATGTTTTGGGAACTGTAGTTGGGGGGGGGGGGGGGGGGGGCTTGGCCTTCTTCCCTTCCCTTGTAAGGAAAGTTCTGGATAGGCCACCATAAATGTCTCCAGCTATGGAATAAATAATTGATTTAGTGATTAATAAAATATAATTAGATTTACTACTAGCCTATTGTGTAGGCCTACTATTTATCCTGTGACTGTAGCTGGAAACATGAAAAAGCCTGAAAACACCTTTTTGTTTAAAGAAATTTATACTTGATAGTGATAGTATATTTTGAACATTAATTCTATTGAATGAAATATTCGTTGTTTGTGCCACAATGGTTGAGATATCCAATGATGAAGATGCCATACTGTGGTTCTCAACATCATATAGGACAACTTAACTGTCCTTCAGTGTTACTATATACATATAAAATAAATAAATAATGAGAAATACTACTAGTACTACTTACACTTACAACTAATATAACATTTAAAACTAAGTCACAACATGTACAATCTTATTAAATTGCACCACCATCTAAAAATTGATCTGGTACATTTTATCAAGGAGACTGGCGCAGACCATTTCACATTATTCAGCAGGGGAATCAGAATCAAAGTGCACAACAGAAAATTAAAAATTAATCACATTAGTCCTTAAAATTTAGTGTCTTTTGTTTTAAATAAATTGATAAAAATGTATAGTTATTACAATTATAAGTTTCTTTTGTGTTTCAATAATATTTTATAAGTATTTAACCTTCGTTCCCTGTAAATAATTGAGTTCGTCCACATAGTAACCAAGAATGTCTGGTGGCCATTTTGAATTTGTCGATTCATAATTTTGACGCGATAGTCCAGATAAACTGTAGTAATACGACCCTATCATTAATCCCATTCGATAGATTTTAAAGAATTAGTAAACACTAGCATCTAATAGTTAAGTGCATCCATATTTTAAGTCCCTAGAATGTCCTCAATTAAATAGCTTCACGTTTAAACACACCATGTGTACAAGCGTAGTTCACGCGCTAAAACCATGGACTAGTAGGGTTCAAATTTACATTAATAACGTGTGCTAATTAAACCAAACTGACATTCAAACTTAAAATTCATTTATTAAAATGGAAATGGAACTTTAAAAATGATACTTACAACTTGTTTGAAGGCTCTAGCAGGGGTAAAATCCGTTTAGCATCATCGGTCGTCAACCTTTAAAACCGTTCGGCGAGCAACTGACTCGGGGCTGAAAGTTGACTCGAGGGTTATATGCTTATTGAGAGTACGGCTTCGCGACCGTAAATCAGAAAGACTTGAATTTACAACACAAAGTAGTTATAAAAGTGAACTTTACATAGGTGTAAAGATTGAAACAGAATTAGTTTGTTTTCGTGTATATATCGTCATTTAAAGTTTAAAAACTGATTTTTTAAAATGAAATAAGCAAGTTATTTTTTTCAATTTATACATCAAACGATAGACTAGCATTCGCTCTTTAAAATGACATTAAGATTATGCTTCTACGATGCTTCGTCGCGAAGCCGCAACCAAATGAAACAGTGTGGGGTCGATCGGTACACGCAAAACGGTGAAATTTGTTGACGTAACTGATACTTTTCAAACAAATATAAAACACATTCAAACATGTGTTACAGATATAAAAATACCAGATTACGACAGATAAAGGCTTAAACTTAATTGACATATAATTTTTATTCTTATAGGACAACTAGAAGTAGTGAAATTTTATTTTTGAAAACCGCAAAAACTGACCCTAAAACGCACTTTTTCGCCAGTTTGGACTACCTATTTGAACCCTCAAGTTTCTACTTTCCAGCATATAAATTTAAATGGACTTACGGGTCGTCCATAAATGACGTCAAACTCGTAGGGGGGGGGGGGGGTCCGTAATTTTGTGACGGTAGAAAACTTTTGTAGAAAATTTGTAATAAATTGTAATAGAAATTGATAAAAAAAATTCACCATGTTGACAGAGTTCAGACAATATTTTGAAAAAATGTGTTTTAAGAAAAATTCAACTGCAATTTTTAGGGGGGATGGGAAGTCTGGCTTTTTGTGACGATGTGTCGGAGGTGAGGTAAAAGTCGTCACAAAAAAAGCGTGACGTCATTTATGAATGACCCCTTTATAGCGCAAAATCCACCAGTTGAGCGAACCACAGAATCAATGCAACTCATTAAATCACTCAATTTGAACTACCTTCTGTTTAATTTTCTGTGCATAATTGGGATAGGAATGTTGTCTAAGTGTAGAATATTGATGTAAAAAGTTCCCTTTTCAAACCTTACGGTCTATAGGGCTAGTTAAGTAGAGTTCACTTGTTTCTGTGACCTCGGCATATGAAGAGATAGTGTGGTCAGTACTATGCCCAACCGCCTTTACTTTCCCTAACGTGAGTTAGGTGCCCATCAGAGTTGGGTGTACTCAGGGATTCGAACTCGAGACTTATGGGTTAGCAGTCCAGCTCTCTACCGCTAGACCACTCCGTCCCCGAATATTGATGTAAATACCCTAATTCTAACTCTAGTTCTGACTGCAATCGCGCCATATATTTTTGTATAGAGCTTTCCCACTATTATTGCACATAATTAATGAACTGTCCCAACAAACGCAAATACTGCCTATTTAAATTATCGATACTAAGTAGCAGTGTTCTGGTGTAGTTATTTATACTTGTGAACATGAACTAATTTTTTTTGTTGCTAATATGCCTTTCCAAAAATACGTCATAATAAATAGAAGAAACAATGAAAGAAAGCTTTTGATAACTGTATAGCTCTCAAAATTTATTTCAAATTTCAATAAGAACTTGTCAAAATTGTAAATACTTCTGTCACGTCCTCCCTGTCAAGCAGTTTGTGTATACATACTGTGCATATACCGAGGAAAGAGAGCAGGTGGTAAAAAAAGCCCTGGCGTTTCGTTAGTAAGTTCTGAAGAGGATTTACAAATTTGGCAAGTACTTAAGGCAGCTCTGTCACACTAGTCATCTAAGGATAACTTGATTCTTTAAATAACTCATTTAAAGAAGTCTGCTACAAAGCTGAACATTTGATAATAAGTGTGAAATACCACACCTCTCTTACTTAAGCTATTTTCTCTGAGGAAAAGTCCTAGAGAAGAGTGTAAGCAGCTGAAGAAAACTCTTCAGCTATTGCAACCTTTTATTTGCCATTTTAAGTCCTTTGCATAGCAAAGGAAAGGGGGAGCAAGGAGATTAAAAAGGTCATAGATCAAATAAAACCAGACATTACCATAAGGTTAAAAAGTTTCTGTCAAACATAGTTTTGTTATTATTTTACTCAGATTAAATCAGCAGCCAACAACTTATTACTGCAGTTAAAATCAGGTCATTGTTTTGAATAAATGAATCGCTAGGAAGTTATTTTTGACTAGAACCACACAAAATAAACTGGTGTTTAAAATTGTGCTGCAACTCAACTTTCATTTGCCAAATGCCTAAACAAATACTGATGTCATTACCGTGTGAAACCATCTTAAAGTTTCTTATCAAAGGGCACTAAAATTAAAAATAAGGCAATTTTACTTTTGCATTAACATACCAGAACAGGTTGGGTTAAAAAGGAATAGAAACTAAAAACAAGCCAACTTATTTTAAGGCACAGCTAGTCCTATTTTTATAAGATGTGTGCTTATCTCAAGTTTTTATGTAAGTAATAAAATTTACTTTATGAAACCAAAGCTGCATTCAATTTTCCTTTTAAAAAAAAATGATGTACACTTAAGGACTGAGGTAGACAGAAAGTCTATCCACTTACTTTATCACAGTCTAGGGTGGTTGATAAGACAACCTTGACATGACATACAGGTGGGGAAACATTCAAGAACACAAATGGCAAAATTTTATCTTTTTATTTACAATGCATTTTATTTACTAACAATTTGGACTGCTTTAAATAGGCAAAGCAGTCATGATTTACACTTTGTGTAGGAGTAAAATGACTCCTACATTATAATTTGCACTAGAAAATAAAAGCACAAAAATTATGCTTTCATAAAACCATATAAAAACCATAAAAAGTGATGATGGAACAAAATGTTCCCATCACAGCTGTGGACAAGGGTATATAACATTGACTATGGTACAGTCAAGTACAATGCAGGCAGAGTGAATACAGTGACCGCATAAGCTACACCATGTATCTACTGTATTAATCCAAGATACTGGTGTATCACATTTCCATGCAATATTGTAAGCAAAGTTCCTTGAATGCTAAGGCAGTCAAGTAAGCTTGATGTTAAAAATTAGAGCAATAAAAACAAATCCACCAAGTTAATATGTTAGTGTCTCAACATGAAAGTATCACCAGAAGAAATTTCATTGCTGACAAAAACAGCTTTGTGAAGGTGACTTAACACACATTAGCATAAAATCAAGTGGCCAGTGAATGTGAAGTGGAATGATGCCAAAAATAGGGGAGTTAATTTTCCCGTGTTTGCTTTAAACCAAGAATTAAATTTAGCGATGAAGCTGTATACAACAATATTCAGAGAAATATACTTAACTAATTTAGAAATATTTAGATATTTAGAAATAACTTCACATTCAGTATTTTACATGTGCAATAAATAAAAGAATTTTTTTTTACAATGATAGAAACTAACTGACTTAGTTGAGAACTGTAGCAGTTATTTGTCTACTAAATAAAATGTCAAGCATTTGTAATAAATTGTCCTGTAATAATGTCCTCACAATTGGAAAAGTTATGCAGACCCAAAGTTAAAAGATGCTGGTACTTGTCTGTTAGTAAACATGTAACCTCCACCTTCCTCAATTTTCTTTGAATCTGAAAAGAAAAAGAAACCAGCATCTCTAAAACAAAATTGTAACTTCTCTACATTTACGGCATGCCTTAAATAATATAATTTGAGGCAGAGGGTAAACATGTTTAACATAATTTCAAAGATGAAACAAAATTTAAGCTATAGGAGATCTTAAAGTCATACCAGCAGCAGCCTTTCGCATTTCTGCAAATTTAAACACTTCCTCCAATTCTTTTAATTGTGTTGGATTAAGAGCACCAATTAGAGTCTGATACCATACACCATCTTGACCAACAAGGTCTGAAATGAAAATTTTAAGAACTAAAAATTTCTGGGGGAAAACTTATATTATTAAAATAAGCAGTTTTTAACATTAAAATAAAATGCTTTCAAAATATTTTTAAAAAACTAACTTACTAGCCAAAATATTTTTAAACATGACATATTCATCAACTGGGCAGTTTTCAGCATCAAGACTTGTAGTATAAGCTTCAAGGGCAGTTTCTTCAGCCCCATCATCAGTCAGTTCTTCACTATCATCATCATCATGATTCTATAAATTTTATAACAGCAAATTAAAAATTGTTTAAATTTGTGCATTTATAATATTGGTAACAGAAAAACTTAAGACTCACAGCTTTTTCTAGCCGTTCCAAATACTGCTGGCCGGTTTCATCAATCTCATCCTCATCACTTGACAATATTTCTCCTAAATAAAAGAAATGAGTTAATTTATAGATGGTATATATAGCACTTATAAATTACACATGAACAAATTTATGTTTACAATTACCTTCATAAGCATCGTCATCATCGTCATCCGAATCATCAGAGTCACTTTCATCTTCTAATGCCCGACCTGAGATTTTAATTAGAAGTTAAACATTATAAACGTGAAAATACGTATAGCTGTGTTTGTGAAATTCCAGTAACAAAATGTTAATAATATAAAAAGATAACTACTCCTGAAAAGCGTAGTCTAAAGGAAATCTAATAAACTATTGAGAAAAATAACCTAACCTAAAATATAGAACCCTATATTTAGATTAAACTGTAACAATCAGAGCAAAAACAATATTGGCACAAAATCTAAAGCAAAATATTAAATACAAAAACTATCACTAAAAAAAAATTCCATAAATGTAATCCACGATGTTATTTATGCATATTTAATGCATAATGCAAAACTTAAATAGGAAGAAAAATAATCTCTATTAGAATTTGCAAATTTAAATTCATAAAAATGTATGGCATCAAACCTAAGTTGTTTAGGATCTAGATTTTTTTGGAATATACACCTAAACAATGAAAATTTGTATTCGAGAAATTATTTATAACTTACTAGCATAAGCTCGCTTTAATCCTTGGAAGAGGAGAAGTGCTGCCGGTAGAATTTGGGAGGCAAATTCTGTGATCTCCTGAGGTCTTTGGCCAGCCATATTTATTAATGAACAAAGACCAAGGACACTCATTTTTCGATCATGGAGGCTGTAAATAGAAAGCATTTCTCATGTGAAATTGTAGACTCAAAACTTGGTACATCTAAAAAAACAAATTAAATAACACCACTTACCCCAGAAAACAATCTGCATCATGAAGCCACTGCTTTAAAAACTGACCAAGGATTGAACCTTGTACATTAGGGATTTGCATTTTTCCCAAGACATCTAAAAGTAACTGAGAGTTGTAGTACAGGCCAGCAATAACAACCTTTAACAAAGAAATAGTGTTATAAGATTACAAAAATTAACATTTGTAAGAACTTATAGGAAGCTTTTATTAAATCAGGTAAAATGCATTTGATGAAAAGATATACCTGCAAACAAATAGTCCTTAGTTCTGATGTCTGCACCTCTTTGGTTAATCTTTGAAGCACTAACTCAACAAAAGATCCCAAAACCTGAAGAAATAAAAGATACCAAAATTGGAAAACTGTTATGTTTTATGATATGCTAAATTTAGGTGCTTTAGAAAATGTAACAGCAAATGCTTACATGGTCTACTCGACCAGGACACTGCAACAAGACAACCTCTAAAAGTTTTGCAGCATGGCATTCAGCATCTTCTCCATTGTCTGCATTTAATACCTGATCAAAAACAGTTTCAAAATGAAATTTGGAAGGTATACATTAGCACAGAAAAAAAGTAAATTAAGTTTATCAAGAATATTAAATGTATAAGTAAAAAGAACTCACAGTTTTACACATATCATAAATAACCTCTAGATATGTGGGATTTGCTAAAAATGCTTCAGTATCCACAGTAATATAGTTGTGTAATGCTGGCATCATATCTTGAATAGATAAGTACATTGTGTAATAGACAGCATAAATTTGTATTGAACACAAAAAAGTTGTAAAATGCTTAAATGTGCGCTAAAAAAAAAAGATATAAAGTCTAGCTTTATTATACTGAATTCATTACAGCTTTAAAAAAGAGGAAAGGTATTTTACAAACACCAATGTAATAATAATGCAATTTACTCTTTACTTCTTTATATAGCAAATTTTTGTTTAAAGTAAGAAATTGGTCAGTAAAAAATGGGTGAAAAATTGATTGCTAGATGACAATGAAATAGATAAAAACTCAAAACAGATGAGTAACAGTTTGCCCTTCAGCTCTCATAATCAACCATCATTAGTCTAAGTGTGCAGCAGAAAGGCAGACAGTAATAAAGACAGAAGTTAAGAGAAGACAGAAGTTAAGCAAATAGAGGGTGCCACAACACTTCTCTTGACCTCATAGTTTGTTTTACATCATTAGGGCAAAACTAAAGCAATATTTTTTAAATAATTTCAAATACAAAAAATTAAATTCAATACCAGTAAAATAATCAATTCCATTTTTCTGAAACATCTGGTATATCATGCCAAAAACCTCCCACATGTGGTGAGAAATTTGAGAGCTGGTAAGACTGTATACAAGTGAAAGTACCTCTTCATAAAAATCTGCAAAGCATGTAGTGTTTATTAAAACTAAGCCCTTAGTATTCATTGAGAATTATAAATGTACAATTATGTGGGGGGGTAAGGATAAAATTTCTATTTAATGTTTCAAAATTTGACACCGTATATTACAAAGTATGTTACTTACCTAAAATGTTGGATTGAAGGATGATGCCAATTACATTCAGCACAATACCCTCAAGTTGGATTATTATCTGTCAATGTTTTAGTAAAAAATCTTTTAATGAAACCAGTAACTACAGTTTAGATGTGTGTGCTTTAGTGTTAAAAAACCATATGAGCTACTTCTTAACACAAATAAAAAGAAAACTTACATCTTTTTGATCTTCCATGACATTAAGAATAGTTTCCATAGTGTTAAGAATACCTAAAGCTGTGATAGCCTTTTCTTCTGAACCACCATCATTATCAGATTCTATGACCTGGGCAAAAGTCTGAGCCTGAAAACCAAAACATTCAACTATAAAATAAAGACCCATTTAAAAAAAATTAAATCATTAATAACTCGAACGAAACCACTTACAAGGTGAGTCATCATTTCCACGGCAATAGGAATCACATCCTCAACGTAAGTACATACTAGTTTCTGCATTACTCCTGTTAAATCATCATTTTCGGTCTCACGAATGATTTGCAGCAATTCTGAATAACAAAATTTTTTTTATAAATTAATACATAGCCAAAGATTCAATACACCATAAATTGAACTTTTATTTTTGAAAAAATACCCACCTAGAATTACAGGCTTCACAAATGGCTGAATGTATTGTTTAGCTGAAATTTAAAAAAAAATCTAAAATTAAGAGATTTAAGTCGTATTATTAATAGGCTTAATCTTCTAAACATTTACACGTTGAAATTTCATTTAACCCTGTACGCCTCGATCCAACCGCACTACTAAGTATAGTATGTTAAATTACTTTTAGTAGAGGAAGTCTCTGTGCAGGAAATAAGTTTTATTTACATTATTTCTTGTTGTTCTATCAATAATGGTTAATTTTCAAATTTTTTCTCAAAATCACAGGCAATAAAGTTAGTGAAATTCAATTAAATTAAAATGATTTTGTTGTTGAATTGGGCTTTAGTTTAATGTAACTAATGGAAGAGAAAGCTCCAATGACGTTTATTTTTATGTTTAGCATTTAAAATAAATTTTTTATAGAAATAATACAAAAAGTGTTATTTTTAATAATTACAAGTAAACTACTTTTGCTCTTTTTTTTAAAAAACTGAAGTGATTTTTAATTTTTTTTAAAAAGTGCAGTGGTTTAAAAATGAGTCGTCTTTTCACCCTGCCATAGGGGAAGTAAAAACTCGCCTATTTCGAACCAGACGATCAATGAGGCAAGTGAAGTCTCCCGTTTCTGTGTCCTTGGCATATGCAGGGATAGTGTGATCAGCTGCCTTTACTTGCCCTAACTTAAGTACCCATCAGAGGGTGGACTCACTGACATTCTATTGACTGAAACCCAGATTTTCAGGGTTAGCAGTCCTTTGCACTACCACTGACCATACATTTTTAACTTAACCACTCAGTCCAATTTAACTTAACACTAACTGCAGTAAATTACCTTTTTCCTGATCTGAAATAAGCATCTGCAGAGCAATGGCTGCTTCAACTCGGACTGGCAAGTCTTTATCTGAACATAATGCATTCTTTACCAATTCCACTGCACCCACTAAATTCTGGTCATTGCGAAACTTCATCTCACAAAAGTTGCGAATCACCCAGCAAGCCTATTTTTTTTTTTTTTAAATAAAAGACAGTTACAATAAAATACACAAAAGACCCTTCTCCTGTATACTAAGCCGAAACCTAAATTTGAGATCAACTTACCCTGGCTCTAAGGAAGCCATGTTCACTACTGAAAGCTGGAAATACATGAGAAGTAAGCATCATTTCGGCTTGCTCTTTGTAAATCTTTCTCTGTAATAAAACAAAATAATTAAAACGCAAACTACACAGAGACAAATGAATTCACAAAGCAAGAGTGAACTGAACATAACACTTACCTTAAGTAGAACTTCAGCAACAGCACCAATCATGTGAAGAGCTCCATCTTTTTGTCTTGGTGTTGAGTTAGCATTGGTAAGTATGGACATACAGAATCCCATAGCCTTGTTTAAAACCTCTTTGCGCTTAGCAGTAGCAGAATGGAAAACAGTCTGAGCTGCCATTACTGGTGAGAGGAAGTCTTCAAACACATCTAAAAAGTGTAAAAAAAGAAAATACTTAAATTGTCATTCGCATTAAAAGAATTCTAAAACAGATTAATAGGCCACAACTGTTGTATTACCATATTTAACTCTGATGTACTCGTGAGGATCAGATGTCCACAAATCCTCATCTTCATCACTGTGACACATCAGAGGAAAAATCACATCTTGGATCATCGTCTAGAAAAATAAAATGAAGATAAAACATTTAAAGGTGGCTTGTACTTGGGTTTAAAATACTGACAAATGCATCTCTTTTGGTATGATGATGCTGCTGATTTTAGCGTTTGTACTGTAATTTATTTCAATTTAATAGCTAGATGTAGAACAAGTGAAAAAAACCTATTTTTCACTCAAGAGATCCTAAAATAAATGTTTAACCACAATTCCATTAATTTCAGGTTTTTAAAAAGATGAGTAATGATGTTCATGAATCAGCTGCCTATTGTTCCCTAGTTTAAAAATTAATCAAAATATAAACTTTAGGCTTAAATTCTTAAGGGATATGCAAACAGGAAACAGCAGCACTAACCCACTGACATTAGACTAGATGCTTAAGATAGTCTTGACTACTGAAAACAATTTTTTGCTAGGCTTTATTGGACCTCAAATGTTAAAAGGAATGACTGCGCTGTTGAAATTCTTATGGTCTTAAATAGTTGCTACAATACCAAGCCAAATAATAGATCAACAAAAAAAAGAGTATCATATTAAATGTAAATAACCATTTACTCTCAATAAATTAAGTCCCATACCTGAATGTGTGGCTTAATAAACTTCCACGAAAAGGCATGGCTGATTCTGGAGAAAAATATTAACCTCATTTATTTGTTATTCTGCAAACATTACTGTAAGTTGATATTTTAACAGTTTTCTAAATTAGCAACTGAAAATAAGTTGTAAAGTACCCTTGATTAATGTAGTTGAGCGTCTGCTGTAAAACACGCGGCGCAACAAACATTTTTTGTCTATACCCTTCCAACTGTTTTAGCAACACATTAAGGACACCGCCTAAAAATGTAAATATTAAAAAATTAAATGGCTTCCATGAAGTAATTAATTATATAGAAAATGGCAACTGTGTCTTAGACAAACTTACATGAAAATGTTTTGAGGTACCACTCAGAGAATTCTGTGTACTCTTTTATAACATTACCAGGACTTCCATATCTGATGGTAATAAAAAAGATTTGCAGTCATCAATAATCAATAAATAAATGCATTTTAGAAAACGAAGTGGTAAAGAACACTTTCTTACCTCTCAAAGAGACGAGCAAGAATGCGCACGCCCCACTTTTTAAGTTTCCAACAAGCAAGCTCTGGTCTATCTTCTTCGTCCACTTGATTTGTTTCCTAAATAATAAATGAACATGAATTAGATAGCCAACCATGAAAAAACACACAAGTTGTCTAAAATTTGAAAATATGGAATGAAAGTCTAACTTACAGGTGGTAAATCTTTATCCACTATTAACCTGATTGCCTCCATCCAACGTGTGAATATTTCTTTGGTCAAGACTGATAACGGCAGATAGTTCTAAAAAAAATTTATTTACTGTTAGGAAAAGATATCACACACACACATGCTATAAGCTAATTAATTCGATGAAATCATAAGAACTACTTTAAGAAAATTAACAACACTTAATATTCACCTGGGTGTAAGCATAAAATATCTTCAAGATTTGCTTCTGCAAAAGACATGAGGCCTCCGACGGATCTTGAGCCAACTGGATCAGTCGTTGAAACAAAATTGGTAGCATGTGTGTCATTGTATCATCCATAGTTTGCCTTTCTTCACATCTTTTGTACCTGAAGAAATTACATTGAACAAATAAATAAAAAAAGTATTGGTGAAAGAAAACCATAATCATTTGTAACATTTTTTTTTTAAATTGTGAAAAACCTCATACTTACTCGAAAACCTTTACAAACTGGTACACAGACAACAAAGCTCCCATCCAAGTAGCATGATTGTCAGAGTTAATATAAAATGCCATCTTTTCAGCAACGTTTGGCCAGCGTCCAGGAAAGTCATTTTTTATTATGTGGCTCAAGCAAACACACAACTGCACTCTAAAAATGAGAATCGTACCATAATTTTACCATGCAATAGTAATGTCTTTTAAGGAGTATCAGCTGACCCAAAAAAGTATCACAATATTTAGATCAGTGGTTCCCAACCTTTTTCGAGTGGCGACCCCCTTTTATAAAAAGTAAGTGACCCGCGACCCCCATAGAATTAAAAAGCCGAAATTAGTAGGGAAATTAATAAGCAATAAAATAAGATTTTCTAGTAGAATTTCAATATGAACTACTCTTGATAACTGTTTTAATAGTTTGAGTAAAATTGCATACTATTCACTAAACCTTCGTGGTTAAGTTCATAATTTAAAAAAAAAATTTTTAGCGCCAACCTATGTCATTATAATTATCTTAATTTTGTTTTTAATAGAAGAAAATATATTCTCGAAAAGTCAATCAATTTTACGTTTGGGTATGAATGGTGAATACTACACCAAAATTGTGTCTGCAGTTTTTCATCTTACTCGGAATCATTCTGCAATTAAAAAAATTCATCTTGTAATTCATCGGGAATGCGGGCAACATCAAGGGAAGAAGAGAATGGGTAATGCGTAAATTCAGATTCTTCTTTTTTCAGCTCAGAGAAATAGCGATGCAGTTCGTTTTCAAGAGATTCAAGATGCCCAGAAATCGCTTCTTTCAAAATTTTAATTATCTCACAATTAGATTCATCTACCACACCGCAGAGTTTCTCAAATTTACAACATTTCCAAGATTTATTTTCTTTACCGATTTTGCAGCTTTGATAAAAATGCCATGAGATTATCATGGAAAGTTATAATATTCGTTCATTTTCCCTGAAGCTTCAGATTAAGCTTATCTTGATGTTCGAACACATCTGCTAGGTATGATACTCTTTTTAATCACTCTATGTCGTTTTAAGTATACCAAAAGGTCTTGTTTTCTTTGCACTCCCAAGAACAATTTGATTTCTGTAGTGTACTGCGTACTGTAGTGTAGAAGAGCAGAACCCCGTGATCTATATTAATGTTTTTGCTCAGTTTTTTGAAGGCTCCAGATTTTATATAATTTACGACTTATACTAGCAATGGACTCTTGATGTCGATTGGTTAGGGCAGTGGTTAGGGAGCTAAACTTTTCTGTTTTCTGAAAGGCCGATTTTGAGCTAAACATAGATGGCGCGCCATCCGTACAAACTCCCCACAGCCGTTCTAACCCATTTTAATCATCCAGTTTCAAAAAAGGTATTTATTTTCTCCATGCTATCTTCACAAAAGATCAACTCTTCTTTGCTATCATCCGCATGAATATAGACACAGACAAGCAACTGCGAACACGAACTCACGTCTGTTGATTTATCAACTTGAAAAGCAAACAATGGTGAAAGCTTAATTTCAATAAAAATGTGTTATTTAATATTTACGTACATGAAGCGTTTGATGAGATTTTCTCCTATGGTTTTTATTTTTGCTTGCTTGTTCTATCGCTACTTCATTTGATGCTTGCACTAATGCTGGTGAAAACTTTCTGTTCGATCAGGTCTCTGGCGTTTGCAACTAGCTTTTTACCGACGAAAGAACGCCATGTATTTTTACAAGCTTTTATTTAACTCACTTCCTCGACAGTCTGTCGTCAGTCTGTCGTCAGTCTGTCTTGACGGAAACGCAGGAGTGAAAATTTGGACAGTTCTACTTGACCGACACGATTCACAGTTGGCACGTGGGTCAAGACATGAAGACAATGCAATCTGAAACTAAATTTGACTTAATTGGATGCCTAATTGATTTTTTATGAATTAATTAAAATTTGGACCGAATTAGTAGGCATGTCTAGTCAACCACACCACACGCGTCATCAATAGCTGCGCCATCACGACCACGTAATGGCTGCGTTCAAAAACCATTGCGCGCCTACTGAACGTGATATTCAGTAGGCGCGCAATGGTTTTTAGTCATGTAACTCTATTGTAGATAAAACATGTAAAGTACTGAAAAAAAATTCATAAAAAACGTTTTAATAACAAGCTTTTATGTAATGATGCACTAAAAAGTAGAAAATAAATTATAGACTACTATTTAAATAACTATAAAGAAAAGCGTGGGTGTCTTCCTTAACATTAGTAAAGGTATCCAATAGATACTAAAGTGACCCACGCTTTTCTATATAGTTATTTAAATAGTAGTCTATAATTTATTTTCTACTTTTTAGTGCATCATTACATAAAAGCTTGTTATTAAAACGTTTTTTATGAATTTTTTTTGGTGTGTTCCGAATGACTCGTCTCAAACGACGTTTTAGTTTTAAAGATTTCATTGATTCGTGACTGAGAACATCTTTGTCCAGTGCGCTTTGTTTCTTCTCTATTACATTTCCAGTGATGTTAATGAAGCCGAATTAAAAAAATTCTTCTAAATATTTATATTTTGTTTCAAATTATTAAGGTTTAGTATACCAGTTGGCGACCCCCCAGAAAGACCTTCGCGACCCCCAGGGGGGTCGCGACCCCCAGGTTGGGAACCCGTGATTTAGATGCATAAACAAGCTTACAAGCTTCTGACAAAAATCAAAACTAGCGACAAATTTTTACAGATGGAAATTATAAAACAAAAAATATTACTTTTTTATCTTAAACTGTCCTGAAATAGGAAAATAAATTTTTTTTAAAGAAAAAAAAAAAGATTTGGTCAAGTCTCTAAAGTATATCAGTATTCTCCAATGTGTACCTACCTAACTGGCTCTGGAGCATGAATGATGGCTTCAATAATGTTGTCCCTGATAGGTTGTCTGTCTTGTTCATGAATATTAAATGGAATGCTGTCTGTGACATTCTCTGGCTCACGTTCCATCCAATACTGAGTTAACATGTTTTTCAGGTATATTACACCTTAAAGTTTACAAGATAGATTTATTGAATTTCAAAAAGATTTGATTCTCAGGTATGTTTTTTTTTTTAAAAATAATTATGGAGATTAACAATTTGCAGGGGTCTGCGTGGTCGAGTCGGTAAAGCTCATGGTTGCTAAACCGAAAAGTCTCGAGTTCGAACCCTCGGGCAGATGAGGATCCTTAGCTGGGGACAGCCACTCTTCTAGGAGAGACAACTCCAAAATCAAACAACTGCTGCCGTGTAGTTTGTTTTTGGTTGGACAAAGGCTATGGAAGCAAATCCAAAAAGAAAAAGCAGGCTGAAATCGGAGTCAATGGCCTTATTGGCGCAAAACCAGTTGACACGTAATCCTTAATTGTGATGGAAGCATGGTCGAGTCTGCAAAGCTCGAAAAGAGTCTCGAGTTCAGACCCTCTAGCAGAAAAGGCTCGATCCCTCCCACCACTAAAAATTAAGAACGAAGAAGAAGAAAGAGAAAGAACAATCTGCAATTTTATTTTAGATAATTTGCTGATTGAGATAAATACAATGTGCTCCAAACCTTTTGAACCTAACTATAAGCTTAACCTTTACCCCAATCCTAACACTAACCTAAACCATATTCCTTACTCTATCTTTAATCCTAAACCTAACCCGAATTCTAACACCATTTATTTATTTGCTTTTTGGGTATCATATTAGTCATAGCTCACTTTTAATACTTACTTTAATGTTATTTAAAAAACACTCATAAATTGTAAGTCAATATCATTGATGAAATTATCATTGTATCTATCCAGCATACTACTTTTTATTTAATTTTTTTTTTAAATATTTTCTTGTGACAAAGATAACAGAAAGTGTCTTACCAGCTTGTCGAACCGGCATATCAACCTGATCTGTCATCACAACTTGCAAAAGAATAGGTGCAAAGCCTATGATCTTATGAACCTTTAAAGAGAAAAGTGCTGCTTGTACTTAAATATTAATGAGACCAATATTTAAAATTTTTTTTAACCTAATGTATAGTTTTATGTACTTTTTAAAAAGTGAGAATTTTAAAACTTTTCAATTGCAATATTTTTAAAATGCCATTTGAAAAGTAGGCTACAAGTCTACAAATTATTACTTAGGCCTAAACGGTTTAGGCCTACTTAATGAAATATCTACCTTTTTTTATCTTCAAATGAGGTAGTAGACCTACGCTTATGTGAACTTAAAATAAACCTAGACCTATGCTTATGTGAACTTAAAATAACCTAAGTACACTTTTTTTTAACTTGATTTGGGAAAAAATGTTATCCAACAATTCTGTGACATATGCTTTATTCTCGAAATCACATATTTGGTTTATGGAAAAATAAAAGGTCATTGACAACCCCAAACAGCAAAGTTTATGCAATGACATACTATAGCAACTTGTTTACCAAGTTACAAGACCTGCAATACTTTCAGTTTAAAAAATAATAAAAACGATCATCAATTCAATTAAAAAGGCATAAACATTCTATTTTTAGTTATGCCATAAAAAATAGTCATAAATCTAGCCAAATGATTGGATTCTTGCGCGGGACATTTTTTCCCGCTCCTCATTTTCACCAAACACCCTCATTCTAGCCTTAACCCGAGCCATAGGTCACTGTGCATGCGCAGAGCTATCTTTTGCCGACTAAGTGTAGACGTTGGGGAGAAAAATCTTCCGAGTAGTCACTTCGTAAATTATTACCAGTTAGGCTAATTGTAATGTGTGTAAAATTAATGCTTAAAACTATTATTCACATAGGCTAATTTATTAGCAAAGTGATATTTCTAAGTTATTTAATTTGAAAGACACGAATACATAGAGCTATTTTCACTTGCGCTGCTTGCAAGACAAAGAAATTACTTCAAATTAGGTCAAAAGTACATCATACAATTCCTAACTAACTGAAATAGAAACGGATAGTTCAGATTTCTAAAATTAACGATGGCTTTCTAATAATTAGTTTTATCCCTCTACCATTTAGTGAAAGCAAAACAGGTCGCCATTTTAGTAAGCACATAAGCAGTGAGATGGCACAAAAATGACAAATCCAGAAGCTTTGAATCGAACTGCCTACTCCAGGTTTCATTGGTATTTTATAGGCATTCCGACTTCCGCTGTTTCGATTCGGTATTCCACATCCGGACTTTTTGATGCAGACTTTTATAAAAACTCGCCATTTTCCGAAGAATGCCGAATCTGACTGTTGGAATCGAGTTTTTAGAAATATTCGATATAGATATTCTAGTGTAGTCGTATTATATGTTTCAATTAGAAAATTACCGCCATTATGACAATCTTAAGGCCGAAATCGATCGCACGATTCTAATGAGTTTATCTCGCGAACATGTCCCGTACGGTGCTGTCACATTTTAAATAAGTTTACGTATTAAACACATTATAAGTGTCTTGCCATTAGTTGTAAGTGTCCATTAAATAAACAAATATTATTATAATAACGGTTTTATGGCACTTACTACTTCTGTTTACGAGTTATCATACATGTCAAATCCCCGAGCTAGCGCTTCGGCCTTGACAACGCCATGGCGTCGGTTTAGCACCGCATTACCTATTATCGATAAAATACGCGCACTAATGCCAATGACGTAGTTTTCGAAGTTGGAAGGAATTTAAATTGTGGGTGGCACTGTTAAAACTAGATAAAATACATTGATCAAGTTATCTATTAAAAACGACTGGCCAGAAGCTTAGGCTTACATTAACTAGTGTCAAGCATTTCACACATACCTACTTACTTAGTACTTAGATTTAAGGCTTATACTTAATTAAGTTAATACTAAAATTATAGGCTACTTTATACTATAAATAATAAATAAGTTATAGGCCTATTTCTTAGAATAACTAATGCTATATGTATTATGTATCGATTGATAAAGTAAGTCTGGGCCTATTATTGGTTATGATAAGTAAAGAAGCTTGGTGATAAACTTAATTAATTATTTGTGATAATTATGCCTATGACATTAGTAAATAGTAAATAACAAACAAAAGGTGCAGCAATTGACATGGGTGGGGGGGGGATACTAATTAATAAGGCAGTGAATTTAGAATGACACGAAAAAGGCATGATAGTTATTATTCATAATAATTTAGGATACAATTTTTACATTTAATAATAAAAAGTAACAAAAAACAAATACAACAAACATTACGTATTTAAATCACAGCATATTGCCAATATATTCATATAAGCAGATAGACAGGGAAGCTGTAACTTCTGATGTGGTACAACTTACTCAACACTTAATAAACTTTTACAAGAATTTAAGGTTTTTCTATTGATTAGTTGTACCAAAATAATATCAATAGGGCCTGATAAAGACCCTAGTATATTAAATAATTAAAGTAGTTTCCCTTTTGGACCTGTCAATCCATCATCCATAGAGCAGCTGAAGTAGAGTTTATCTGTTTCTTGACCACTGAACATGAAGTGATGGTGTGGTTAGCTCTCTGCTAAGCTATCTTTACTTTCCCTTGTGTCAGGTACTCATCTGAGCTTGGTGGTGGATGCTGCGCGCTGCACAGACAGACTTGTCTGAGATCTGAGCTTAAGACTTGCATGTTAGTAGTTGAGTGCTTTACCACACCATCCCTAGTTTTATTTTTCAGCATTCTTCTTATTACATGCTTCAGTATCAATCACCAAATTTATCCTATCTGTTATAGTAGCATTCTGGACATGCGTCTGTTGCAGTCACTATAATTACTATATAAGGGTGCAACACCCTTTCATAGGACTTTTAATTATATGCAGTCATACTTAATCTAATTTTTTTCTATATTTCTATTGCCCCCACCCTCTAGCAAAGTTTCAATTTTAATATTAAAAAAAAAAACATAGACTTTCAGTCTGCATATTGACCTATACAGAACAGCACCCCTCACTTTAATTTGACCTGATTAGTTCTAATTAGGCCTAAGTAGTAATTATCCTTCATCAAATTTTGATTTTACTTTCATATTTCTATTGCCCACACTCTCTAGCACTAATGTGCAAAGTTTTATAATTATATCTCAAATAGCAGCAGTGGTATGCAAGCCTAAAGCCAATCACACAATTAAATCCGATGTTACAGTGATTATATAACAGGTTTAATACATAACTTTAAAAATTCATATAAAAAAAACTATTAGGCCTAGAATGATAAATTTGGTATTTTTATCAATGGGGTTTATTATAGGATTAATCTGTGTACATTTTATCATTCTATGATAATTAGGAAAAATATCCCAACATTCCTATATTTTACTATTTTATTTGAATTTAAAAAATAGAAATTTTGTAAGAATTACTACTCAACTACTGGGGGGTGTGGGGAAATTGCGAGACGCGAAAAGCGAAATGGCGAGGCGGGAAAATGCGAGAAGGGCGCGAAAACGGTCGGTCACGTGGCTTTTTTGTCTCGCATTTTACCACAAGCCGATACTTACGCTGGGTGGTGTTGAAATGCGAAGATTTCTGCGAAAAATTTACCGCACCCGATTTTCAGTGGTATTTGGTCCAGACTTCAAAGACGTTTCGTTTACATTGTTAAAACTTCCCATTTTTCCGTCGCTAGACATACTGATGATTTGTCAACTCCCCCCATCTTTTGTGTCGACTTAGAATACCACCTTGTTCGAAACCGACGGAAATACCGCCGACGATAGATCAACTTCTGTCTTTTGTGTGGAACGCCGAGGCCGCCTGATTTACCGTCTTTGAAGATCGCCGTGCCCGGATCCGCTGCCGCCGCAAACATATTTTCTATTGTTGCATAGAAATTTTGTGTTATAGCTGCCGCCTACGATTTTTTCTAGCATTTTTTACCATATAAATCTAAGCACAAGGAAATGCCTACATCATTTGGATACAACAAAATAAAGTGACGTCAACGATATTATCAGTTGCTCGTGCTCTATCGTAAGCTATGGGCCTACTTCAAATATTTTTAAAACCAAGTTGAACTTATCTGAATGTTTTGGTTTTGGTGGTGGTGTTATTTGGGGTCTTCCATAAATGACGTCACACTCGTAGGGGGGGGGGTCTGTAATTTTATGACGATGTGTGATGAGGGGGAGGAGGGGGGGGGGGTTAGATGTGAAGTCACACTATAAAAAAGCAATGTTAGAAAAAGAATTGTAGACGTTTTTTCGCGTTTTAGAAAACTGTTTTAATACATTGTTATAGGAATTGATTAAAATACTCTATTTTGACCGAAATTAGACAAGATTTTGAGAAAATATCGATGTTTTTAAAAAACTCAACTGCTGGTGACAACAATGAGCAAGACATTGCCAAAATTACAGAAATGATAAAAAATACAAATTATAAAAAACGGAAAACAGATGTTGAGCGTGCGGATGATGATGATGAGAACATGGGTGCCAGTGTTGTTTGTGGGATGAACGAGGAGGTCAACTGTGATGAGAATGTGAAATGTTGTGAATGTGGATTGGAAGAAGTAGCAAAAGAAAAATGTATAAATGGGAGTCTAATGAACTGGGTTGGGTGTACTATGTGTGAAAGATGGTGTCACGAGGTGTGTTTGAGGACTGTTTCAGAAGATTTTGTTTGTAAATTTTGTTTGTAATTAAAATTACTTAATAAAAAAAATAAATTGCACTTTTTAGAATTGTTTATACTTTTACACTTTTTGCAAGTACAAAAATCCAAAAATAGATGTTGCAAAATATCTCTCCTGCTGACAAGATTATACCAATTCACAATGACACAGCTCACGTTTGTATAAACATGAGCGGGCTAGATTTTTAAATTAATGCCGACTGAGACGGGATTTTCCTCTAGCTAACAAGAGCGGGCGATGACAGTAGCACAGCAACGATGTTAGGATTTTTAAATAGATCTAGATCTATCTATCTTCTTAGTATCTAGATAAAAAATAACAACATACAACACTCGTGTTAA